CCTAACGGTCAACGTCGTCATGGACCAGAGCGGGCGAGCAAGGAATAGAAGTGTTGTCGTGAGATTACAATTGTCCGACGCCTACTTGAACGCTCAAGGTTGGGCTTGATTCACACCATGATGGGCTCCAATCTAATGCAAGTCTTGTAATCACACTGGGCCGTGATCGTTCAGAAGCACAGCTTCCTCTTTCAATAAAATATCAGGCTGTAAATGATGGACAAGTCTTGGCCGTTGGCCACTTGTTGATTTGAGATTTCGACACGCCAGCATTGATTTGGAAACCCATGATAAACTCTCATTGTATGCATTTCAGTCAGGTGCGTCTTCACTGCTGAAATCACGCCCAAATAAAGTAGGTCACCATGGAGAAAGCCTATGCAACATTACCCAAGTTGTTGAGCATAGAATGTCTCTCCAGCCAAATTCATGCCTAACATACAATCTAGGTGAGCCTTTGAAAAGCCAGTCCAAAGACCATGGCTCTCTGCTTCGAATAGATTAGGCGCATTTTCACATTCGTGAGAGATTGATCAATGCCTTAATTTGACCAAAATCATTTTCTCTATTCCAAAGGTACCTAGACTCCCTAAACCATTATGAAAGAAATGGAAAGTACAGCCCTGTCAGCATCCTACACGTGATATATCTACCAGCAATACGCCTTCCTCTTTTTACCGTTACATTTACTCCTCCTCATAATTTTGATTCCATTCCTTGAATAACTTCATTCCAAAATGTTCATGGCCAGAATGATTCAAATGAGCACACTGATTTCCGAATCTTCAATGGTCAGGGGCCTTATTCTTATGCCCCTCGAGGGCCTCGTTGATCTAAACTGGGCTGAACCCATCTTCTACATTCTATCAAGAGAGACGCATGGTAATGGTTGCTCCTCGACTCGCTACTGGCCTCTGAGTAAGCCCCTCGTGATATCAAAGTTGGCGTCAAAGGAATGACAGACTAGGCTATTTATATTTGCCGGTCAGGCACACGTCACTAATAAGAAAGAGGAAAACCGAATCTCTGTTCAAGCCATTGAATGCGATGAGATCGGATTCGATAAGCCCTAAATTTTGACAGGTATGACAGAGCGATCACCCCGCACAGCGTCACATCATCACTTGAAATGAAACAGTTACTGATTTCTCCGGGCAATCCTTGCACTGCGACAGTCGGTCCAAAGTTGCAGTTGCTTGCTAGCCTACCATCAATCGCAACTGGCAGTCTGCGTCCACAAACCTGCGAGTCCACTCTGTACAGGTTCTGGAAAATTATCAAGTCGGTGGGCAGGTCGGCATATGCAGAGCTGCTGCTGGGCTCCAGGTCTGGCTCGGCTATACATGCTGTATATCTTTCCCGGGTGGCCATAACCGCAGCGCGATTGTGGCCAGTATGCCATCAAACTACATTTAGATGGTGCTTTGCACCACAGTCAGCCAATAACGACATGTTGAATTACCAATATGTTGAGCTCGGACGACGGAAGAGATATCTCGAATTGGAAAAATCACAGTCGCACAGCACAATGCCGGCGAAGCTTTGTGTCACCAAGATTTTTCCGCCCGCCCAACTTTTATCGAATCAAGTGCAGGAATTGGCTCAGAGAGATTCATGATTTGCTTGTGCATGCTCGAATCGCTTTCCATGCGAAATTTCCATTATCTGCAACACAAACGCCACGCTGTCTTTGCGGACGCAGAGCCCCGAAGCATTTTACCAGCGTCATCTGAGTTGGCACGATACTCACGGATCCATGGCGAGCCTGTCACGGAGTCAGTACGGTCAAGCTAGATACCATGTGTTTTGGTGAAACGCTTACGTCGGTACCATGTCACGCCTAGTGATCAGAGGGCATCACTTTGGTAACACATCCGGATGCGCCGAGCTCAATCCGTTCAAAATGCGCTGGAGTCCGCACCGAGAATGTTGGTTTTCCACTCGTGCGTAAAAGGAATTCAGCCGTAAGTATGATTACTAACCAACATCACCAAGCGAGGCCTTGAAATAGAAGCGGCAAGTTACGGCCTGTGGTCCGAGTACCTGAAGTTGAAACTTTGTTTGCTCATTTACAGGATGTGTGTGTGTGTGTGTGTTGCGCCTCTGCCCGACGGTATGTCTCTTGTTTGGCCCCCTCACAACCCCCCTTTAGCCATGGTGGTTACACTACTTATGCAGACGCTCTGCCATGGGTTGAATGGCGCTGACAATCTAGTCCCTTCTCGATCTTCTATGCATAATCCATGTTTAATCGTGGCCCAGCGATCGACAATGTAGCTAGGTTAGCTAGCCTGGCTCGCCCGCAAACACAGGTGTGTAAACGAGCCCTATCAATTCATGCCGCCATCACGGTCGTCCGAGTCTTGCTGTTCTGGCAAGCTGCAAGCAATTTTATCCGTCTTACGAGAGACGCAATCTTGTGCTGTCGGTACAGCACATTGATATAGTCATGAGATCACCGAAAAAGAGGCCAGAACAGGTCTTTGAAATGATGCTCACGGCGGAGGCTCAATATTTTCGCTTCTGGGATTTCCCAAAGCTCAGCTCGGTTGTGCGGTCATGATTGATCCCGTCTCATTCCCCTCCACCCAATACGAACCTGGACGCTGATTCGCTCCAGCATCGCACAATATAGGCCATTCTCCAAAGCGCGGTTCTCCAATTCACACGAGTGGCTCACACAAAACCTGCGGGCGGCTTTCACATGGCGTAACGTTGGTCGATTACTACCCGGCAGGCAAAGGGGGGCACCACGATCGGGGTTTGGCATTATTAGAACCATTCAAACGACGCAAGACACACCTTACTGCCCACCCCAATCCCACCCTTGTCTATAGCGTGGCATACCACCCTCGCGAACTATTGTCTGCATTTGCGCTCCAAAGCAAGAGTTGGCAAAGCATAGAGGCTTTCTCTTCTAATGGTGAAAGCGACACCAAGATCCAGCCGCGTTAGGTAAGCCTTTCATCGTCACACCTTGCACAAAGAAAGCTGCCACACCGTTGACCAAAGCGGAACCACGTCGTCCGCACGTCGTCCAGTAGCCAAATGTTGTGCTTTGAGCCCATCTCACAGGAGTATGACAACCAAGGTGACGAGAACTTGGCATCCGGCGTTGTGACACTCTCGGAGGATATTCTGTCTAGGGCGCATTCCTTCAGGTGTGTGGCCGATTTCGAAATGCGAGACCGATTGGCCATGTTCAGTCTTAGCGCCAATATCACATCTTGGTTACATGAGCACTTTACCATTTAAAACATCAAGGTGATGGTATAGAAATACTACATATCCCTAGGCGTACGACAAACCGCGCAAGATGGTTGCTTCAAGATCAGTAATGTGCGCGCGATTGCTCAAGGGTTGTATCGATAATGTTGAAGGGGGTTTCCTGTTGTTCAGGGTATTATTGGCATGAAGCCTCAACCCCAGAGATTGACCAATTATTGCTCGTGCCTCGAGCAGAGTTGGAGCCCATGGACGTGATACACTTGCTGATAGGCCTCTAAAGGTCTGGCTCTGCTTGTCTTCTTGCCCTTTGGTGTAACTCGTTGCTTGCATCATGTGCCACAGAGTCAAAGATTTTAAAGGAATACCAAGCTTGTATTTTGTAAAACGCGCAAGTCGTATCGTCTACATAGAGAACAGAACACTACAATCACGTCCTAGTCCAGTACTAGAATCACGACTCTCAGTAGCAAAAATACATTTACTAATTATGCGCATCATAGCCTCCTCGCCTCACCGTCAACGTCGTAGTCCTGCTTTTTTCTAATTGCCATTTCATTCATGTCAAAGGCTAATGATTATACCAACTCCAGCTCGGGCCGATGATGCCACGGCAGACATTGCTCCTTCGGTGTAATCCTTTTCCACATGCGCGTAATACTCCCCATCAATGACACCCTACTTGCCTCTCACTCCCATTTCATAGTTCCTCGGCTGTCATCACCGTCGGTAAATGCCTAACCGGAGACGCGTCCTAACCAATCATGTTTTCTCCCTCTTCGTCTCTCGACATCTAGGTTGAATACATAATGTTTGATCATGGGAACCATTGTTGGTTCAGCTTTGGACATATTCACCAGTTCGAGCATGTTGCTTGATAGGTCTGATGCCGAGCGCATATCAGTACCGGCCAGTTCTCTGAACAATACTACTGCTAGCATATTTTCTTTTAAAAGGCAACACAAAAAGGCAAAAGTAATGCTGACTAGCTTTGCAACCAACCCAATGCTGTGCAACAAAGGGATAATTTTTCGAGCATCTCGTTCTCGGTTATGCTACAGTACATGATCTGCGATCCACCATGTCGGGACTGCCCATCGGGAGGGGGCGGCAAGACGGTTCATTCTCTTCCATCTTGAGCCTCATCCGCACCTTGTCCGATCATGACCTTGCGCTCTTCTACTCATACCCACCACTCTGTCCCTACCCAGATTTGGACACGAGGCATTAGTCTGCATTTTCTCCGTCTGATTTGGCTCTTGGACATTGGCACGACAGGACTTGTTCATTCGTGAATATGACATGTTTACTTTTATCCGTGAAATTCATTCGTATTTAGAGTTGTTCTGTTCCGTGGCGCTACGGCCGAGTCAGCTGAAAATATCCCATATTATCGTGAATTTGCCTAAAAAGTGCTTGTGCAGGAAACCTTAATGGAAAACGCCGGATTCCACAGTGTTTATTTGACGGATCATATTTGTTGCCAATGAGCCTTGTTGATTATAATACTGAATTTTCAATGTTTTTAGCCACCAATGCTTATGCTATCATATATACATAAAATCATTGTCCCATGCCTGGACTTTGTACAATATTTCGAATCATCTCTGGAACGACTTTGAAGCGACACGCAGCTGCGCAATCTTCTGTCCCCTTGACACTGGAATGTCGAATCTGTCGTGGCTGCTACCAAAAATGCTTTGAGTGCAAGCCGCTGCTTGTATTGAAAGAGGACGGATGTACTTGATACTCAAGCTCTTCTAACCATGGCGAGCCTAAGACGTGTCGAGACCTGCTTGCTTGACCAGTCCGTAGAAGATGCCCCTCTTCTTGATCAGTTCTTGAGGCGAATCAAACTCTACCACCTCACCCTTGTCAAGCACGACAACGCGGTCCGAATCCAGGATGGTGTTGATGCGGTGAGCGACGGTGATGATGGTTCTGTGGGCAAACAGGGGGCTGCGCAGTGTTGCTTGTAGCGCAGCATCGGTTTCCACATCCACAGCAGCAGTTGCCTCGTCCAGGACAAGAATATTGGAGGGCGTGAGCATGGCGCGTGCCAAGGAGATAAGTTGTCGTTGTCCTTGCGAAAGATTCGAGCCTATAATTGTCGCGTTAGTACTTTGCCTCGGCTCGATCTAAAAGTATCTGCAGTGGGATTGATTGGGTCCGGCAACGTGCGTCTAAACCCAAGGTAGTGTGATTGAGGGGGTAGTAAAAGTCAAGATATAGGGTGACTGATGCAACATCGCCTCTCTGGAAAGAAATGCCACATGTCCATGATTTATGCAGGGACCTTCTGAAGAGCAAGCCAGTGGGCTGATGCTATCGCCAGAGCCTATCGCCAGAGCCTGCACATAATGATGCGCCCGGACAATATGTGCCGACGTCATTCCAGGGAAAGAGACAGCATGTCACCACAAGCGTTTATGCAGATACCCGAGAATGCGACAAAGATGGTGATGTGACAAGAAATAAACAGCCGATGCAAAGCGCAAGGTGTGAAAAGTTCCGAACTCACCTCCTTCATGGACTTTAGCCTCGAGCCCTCCCTCCATGCTAGCCACATGTTCCTTGAGACGTGCGTGATCTGTACCACAAAGATGCATTAGCCAGACGAACTTGAGAGAGTTGGCACAGGGTAAGTGGTCTCGAAAATGCGACTAAGCGAGAGCATGTGCTCTTCCCGTCCTGCGGTGTCATATTGGGTCTGTCAGCTTTGTGTAACACACTTACCGAGAACGCTCCAAAGCTCCGTGTCGTCGTGTACATGACCAGGGTCTAGATTGTCCCGAACCGTCCCTTCGAAAAGAGCGGCATCCTGTGGGATAATGGCGAGTCGCCTTCGGAGATCTAGTAGACCAATTGTAGATGTGTTCAATTCGTCGATGCTAATGTTACCAGTGTCCGCCTCGATAATACGAAAGAGTGCAAGCGTGAGCGAGGATTTGCCTGCACCCGTCCTGCCCACAACGCCGATTTTCTCGTGGGACTTGATGTCCAGGTTAATGTTCTTCAGCACTAGATCCAGGCCTGCTCGGTAGCGGGTGCTGTAGTTTTGGAATTGCACAGCTCCGTTTGCCGGCCATGCAACAGGAGGTCGGTGGCGGTGGATAACCTCGGGAGCCTCACTTGGGAGGCGGGCATACTCGAGCACGCGTTCCACCGATACAATGTTTGTCTCCACCTCAACCGTCTGACGTACGATCCAGTTGAGTGACGTGGTTATTTGCAGAACATACGACATGGCTAGACCGACCCAACCAGGACCCAGACCGCTATGGTTAACCACCGAGATGACGGAGAGTCCTGCAGCGGCGAGGATGATGACGGCTCCAATGAACTCTAGGCGGATGGCCAACCATCGGTTGGCACTGATGGATGGATAGTAAGCCCGCAGATTTGTATCTACACGCCATTCATTTTCAAGCTCAAATCTGTTCTGCTGTCGGTATGCCCGTATAGTGCTGATGCCACCAAGTGATTCTTGGAAATGGGCATAAATGGGACTTCGACTGACGCTATCTAGTCGCTTGAGCTCGCGTGACGATCTGAGGTAGTATCGCTGGATCCAGTAGTACATGGCGCTCAAAGGAATAATCAATGCGATAAAGGCCGGTACGGTGACGGAGACTACCACCAGGGTGAAGCCAGATCGGGCCAAGTTGACAAAGAGCATGTTGAAAGTCCGGGCCAGAACCTCGTCTAGGCGGTAAATGTCGCTGGAGAACCTGTTGAGAATTCGGCCGGCTGGTGTCGTGTCAAAGAAGGACATGGGCGACCTAAAGATGGCCGTCGCCATTCTTTCGTGGAGCTTTCTAGAGGCTTCAATGGAGCAAAAGATCCAGAGAATCAGAGTCTGTATAACAGTAAGGCCCGATGAGCCGACTCCAAATGCAAAGTAGATGCCCAAGTATTTTCCGACGTAAGGGTTACCGCCAGCGTCACTGTTCATTTCTGCCCAGTTCTTCAACCACACGCTACCGCCAATCTGGGCAGTCTGCGCGGCCACCAGAGTGAGCAAGTAAATGACAACGGCAACGATATTACTTGTCCTTGCATACTCCAGATAGACGTCCCACTTGACTTTGCCTTGTTCCGAGTGCTCCTTGGTCTGTCTGGTCTTGCTACTAGGATCTTCCTCGTCCGAAAGCTTGCCACGAGGGCCCTTGAAGCTAGCTGCACTTGCGCGTCGCAACGTTGACATGCTGCCAGTTCGCTTCTGCGTACGCGAGGAACCTCCAGTCTTTATGGGAGCCAACTCCGATACACCTTCTTGGGCCTCTTCCATTTCTTCCTTGTCAATCACGTCGGGTTCCATGTACGTAGAAGATGCTTCGCTGGAGGAACCTTCTGGACTTTGTGCCTCGGACGCTGGACCAGAGTCTTGCCCAGTTGATTTGACGAGCTCGGAAATGCCTCCTCGCATTGCCATTAGTTGCGGGAAGGTTCCCTTTTCATGAATCTCGCCGTCTTTCAGCTGATAGACATAATCCGCCGAGGATAGGACAGAGATTGCATTTGTCGCAAGGATTCGGCACTTGGAACCGAGGAGACCCCTGGAGCCAAGAACATTGTCAATAAGGTGCCTTCCAACATGGGAATCCACAGCAGATAAAACATCGTCGAGCAGATAGATATCTGCACGAGCGTAGACAGCGCGCGCAAGTGCAACACGTGCTTTTTGACCGCCGCTGAGGGAGATACCCCTTTCTCCCACGACCGTTTCGTCACCATCGGGCAGTTGGGTGAAATCATCGAGCAGAGCGCAAGCCTTGACAGTTTTCTCGTAAAAGTTGGAATCATAACGGTGACCGAAGATGACGTTCTCCTTGACTGTGGCGTTCATGATCCAAGGCTGTTGAGCAACATAGGCAACATTGCCTCTGACCCTCACGTCGCCCTTCTCCTTCCACAAGTCACCCAAGACAGCCTGAAGCAAAGATGATTTTCCAGAGCCTACTCGTCCAACGACGCATGTAAGCTCGCCCTTGTGCGCGACAAAGTGGATTTCTCTGAGAACATTCTTGGATCCATGTCTGTCCCAAGAGAAATGGCCATCGCGAATGATGACTGTCTCTTCACCACGTTCCTCGGCGGCGGCCTCGATCTCCACTGCGTCTGGTTGCACTTCTTCAGCCTCAAAATACGCCGTGAGACGACCAACAGCCACGGTTGCTTCAATGATTGATGTGATAACCATGGGAAGGACTGCCAGTGGGAACGTGAGCATGTTGAACAAGGCCAAGGCTGGGAACACAATCTCGGTCGACAGTGGCCGGTCCTGAGTCAGGACGAAGACGGCAAATGTCGAGCATGAGACCAAAAATGGTGTAGTAGACCATGTAAAGTTGGCAACCGCTTGACCAGCACCAATCTTGCGCAGATTGTGGAGCTCCCTGTCATTTCTGACGTGGTTGAGCTTGTTCATGAAAGCGGTACTCCATGCATAAAGCTTGATGCTCTTCATATTGTTGATGATTTCAGCAATCAATCGGCTTCGAGCATCCTTGTTTTCCATTTGGGTCTTTTGCAGACGCTTCATAAATCTAGCAATGAAGCCATTGATGGGAATCATGATAATCATGACACCAATACCCGCGAGCATTGACCATCCGACCAATTGATACAGGGACACCATGCAAATGATGATCTGAAATGGCGCAGACCAAACCTGCTGAGCAAACTGGGTCAAATCCTGGAGACGCTGGGCGTCAACGGCCATGTAGTTGACAATGTCACCAGTAGTCTTGGTGGCCCTTCCCTCGGGAGACAGTTTCAGAGCCTTTTTGTAGATGGCGGCTGACAGCCCAGCTTTGATGCGCATACCAGTTACGAAACTGAGCTGGAAATATTGGTGCTGCACAACTGGTTAGTCGAGTTATTTCTTGATTTGAATATTCGGATACACATACAATCATGCTTGTCTGCAAGCAAGCAACGAAAAACATGCCGAGCGCGATAGCCGCACCCCTGATCGGAGGCTGCGGTTCCTGGTCCTTGTAGTAGTATGAAGCCACAAAGGCAATCAGGAGACGAAGCAGTTGGGGTTGAGCGAAAGCTGATAGATCGTTGAATATCTTGAAAACAGTGGCAAGCATGTATGGCCCTCCGTACGCCTTGAACAGCGCCAACCACAGGGATGGGTGCTTTCGATGCTCAAGCTCGTACTTCCAAGCATTGTCGAATTGGCTACCAGTGGTAGATGTCTTGTCACTTGGTGCCAGGCCCCAAAGATCTTCCTCGGTCAGATAGTTTTTGTAGCCAAACTTCATCATAGGTGTCATCCACGAAAAGGTGAGCCTGGAAAAGACCGTAGCATACTCGGCCGGACACTCGGCTCCATCATCATCGACCAATGCCTCATATGCACTTGCCGTCTTTGGCCAAAACCATTCAAACACGAATGCGACAGCAGAGAGTCCCACTCCGACGGTGTAAGCCACAAAGTATGGCAGGCTCGTGTCGTAGATTTGCTGCGAGACCAGGGAACGCAGCTTCACTGCAAAGACCAGGAGCAGGAAAAGCCAGTAAAAGAGCACGACGCCATTAGCGTAGCGTGACCGAGCGTGCTCAGACCACTGGATCGCAAATACCATCCATAGGGAGACAAAGGTGAGGACGGTCGTCAGGACTCGAAAGTCTCCGTACCAAACGTTGGGAAGGCTGACTATTTGAAAGGCGAACTGGACGACGATATCTGCAATGACGAGACCTAGAAGTGACTGATCGGCATGTTAGTCGAGTCTTGTTTCTGTTTGCACCAGTGACACTATGATGGCAGGTGAGCGGAAGCAAGGGCAAAACGTACTTGTTTGGTCCAAAAGTGCCAATCCTTGGCCACGTCGGCGGCCTTTGATTTCCTCAAGACATACCACAGAGCCAAGGCTCCAAAGACAATACCAAAGACGGCGACCGCAGCGACCCATACGTCAATGAAGCAGGGCGTGAAATCATATCGGAAGGGGCTCAATGGACCCCAGCCCTCCTCGTTACCGCATAGTGGCTGCTTGAAGTCTTCCGAGGCGCTGAGGTAGTGGTGGCCGAGCTGTTGGAGTTGCGGGCGGTATCCGGTAAAGGAGCCGGACGATTGGAGGACCTGCTGCTGCGGCAGGTCGTCGCTGAAGAGCATGACCGGACCGAAGCTGAAGCTTATCTGCTGGAATGGAAGGCCGTAATCATATCAGATGCTGCTGCGACGTAGCTGGTCTGCAATCAATCAATTGGCAAGCAGGCGTGGGAATTGGAGCTGTTGCAATATCACGTAGATATCACGCGAAATGGGATGCGAAACAGAAAAGGGAAAGAGGATGGCGGTCCCTTGTAGTCATTGGCCCTTCTGGGAAAAACGGCGAATTTTGGGTCAATGAATGACGATTCCGCTGGAGCCGCTGCGCTGCCTGGCGACGGACCTTCCGTCACTATCGCCGAGCAATCGGTGGGCTTCAGAAGGCTTCTTTCCGGCTTTTGTCAGCAAGCCACGCTAAGACCGCTAGCTGCTAGGGCGTACGCGCACTGGTCAAATTTGGCCCAAGCCGTCGGGTACCTTGGCCCATGGGTGGGGTACCTACCGACCTTATTGCTTAGCAATTTCCACCCCTCGTCAACCCCAGGCCTTTTCTTGAGATTCAAGTGAGATTCCCGAAATGCTTGAAAGTCGATGGCGGATGACGGCACGTTTTTTTGCCTGCTTGTCAGATGGAATGCCTGTCTGTGACTACATGGTATATACCGAGTAGCCAATGACAGACGCCATATTACCACCAAACATTGCTTTTAAACGCACCGTAAACGTTGTCAGAAGCAACCTCTTTGTCATACATGATTTATATCCCTTTGAGCGCGGGTGCCAGTCCAACCAGAGGTGGATACAGCATTTTGTCTATGCAGACGCGACGATCGCAGGTTTACTTTCTTTTTCCCCCTTCCCGGGATTACTCGCGTCTCAGCGAGATTCAACATGACTCTGAGACAATACTAGTCGACCCCTCACGTAAGAACTATCGCAACGTGTTGCCTAGAAGCTGCACACACACCGCTCATCATTTTCGAAGCAATACTTTAGATGCTTAGCAATCTTCTGTGGATTTTTTTTTTAAACAAATTCTGGTCTGTTCTCCTCACTACGTATCCTATTCAGCCTGATAATGGAGCTAATTAACATGCAGTGGTCTTGATCACAGAGTGCAATCATGACACTTACTAATCTCGCAATACCTCTTCCAAGAATTTCGACATGATGTGTATCTGGCCAGAATATCGGCTTTATCGAAATCAAAATCAATGCAACTTATGCCATGGCATGTTAATGTTCTGCATCCAGCGGCACAAACTTCATCAAGCACTTTTTCCCCAGCGGCTGAGATGAAATCAGCTGGTCCGACATCTCCATCATGTCAGACGTCATGGACTCGTCTGGCAGTGTTGTGAAGCGCGAATATACATCCACGAGAAGTGTCTTCATCTCTGCTAGTGCCAAGCTGCTCAAATCTGGTCAGTGAAATTGTTTCAAGTTTGGTAACATTTTGTAAATGCATACTGTTTCCCAACACACCCACGACCTCCGCTTGCAAAGGCAAAGAATAACTGCTTCCGCTCCTTATCTCCCGTTGGCGCCAACCATCTGTCTGGGTTAAAAGTGTTGGGTTCTGGAAACACATCCTCATTGATACGATGTGTCGAAAACGCCTGGCTGCTGACGATGGTCTTTTCTGGAATAAAGTAGCCGTCAATCGTCCGCCCGCCGCTTGGTACATATCGCGGAAGGGACATTGGTATCGCCGGAAAGCATCTGAGCCCTTCGAGGACGACCGCCTCTAGGTACGGCAGTTTCTCCGGGGTCAAGTCTTTGTGTGCCTGGATCTCCTGCTGCAGCCGCGTCTGTACTATCCGGGATCTCGGCTGCGATATCTCCCACATGAGGAAACAGAGGGCATCTGAAGCAGCTGTCGTCAGCAGATGAGGATTTATAATCAGCGTGTGACTCAACTCACCTCCCGTAGTATCGATGCCAGCAGCCATGTGATCCAAGCATTCGGCCGCCATGTCCAGATGCTCCAAGTCGTGTCCCTTTTCTTCCATTCGACTCAGAAGGGTAAAGGGCGACGGATCGGTCTTGGCAGTAGCGCTCAAAACCAGGTCATCCGCCAAAGGCGTTTCCCTGGGCTTTGCATATATTGAAAGAACGCCCCCAATGAGCCAATGGAGAGTCGGGTTGTAGTAACGAATCAGCCGATCTTGAAACATTAATGACTGCTCTACGACGCGTGAGTGCACAAAGACAACCTACTTTGGAGACTATCGTCGAAAGTGACTTGTTTCATAATCTCGGCGTCATCCTGGTTACGAATCGAGTCCGAACCATAGGGATGAAACAGGTGATGGCTTACACAATCAAAGGCATAAGCATGCAGAACTGAAAGAGGTCAGCATAAGGCATTGATGAATAGTTGGATAACTCGCATATCTATAATTATGTTAGCCCGGGCCGTGGAAAGAAAGGAAAAGACACTCACAAATATATCCAAAGTCCCACCCACAGAGGCGGTGCACTGCTCGATAAACCTTTCAGAGCGCTCTTTGATACCGTCCATTGATGCGGAGCGCATGATGTTTGTATTGGCATAGCGATCTGCGAGGATTCTCTTTTTCTTGGCATGCTTTACCAAAGTCAGCATACCATTTCTACTTGAAGAATTCATCACTTACGTCATTCTTGTTCAGAGTACTGAACATGGTTCTATAGCGAATATGAGTCATGCTGGTCGGTGGAGTTATGGACGATATCAACGATAGGCTCACCTCCTTCCATACACCTGAAATAAGTTGTAGAACTCAGTCTTGTCATAACCACTGCCACCAGATGAATAGATCTCCTTCACACCCTCAACTGACGCAAACGAGACCTCATTTGGTGCGATTCGCACTACTGGGCCATAAGTCTCGTGGAGTTGATGGACATATCTGGTCCGGTTGGCGTGGAATTCATGCCACTTGATGGCAAAAGAAGTGAATGAGGCGAGCTTTGGACCAGGCAATTTACGCAAAGGCGATGTCAGGCAGGTCCATATATAAGAACCAACCAAGACGAACAACCCAAGAACCAGGAGAAAAGGGCTTAAGAGTGCCATCGTTGTCGTGGCTGGCCCAAACTATGACCATTGACATTAGCAGGCGAGTAGCATTCCGGGGACGTCCACTTACATTGCTGCTGATAGTATGAAGCTTTCCGGGTGACAAGCACTTCGTGTATGGCACAAGTGCAAATGTATAACTAATATAGAAGCAAAGGATACATTTTCAGTAGTGATATTCAAGAGACCGAGGTTGTCTTGCGGTGCCTTATCGCTGCCCTCGTTCGGAGTGGGGCCATGCTATTAGTGGGGAAGTCGAAGCAAAATGCCCACTAATAGGCTGGGGAATTCAATGACTAAGACTCATTACTAGAATACTGAGACGACGTTCTTTATTCTATTCTCTTATCCACATAGACTTTGTTAGTAGTCATGTTCGGCTATACCAACTACGATCTGTCTGAAAGAAAACGGCGAGTAAGAACGGGAAACATTCTGAACTACCAGGCGACTTCGGAGCAACTATCTCATCTCACTCAACCTAAACAGTAGACACAATAGGCACACACTACTGGAATCCCACAACTGGAATATAAACGTCGATGCGACTGTATATTCAGAAAGATCTATTATGTACTGAATTCCATACAAAGCTGTAGACCATCAAATTGTGCGGCAAGGTCTCATCAGTAAGATTGAACGCTATGCTTCTTGTCGACAGACAAAGCCATTAGTCGCTGTTGAGGCAGTGTTGTGGTCAGACATCAAATACTCACAGAACATAAGTTATTTCAAGTTGTCCAAAAATTTGACGACAGTCTCAACCAACCACTTCTCGGAGTCTGCCGTCTCCACTCTGTGGTCTGCTCCGGGAATGCAGCCAGATAGATCGCTAGCAATACCTGGACGGCAGAGGCTCTTCCACTTCTGGATCAAGCTGGTCTTGTCGACTGTAGGAGGCATATACTCGTCTGAGCCCGAGTGAAGGATGAGCAACGGCTTCTTGATTCTCGACCAATATGATCCAGCCACGGCATCAATAAGGTCTGGTGAGAAGTAGTTGTCTTCGCCACTGCGTACCATTTAGCTCGCCATGTTTGGAATGTGTTGAGAAAAACAGGTGCTATTGAGTGGTCGACTTACTCGGGTGCTGCTAGCGCGTACCAGCGCTGAGCCGAAACGATACCAAAGATGGTTTGCGTCTCCTTGATGGGAACAATGGCAGTACCATTGCCTGCATCGATGAGTTCCTTGGCTACTCTAACACTCTCATCTAGCAATTGTCGTCCCAGTACCAGCTCAAGAGCTCCGCGGTCCGCAACGGGTGCCTGAAGAATGAAAGCCTCGACGTCGGCAATATCAGAATACGCAGGCGATGTGTATTCCATGATATCCTAATTACCCGTTGAGCATAGATCCGGAGAGAACACGACGAAGAAATCGTTTGATTATGCATACCTGGCAGCCAGTCGAGTGGCCAATTAATACCACCTTTTCCTTGCCAATGCTGCGTAGGTACTTGACCAGCGCAGATATATCGGCAACGTCGTCCGCGAGACGAACAAAGCCAAAGCCATTGAAAGAACTCTTTAGTCTGAACTCGAAGACGGAAAAGCTGAGCTCGGGACGGCTTTCCAATGCCTTGGCGATGGCTCGCGGGTACGGAACAGTATGAGGACCATCGCCTAGTCCACCACTTTGCATTGCTGTCAGTTGATTCTCTCATGGGTACTTGGGCCAAGAATACTGAACTCTCGGCCAAACTATCGTTATCGCCGGTTACCTCGGACAAGAAGACGTCGAGATATGAAGAAAATCTTTTTTCTTAAATGACATACATGAAAACCAAGGCATTCTTGGCAGACGAGAGTCCAGACTCATAGGCGCATGCATGCCGCGTTGGCGACTTGAAAGGATGCACCGTCGTGGTAAAAGGTGCCGATGATGTCATTCTGCTGGTGTAAAATTTGTATTCGGGGTATAGAACGAGAAAGTAATTGGATGAATGAACGGGTAATATCGAATCACTCGTTAGGAAAACGAAAGTAACAGTAGAGACAGAAACATGCACAACTTTATAGAGATTGGACCTGGCCTGTAAGGTGTAAGTAGGAGAACACCTAATCAAGCGAGTGCTGCTCGGTTGTCTCTCATGATGGTGGGGTGACCCAATGGGTTACATTAGTGGGGCATCCACTAAACGCGCGCACTCAGCGGTAGGATCCATGTGCATAATCCATATTCCGTACACTCTTCTAATTCGACCATCATCCGGAATCCAGCTTTCCCAATCCGCTCGCCGAATCCAGTTTTCCCAATCCGCTCGCCGACAAAACTGCTTTTCAAGAGATCCCTGTGAACATCATGCAACCACTCCGTGATGGAGTCCATATCGTCGACAGCGAGGACTGAATTCTTCCAGGAGGTAGGTGAACGTTTGTGCCGCTTTTACACAGTCGGCCCTCTCGGGACACGCCCCGCTAAATCTCTGTTGCAGCTTAAGCCGCGCTGTGTCGCCATCAACGACTTGGCCGTGCGCTCCCAGGACAAGCGAGCCGTAGCTAAGCAGCTCATTGCCGTGACTGAGGAGGTCTCGGATGCCCTCGAACGCCAGGTCAAGAAGGACGCCTCCATCTTGGATGAGAAGCTTGCCGGCTACATATTCTTCCCTCTTTCAAACATCTTGCGCTACCAGCAGCAATTCCCTGTCCGTCTGACGGAGCTCACGATCAAATGTCTGCGAATCCTCATTGAGTTTGGCTGGAAGAGCAAGATTGAGCCCGACTTGTCCCAACAGCTGCTCATATTCCTAACCTATGTCATTGGGGGTGTACCGGGCGAGACCAGGAAGGAGGCCATTCCCGAAGAGACCACGATTGAGAGTCTTCGAGCACTTGCATCACTGATAGCAGCCACCGGCTCTTCGACCGCTGGCTCAAAAAGCCTCGTCGAAGACAAAAATCTTCCTACAATAGGCCACACAATCTCGGTCATATTGGATACCGTGAACAAGGGGGAAACCGCCGAAGTCCAGCTTGAAGCACTCCATGTTGTGGACGCTGTATTTACAGCAATCAAACAACCTGCTATACTGGCCAGCTTCCTGCCGGGAATAGTCTCTTCACTTACAAAGTTATTGAGTCCGCCTCCAGCATGGAAGACGCCTCGAAAAGTACTCGTAAAGGGCATTGCCGCGCTCAAATCTGTTCTTGTCAACGTCTTGGCGGACATCAAGGTAACAAAGCTACTTAAAGAAATCACCGATTCCAAGGACGGGAAGTCAAAGGACGAGAAGGACTCAGCCGTCGATAACCAAATCTTCACAGCACCCTGGCTGAAAGCTACAGCGTCACAAATCAAAATTGCGCTCGCAAGTATTCTCAAGTTGCGGACGCACAAATCCGAGGATGTTCAGACTGCTCTTGAGAGGCTGTGCATTGGCCTACTTGACGAGTGCCGCCAGTCGCTCTCGATCTGTACAGCTATACTTGTAGAAACAGCAATGGTTCTGTCTGCAGAGGAGGAGAACCATTCGCTCATACAGGCTGGCTTGAACACGAGCTTGGTGGATCTAACGAGCATATATCCCGAGCTTATAGATGTGGTCAAAACGACTGTCTATAACTTTGTCACAAGCCTACCACGGATTATGCAGTCGAGTGATGAAAATGTCAAGCAGCAAGCAATCCGGAATCTACTCAAGGGACAACGCCTTTTGAGCACGCTGCGTATAGATTCGTCGACTTTGAACGATACCATGGCTGCTTCCTTGCGCGATAGTGTATCCACTCTCTTGTCCTCGGGTGTCAAGTCCAACGTTGCAGAGTTGTCATCCACAGACCTTGTGCTCAGTAGCGGAGATCTCGCTGCGACGGCTCAGTCGACTCAATTCCAACCATTCCTGATGAACCACAGTGTCCAAAAGTCCACCCGCAATGAGCTTTTGACTCTAATAGCAAAAAGTGGTACATTTGCTCAACATGCTACACTAGCAAGAGACATGATTGAATATTTGAGAGAATCTACCGGAAATTCACAAGTTGCATCGTACTGGCTCTCATTTGAACTCGTCAAGGCTGGTTTGGCTTCATCGTCGGAACTGGACGAGTTCCTTGACTTTGGATCCGCGGACACGAATGAAGATCACGAAGAACTCCTCCAGGAGTTATATATTTTCTCGGTTGAACTTCTCAACTCAGACGAGGATGCAGAGGTGCTGGACTGGAGATTGCAATCATTGGCGCTGGAAGTGGCTGCATATACAGCATCGAGGATGAAGGCCGACTTTCGCCCAGAGCTGATTGACGTACTGTATCCCATATCGACGAATTTGGGCTCCTTAGTTCCGCAGCTGCGCGAGCATGCCATCATAGCTCTTAACAGCATAGCTATGTCATGCGGCTATGCCAATGTTGCGGACTTGGTCATCGAAAATGTCGACTATATGCTAAACTCGGTTTCGTTGCGGCTCAACACCTTTGATATTTCACCAGCCTCCACACAAGTTCTCCGTATGATGATCAGACTCACGGGCCCGAGACTGATACCGTACCTTGATGACGTGGTCGCTTCGATTTTCGGTGCCCTGGAAAACTACCACGGCTATCCGCTCTTTGTTGAGAACTTATTCGCTGTACTTGCAGAAGTGGTTAATCAGGGTGCCAAATCTAACCAACTGCTATTGGAGGATGATTCAAGATCCACTACAGATCACCAAAAACATCCCCGGCAAATGGTCAAGATTGAAGATATCGTTAAGGATCTGAGCAGACGCTCGGATAGGAAGAAGAGAAGGCTTAATGAAAATGATGAAATTGAAACAATCAATCATCCAGAGAAACCTTGGAAACGTGGAAAGACTGGAGAAGAATCTCCCGAGGATGATGAAGAGGAGCCAAGTCAGGATGTCGAGAAAAAGCCACCTACGACAACAACGTACACCCTGCTCACACGGATCACCAGCCTCACGCAACACTATCTTACCTCGCCAACGCCTTCTCTCCGAAAATCTCTCTTGGATCTGCTCGCCATGGTTTGCCCAGCTTTGTCACCGGACGAGGAGACGTTTTTGCCAGTTGTCAATTCCATATGGCCTGTGCTACTAGAGCGCCTCTACGATCAAGAGTCATTTGTTGTCACATCGGCCTGCAAAGCGTTGAGTGCACTTTGTGCCAGCGCAGGCGACTTTCTCAGCTCCCGCGTCGAGACGACTTGGTCAGATGGCCTGAGGAAATGGATCGCAAAGAGAAAAAGCCTGGCCTTGGGAAACTCGTCAACGTCGAAAAGGAGAATGGTCGACTCCAAGCAAAGGATCATCAACACGAACGCATCATCAGACCTCGTAATGCCCATTAGATCAGCGGGTGGACTAGAAGCCAAGGAGCCACTGAAACCTCTTGATCTCAGTAGCACGACCCCGACCAAGGGCGCTGTAGTGGGAGGAGGTCTCGGTGAGTTCACACAAGCTCGGCAAATTTGGGAAGCAGTTCAGGAGCTACTCGTTGCAATTGTCTCATTCGTTCGCATTGACGATGATATGTTTGATGATATACTCGCGCTTTTCGGTGGCGACGGTCTCGCACGTAACCAGGAGGCCAAGAAGGCGCTTGAGGCTGTGAACGAGGATGCCGTCTGGCTGGTATTGTATGAGGAGGGCCGAGTAGATTTGTTAAACCAACCCGAGAATGCTACGGAAGTAGAGTTTGTAGAGTTGTGTAGACCCAACTCACAATCTATCGCTGCCGGATAGTCGCGGATACTTGTATGTAGCCTTGGCCATTTGAATTACAAAAATCAGGACAATCGGCAACAAGAGCACCCTACACCAATCAGGTACATGCATTGAAGAGTGAAAGATTGACTTCCTCAACACCATGATCCTGGCTTTTCAACGTTGTTCCATTACATAGTATTACTGTTGGTAGAACTTGCAGCACACACACCAAGTACTCTACATACCATTAGCGCGTCGGCCCCGCCTAAAGTGCCTCCATAAAACCTGTGCATCTTGGCCGTGGGCCCTGGTCAGCAGCCATTCATAACCCCACTAATACAAAGGTCGCGTCACTTGCAGGGATCAACAGCGCGTCAAAAGTAGCAACGCGACCGCGTCTTTTTCCCACTCTAAAGAGGTCCGCGGGTCTCTTCCCCAGTCCATTACCGCTTCCCACACCAATTGATCTTGCGAGATCGTTTTGGGTCTTACTCTGTCCATTTGGATTATGTTTGTTGCATAGCAGAACACATTTGTTTTTGAAGTTCCCTCAACATCACCCACACAAGCCGTTTGTCGCCCATCATGTCCAAGGTTGCGGCAAAGAGGGCCAAGCTCGCCGAGCTAAAGGCTCTCAAGGCCTCGGGCAAGAAGGTCTTTGACTCGTACGAAGTTGAGCAAGAGGCCGATCTCTACGAGGAAGTCGACGAAAACCAATACAAGAATATCGTCCGAGACCGTTTGAACCAAGACGACTTTGTCGTTGACGACAATGGCGAAGGATACGCCGACGACGGACGCGAAGAGTGGGATCGCGTCCATCAGTACGAAAGCGATAGCGAAGATGATAGAGTTATACGAGGACACGACCGCAAATCTGGTACGCTCTCCCCAATATTTTTTTTTTTTTTCCAATATATACATTCAAGACGTGTTGCATTAACACTCCGTGCAGACAAACGGAAACGTGACGAGGATAAGGCCAAGCGAGACGCAAATGACAGAGATATCAGCGAGTACTTCATGAAAGGCCGTACCGCCCCTCAGCCCAAGCCAAAAGTAAGCCCCGCAGACCTACAGACTAAATCATATCTCGCGCTCAAGACTAATTGGCATTTTAGGTGATCAAGACAGAAGCAGACGATCAGTTTTTGGCAGACCTCCTCGGTGAAGTCGACGCCAACATTCCCGGCCCAGCAGCCCGAGCACCCAAGAAGATCACTCCCGAGAGAAGGAAAGCGCGTGCTCTGTCCCCAATTAGACAGCCAGTCGCAAAGAAGGTCAAGACCGCAGAACCAACGTTGCCGTCACCAGTTCGTTTTGCGGACGATGACTTTATTGCCACTGCAGACGACGACTTGCCTCTTCCACATGTTTCGGAGCTTGCCATGAGTGATGCTGACCCAGCACCTTCATCACCAGTCGCAAAGGTCGTTGAACGCAGGACATCTATTAAGGTAGAACCTGCCGATGACGATGACGAGGATATGATGGAGGTTGCCCTGGGCGGCACCATCAATACTGCCAGTGTCAACCTTTCTGCTTCGAGGCCGATCAAGAAGCTCGTCAAGGCAGAGCCGTATCCCTCGCCCGCCAATTCCTCACCTGCAAAGGCTCCCGAGCCCTCTGTCGACTCCTCATCATGGAATGAGCTCACCAACAAGCTCAATGTCGTCAGCGCATCCCCGACCGAGACACGATCCGTTGGAAAAATCGACTACAAGGATGCTGTTGAAGAAGACGGGAGTCTAAACTTCTTCTGGACTGATTACACAGAAGTCAATGGCAGTCTTTGCCTATTTGGCAAGGTTCTGAACAGAAAGACCAACTCGCACGTCAGCTGCTTTGTCAAGGTGGACAATGTTCTGCGAAAGTTGTACTTTCTGCCTCGTCAGAACCGCCAGCGAGATGGTGTCAGTACTGACGAGACGGTTGAAATGATGGACGTCTATACTGAAGTTGACGAAATCATGACCAAGATGAAAGTCGGTATGCACAAGATCAAGGCCTGCACCAGAAAATATGCCTTTGAGCTTCCCAACATCCCCGCGGAAGCGCAGTACTTGAAACTCCTATATCCATACAACAAGCCTCAGCTACCCGTGGAAACGGTTGGCGAGACCTTTTCCCATGTTTTTGGTACCAATACTGCTCTTTTTGAGCAATTTGTGCTTTGGAAGGATATCAAGGGCCCTTGCTGGTTGAAGATCAAGGATGCCGACTTTGGTTCCCTCAAGAATGCATCTCACGCCAAGCTCGAGGTTCTCGTTGAGCACCCAAACATGATCTCTTCCATCAGCGAGTCCGACAATCTCGATGCTCCTCCTCTCACACTGATGAGTGTCGCCATGAGGACCACATTCAACGCTAAGCTGAACAAGCAAGAGATTTTGGCCATCAGCGCCCGGATTTATGAGAATATCTCATTGAGTGATACCACACCCGCCGAAAAACTGCCCAGTCGAACCTTTACATTGATTCGTCCAAATGGTGCGGCATTCCCAATTGGGTTTGAGAAAACAGTAAAGGACAGGAAAAAGGGCGGCTTGATCAAGCTCATGAAGCAGGAGCCCGAGATGCTCTCCTTTTTCTTGGCCCAAATTGACGTTGCAGATCCTGATGTCATAATGGGACATCAGCTCGAGGGTGTCGATTATAGCATTCTTTTGAACCGTTTGGCTGAAAAGAAGACTCCTCAGTGGTCTCGCCTTGGACGTCTGCGACGAAGTGTTTGGCCGCCGTCCATGGGCAAGGTTGGTGGTAACGTCTTTGCCGAGCGACAAATCATGGCGGGCCGACTTCTGTGCGACCTTGCCAATGAGGCTGGCAAGTCGGTCATGTTCAAGTGTCAGTCATGGAGCTTGACTGAAATGTGCAATCTCTACCTTGGTGGAGAGAAGCGCAGAGATATCGACAACGAAGCCGCCTTGAAGACTTGGGCAGCCGAGAAGAACGGACTCATGGATTACATCACCCACATGGAGGCTGATACACACTACATTGCTGCTCTTGCTTTGAGAACGCAAATGCTGCCATTGACCAAGGTCTTGACCAACCTGGCCGGAAACTCCTGGGCACGAACACTGACTGGTACTCGTGCTGAGAGAAACGAGTACATTTTGCTCCACGAGTTCCACCGCAACAAGTACATCTGCCCCGACAAGCAAGTCTTCAAGGGCAAGCCCAAGCCTGAGGATGAAAACGAAGAGGCTACAGAAGGCAAGAAGAAGGACAAGTACAAGGGAGGTCTGGTCTTTGAGCCAGAAAAGGGTCTATATGACAAGTTCGTTCTTGTCATGGACTTCAACTCCCTTTACCCCTCCATCATCCAGGAATACAACATCTGCTTCACCACCGTTAAGCGCGCAGGTTGGGTAAGTTGATACTCATCCAGTGCCATTGGCTATTAACTGTATGCTGACTCGCAAATATAGTCTGGAGATGAAGACTCCGTGCCCGAGGTGCCCGAGGAGCAAGATATCGGTATTCTACCCAAGCTCATTTCTACGCTAGTCAGTCGTAGAAGAGCTGTCAAGAGCCTCATGAAGGACAAGAATGCCACAGCTGAGCAAAAGGCAACTTGGGACATTAAGCAGCTTGCCTTGAAACTCACTGCCAACTCCATGTATGGATGTTTGGGTTACACCAAGTCACGTTTCTATGCCCGCCCTCTGGCTGTTCTCACCACCTTCAAGGGCCGTGAGATTCTGCGCAGCACCAAGGATTTGGCTGAGTCCAACACACTTCAAGTCATTTACGGTGACACTGATTCCGTCATGATCAACGCCAATGTGGACTCTGTTGCAGATGCCCTCAAGGTCGGCCAAGAATTCAAAAAGGCCGTCAATGAGCGCTACCGCCTACTGGAAATTGATATCGACAATGTCTTTAGGCGCATCCTGCTCCAAGCAAAGAAGAAGTACGCTGCCATCAACCTGGTTGAGGTTAATGGTAAATGGGAGGAGAAGATGGAAGTTAAGGGTCTGGACATGAAGCGCAGAGAATACTGCGGACTGTCCAAGGAGATCTCATCCCGCATCCTCAATGACATCTTGTCCGGTGATGACACTGAAGTATCCATTCAGCGCATCCACGAGTATCTGCGCGAGACTGCGGCCAAGATGCGTGAACATACAATTCCTGTTCAAAAGTACATTATCTTCACACAACTTGGAAAGGCACCAAAGGAGTACCCCAATGCCGACTCCATGCCGCAGGTACAAGTCGCTCTCCGAGAGATTGCACGTGGCAAGAATGTGAGGCGTGGAGACGTCATTTCATACGTTATCACTGGTGATAGCGGATCTTCTGACCCCGTGGCTAAGCGTGCCTACACACCTCAGGATGTGATGAAGTCCGACTCCAATCTCAAGATCGATGTCGAATGGTACATTGGCAAGCAAATCTTTCCTCCGGTAGAGCGTCTTTGTGCCAACATCACCGGAACATCGACGGCTCAGCTCGCAGAGCAGCTTGGTCTAGATATTCGCCGCTATGCCAACAACTCATCACACGGGAACAGTGGACCTCAGGATCTTGAAATCCACCCACTGGAGTCTCAGATTCCTGACTCCATTCGCTTTGCCGACTGCGAACGTTTGCAACTACGTTGCAGGAAGTGCAGAGCCTCAAACCCCTTTGAAGGTCTCATTGGCTCTTTGAAGTCGGTTACTCCTACAGGTGTCGTCTGTCCAACTTGCTCAGCATCAATTCCCAACCTCAGCATTGTGGCCCAAGTTGAGGCAGCTGTCCGCAGACAAACCGCCAGGTATTACGAGGGTTGGCTCATTTGCGATGACCCATCCTGCGGCAATAGGACACGACAGATGTCTGTTTTCGGTAACCGCTGCTTGGGTCCCAATGGACTTGGCAAGGGTTGCATGGGCAAGATGAAGTACGAGTACAGCGAGCGCGATATATACAACCAGCTGAGCTACTTTGCCAGTCTCTGGGACGTTGAGAAGGCCAAAGCCAAGGCCAGCAGTGATGATTCTCTTGACGAGGAGAAGAAGCTGAGCGCCGAGGAGAAGACTGAAGTCGACGTCAGGGCAAAGCAGAATAAGAACCGCTTTGATCTTGTACAGGGTGTTGTCGAAAAGTACTTGGACAAGTGCGGCCGACGATGGGTCGCCATGGACACATTGTTCGGAAAGTTGGGATTCATTGCTGCATGATTTTGGTTGTTCGAGTAGGAACTAGGTAGAAGAAGCTCAAGGCAAGGAGTACGGCGTCGGGTATCTATTATGACTTTTGGGTCCGTCCTTGATTGACAAGACAGGCAGAGGAACGTCTAATGTGTTTTCATGAAACTTGGAAATTTTGTTTATACACGTTCTAGAAAATCGACGTCTTGATAATTGAACACGTTCAAAAAGTATCTGCATCGTGCCCCCCAGTAAACAAGGCTGTAATAATTTCCAGATTTTGTTGCACCTATAGGTTGGGTGGATTTTGTGACACGGCATGAGAGAATCGTTTCCAAATATACAAAAACATTCAAGATCACTGGATGAAAGAGAAGAGATTGATTTGGTTAATACATACAACCTTCTAGTACATCTCAAACAAGCATAAACAAATAATCCGAATCAACACCTCAGCAAATACAAAACACGAAACACCAATGAATTCAGAGAAAATGTCAATTCGTTTCGCTCGCCTCGTGTAGACTGACTGACAAAGTCTGGGAAATTAAAGTGATGTACAAATGTAGCCACTCCAGTAGGTAGAGAGAGCAGCTTAGCAACAAAGGCGGCATTGAAACAATCGCCCAAATCTTTTTTTCCACCTCCCTCAAAAGTGCACAATGTCAAAATACAATTTCCTCCAAGGTCGTCGTCGACGTCAGTCAGCAAGTAAGCGTCATATGCACCCCCAAACAAAAAACTTTGTCGTGCATCTCATGTCTCCGGTTCTTGACACGAATATCAAGCGCCCGACTCTTGCCCTGTCGTCCTCATTTTTTTTCCTTCGTCATCATCCCTCCGTCTTTTCCTCGGTCATCCATGCCAGCTTCTCGATATCAAATCTTCTGTCCTGGCCATCTGAGATCAGACCGAGTAAAAGGTTCCTCGCGTAACCTCTTTGGCCAATGTGAAGCCGGGTCCTCGAGGGTTAACAAAAAAATCAAAAGGCAAAACACTTTGTGTTGAAGTGAAAGATGTTCGTGCAGCGTCTTTGCCGCCAATGAACATGTCGTGAGAATAATTCTATCGGAAGGGAGGTATCATATGATCAATGAATCTGTATGAACTTTTTGAGACACATTCTGTCGATCCTTTGTAAATGCAGCACAAACCCCGTCTATGCACAGATTTGCCTGGAGCAAATACATACAGTCTAGTTTTAAAAAGAGAAGATCAACCAATTACTCCTTGTCCGCAGCAGCTGCCTCGGGTGTGACCTTGGCAAGGGCAGGAGAAGCAGCCGTGGACGGCGGAGAAGCTGGGTTGTTGTCTTCCATGTTGGCCAGAAGACTACATACATGTTAGCATTTTTCACATTGTGTGAATAGGTAGGGGGTTCGTCAACTCACCTGAATGCATTGGTGCTGCTCTGAGTGGGAGGTGTGCCAGTTCGGGACGAGGCACCAGAGTCTTCGGCGCCACGGCTTAGGGAACCACCAGGGCCCAAGCGACGACCACTGTTGCTACGGGAAGAGAACATCGAGGTGGGACCCAGCGAGATGTTCTGGCTCGCGGTACGACCGACGGAGCCCTTGAGGCGGCGCAGATCGTCCATACCGACGGTGTTGGGGGCTTGTTGAGGGTAGCCACCAGAGTACTGGCGGGCATCGCCACGGCCCATGGGGAAACGACCGCTGCCACCACGCTGGTTGGTCTTGGCCGCCTCAGCCGCCTTCTGAGCAGCTGCGGCCTCGGCCTCGGCACGAACCTCTTCCAGAGTCTTGGGACCCTTGTTGGTCTCCTTGGAGACCCACTGGGCTCTCCTCAAGTCAACGACATCCATGAGCATGAACTTCAGACGGCTGGGAATGTCGGGCATGTCAATCATCTGCTGGATTCTTGTAAAGTAAGCATCCATCATGATCTTGCCCTTCTCAGTGGAGTCCAGGTTGCCACCAATAGTGCGCAACAGCTTGGATAGAGATTCGACCTCGGCCTCGTCGGGAGTACCCTGGAAATCAACGAGCTTGCGCACACATTCGTGCATAATACGCTCTGTAAGCATGGAGAGCTTGTACAGCTCACCAATGAACTGCACGAGACCCAGACCACGACGCTTGGCAGCAGCCGCAGCGTAGTACTCGTCGGACATCATGGCAGCCTCCTTTGACTCGCCCTCACCAGGCTCGGGTAGTTGGGTCTTCCAGCCTCGCTCGAACTCCTCCTGACATCGGTTGAGCAGGTACTTGCGGAACAAAGCACCGCCACTGACAACGTTGCCGTTCCTATCCTTGATGTTATCATCACGAACCTCGGGACTCATAGTCTCGAGCATGCGCTTGGCAAACTTGGCATACATTGATGCCCAGTGAGCCTCGTCAGTAGCCTTTTCAAAGGTGAGCTGAATGACTTGGCGCAGAGTACGTCCGTCCGACTCCTCCTTGGACTGGGCAGCAATGTCAAGAATCGACTGTGCAATTTTGTCAAAGTTCTCCGGGGTCATCTTGTTGAGCGCAGCCTTAACCTTGCGCTGGACCATGGGCGGATCCATGAGACCACTAGGCTGTGGTGGAGCAACACTCTTCTGTGAGAGACTGGCAGGCTTCCAGCCCGTCTCAGAGGTCTTGATAGCCTCAATCTTCATACCGGCAGTCAAGGGCATGGTCTTAGCGGCCTTCTCTTCCGCCTTGGCGTCAAAGGTGTTGCGCTTGCTGGCACCACGGCGAGAGTTGGTTCTCGGAGCAGAAGCCATGTTTGAGCTAGATGTTCGCGACATCATGTTGCCAGCAGGGAACGAACCAGGTCGGCCAAAGCTGTTCATGGATCCCATAGCAGGACGGGGCATTTGACCTTGAGCCATGGCAAAACGTTGTTCTGAAGTTGTGCCAGCAGGAAGCGGCTTGGTGGCCCCAACACCGAATTGGCCGATGGGAAAGTTGCCTCCGCGGCTGGAGCCAGCCCGGGCGGTTGCGGGCGTCCGGCTTGATGCAGAACGACCACCATCGCCGTCACCAATCAGGTTCTTAACCTGTTGACCAAATTCGAGCGAGGGCTTCTCGGTGAAGACGGTCTGGAATTGGAGCAAGAAGCTCGGATCATACTTGAATGAGGTGCCCTTCTTGGAGACAGCCGTATTCAAGGCCGGGTTGGGAGAGCTGATGCCCTCGGGATATTTGAGGTTCATAAGCGCTTGGACGCTTTGCAGGCGCTTCGCAGTCTTGAGCGATTGAAGGGCTGCAGAGGGTTGGGGTGGCTCAACTCCAACGTTGGTGTTGAGGTTCAGAGGAGCAGGCTTGGTACCACGCTTCTCGCCTGGGCTGACCTTGGCGGCCGTGACTGGCTTGTCATCGACGTTGAGGCTTGCGGGCTTCTTGGACTCCTTATCGAGGAGAGACATGCTGCCCAGCTTGCCAGCCAGGGCATCAGCGACGGACGGAGTCGACTTGCCTTCGTTCTCAAGACGCTTGCGTTCCTTCTCCTCTTCGAGTCTCTCAGCCTCTCTTTCAGCCTCCTTCAGCTTTTCATCAGTGCCGGCAAGCTTCTTGGCCTCCTCTTCGGCCTTCTTTCGTGCGTCTTCGGCAGCCTTCTTCTTCTCAGTAATGGCAGCCTGCTCAGCTTCACGCTTGGCGTCAGCCTCTTCCATTTCGCGAATCATTCGCTCAATTTCATCTTCCTCGTCCTCTGCCGCAGGAGCAGGAGCCTCCGCTGCCTTCTTTTCAGCCTCGGCCTTGGCTGCGGCTTCCTCAGCAGCCTTCTTCTCTTCGGCGGCCTTCTGCTCCTCCTTCAACTTCTCCTCTTCCTTGGCCTTTTCCTCAGCAGCACGGGCTTCCTCAGCGGCCTTGGTTTCAGCGGCCTTGGCTTCCTCTTGCTTGGCCTTTTCATCAGCCATCTGTCGAGCAATCTTCTCCTTGAACTCGTTTTGAACCTCGGCCGAAGTCTTTGTGGCGGCACTGTCGGTTCGGTTGTGAGCTGGAGCGTTCACCTTTGGTGTGGTCGACTTTGGAGGCGGCGTGGGGGTCGACGCAATAACTGGTGGTGTCTTTGACTGGGCGCTGTGTGCCGGAGAAGCTGGTGCCTTGAGAGCGTTGAAGTCTACAGCCTCACCATTGGCATTGCGAATGGTGATGGCGCCGCTTTTCCTCACTGGCTTCACAAATTGAGGTGATGCAGCAACAAGTGGAGCCTGTTTGTTAAGTTGAGGGTTGACCGGCTGGGGGGTCTGACCAGTGCTAGAAGTTGGTCGAGTCTCCGAGGCCTGCGATTGAGTACGGGACATGGGCTGAGGTACAAAGGCCGGAGGAGGGCCAGTGTAGGGAGTTTGAAAGTTCGGGCCCGGAGAGTGCGGCTGTGGCATGTTGTACATGTACTGTTGTGGCATAGCACGCGGATCGAATGTACCCGGGGGTCCGTAGTAACCTTGCTGTTTGTTGTGACCTGTTAGCGAGGGATCAAAATTACTTGGCATATGTGTTGATCTCATAGGAGGGAAGTGAGAGCCCATGGGAGGGCGGTGCCACATTGGCATGTTCAAATTTCGGTTAGTATCAACACGCTCTCCTCGTTCTGCTGGCAACTGGCCATGCCAACGAGCGTCATCCTGCACCATGTCCTTGAGAAAGTGATTGTCTGCGCGCTTGTTGTTGAAGCGTCGCGGTTTACCACCTTCTCTGGCATAGTCGTTTGACTGAGAGCGGTGCCGAGGGTTGAAAGACTTCTCTCCATCACGGCTGCGTTGATTTTTCCGCTTGTACGGTTTGTTGTTCTTATACTCAAAGTTGCGAGTGGGGGGAGACGTTACGTTTTGCATGGGTCCGCCCATGGGCGGTTGGTAGTAGTAAGGTGCAGTCCCAGGGACGGGCATGGCAGCAGGCAAAGCCGGACTGGCGCGGTTCATGGGCGGTGTTCCAGGATTGAAGTTTCCACGGGGTTGGAAGGCGGGTGCCATGGTGCCTCGACCTTGTGCGGGATGGCTTTGGCGGTAGGCCGGAGATCCGTTGGGCGGGTAGCCCATCTGGTTGTGGCTGTTGTAGTTGGGGTTGTAGCCACCGCGTCCGCGACCTGCCGGGTGATATCCTCCACGGCCGGGGGGTCCACCCTGAGCAGGAACGCCCTGGTTGCTAGGATCGTTGGCCATGGACTGGGAAGACTCGTTGCGGATGTGCGAGGGGTTCTGCGAAGCGGCCGAGGTACGGCGCATGTGGGTCTGTTACATCATGTTAACATCAAGCGTAGGATGGAGGGATGGGATATATATCCTTACCTCACCGTTGCCTCCAAAGCTGCCGAATGTGACATTGCCAGACTGAGCGCTGGAGGGGGGACGGCCGCCGCTAGCTGAAGGCTGAGGGATGGGTGACGGCGAGTTCTGCGGAGAAGGCACCCGAGCGTTGTTGTTGGAGTTCGGGATAGCGATGGGAGCGCTGCCACCTTGAGGGGTGCTGTGCGAAACAGCAGGCGAGGCCGAGAAGCCGAATTGGATCTTACCGGCGTTTCCGTTGGCAGAGTAGTTGTTGTTGTTGCCACCTACGGTGACAGAGGGCTTTCGAGCATGGTTATCTCCGTTAGTGCCGACTGCCACAGCAGGGGCAACGGTAGGAACTGCGGGCATGATGGGACGACCGTTTACTTGCGAGGCAGAACCCGACTTCGCATGTTGCGAGGTACCGGAAACAATGGTAGGCGTGGAAGAACCTCCAGCAACGATGGGCGTCGATTGCTTCTTTTGAGTAGAAGCAGCCGATGCGTACGATGGAGAAGAACCGTTCGGGGCAGTGGACGCGTTGGCGGGTGTTTGCTGGTTGGACGTGGAAGTCATATGTGACGTCTTGAGGATACGCGCAGACTTGTGCCTTTTCAGTTGAGCTTTCGTGATTTGATCGAAGGGAATCTTCTGTGGTCGGGAAATGCGAAGATTGCTTTGCCCGAGTAAGAAAATTAGGATCCTCCAAACTATTATAGTCTGCAGACTGATTGTTGCTGGATCTGGTGAACAGTCGAATATCAAATTCGAATGTTGATGAACAATGTGCTTCAGAAGTGAATGGATGCCGAAACTCTCAAGTATCGGGAGAATAGAAATCCTTCTCGTGCGATTAAATTAGAGTTTTCCGCGCCAAATGGCTTCCCTTTCCTTCTTGTTGGTGAGCAGATTATTCACACCGAGTTGCGATAATCGAAACAAACAGAGCAATCCGCGAGGGTGAGTCGTGGATGTGCGAAGATGTTCGATGAGTCCTGCAAGTGGAAACAGAAGGCAACGAACCAGACGGATGGGTATCAAAAGACCAAATTACTGTCGCAGCGGTGAATTGATGCGCAGAAAAGAAATCGGCGGCTGGCGATCTGTGATGAGATGCCAACTTTCACTGCAGAGGTGGATTGCGATTGAGGGTGGTCGCGAGTCGTCTGTGAGGAATCAAACAACGTGGTGATGATTCCAGACAGAAGCGCAGACGGGGGAGGGTCTCGTTCCGGTCGACTTCAGGAAGATCTCGTCTCGGGGAGGAGAGGAGAATAGAAGTACAAGAGTGGGGAGGAGAGTCTTCTCTGAGATGAATACAGAGGAAGACGTAATTCTTCTACCTCGATGAAAAATACAACGAGTAGAAAAGAAAAAAAAGAGACCTAAAGGGATGGGGTTCCTCTGGTCAGTCACGTAAAGTGATCGTGGGTGGTGAAGGAGGAGAAACTTTTTTTCAAAAAAATTTGGGGACCGCTCTCCAAAGGTGGATGGAAGGGCTGGGAAAGCTGGCAGGCCAACTGGGTGGGTTCCACTTTAGGCCTTCCCGCTACCACTGACCAGTCGACCCAGGTCAAGTCTGGTAGGCGAGCCCAGTAGTGGGCAAGGTAGGTAGCAGGTAGGTACTTGTTGGACGGGAAAAAAACACCCACAATCTTAGCCCCGGTGGGTCAGCGCTCGCTCGTCTTCTCCTTCAGTGGCTCACAAACGCTGGCGTGTCATCGCTAGATGCTGTAATCCGTTCTCCTACGTACTGCCCAAACGCGTGCGCTATTCCACACGTCCCCAAGGCATCGACTCCACCAAACTCCTCATTAAAAAAAAAAAAAAAACAAAAAAAAGAGCCTGGCTTGGTGTGTCCACCCCCGGTCGCGAAGATTGGCACGGAGCGCACCTAAATTCTGATGCCGGAAGATCTAATGTACTACCAGCGCGAGACACTTATGGCAAAGTACATTCGACATCTTGGCTTCTTGCCTCTTTTTTCCTCCTCAATCTTGTCACCCGAGATTCATCGCTACAGCGCACTTCTTTTTCTTTCCCACTCGATTCAATAATGCGCCAACCTTGATGCATTCGTTTAATTTCCATCAAAGAAGAACCTTGTCGGCCATGACCCTTTGCACCCAAAACAAGACGCAATGAGTCTCGGGCCGTTGAGTCAAAAAGCTTGGCGGTCAGCAAAACAGTCATAGCCAGACAAGAGACTCAACACACAGATGCAAGCCACATTACCTACCTGGAGGTTTTGGCACATGCAAAGTACCAAAAAGAGTCTGCCTACAAACTCTGTCTTCCTACCTAGGTATGGCCAGTAGGAGTATCCTGCCTTGTTCAGTACCACCAGCTAGGTTGTCCATGTTGGTAGCGATCACTTTCATGCATTCAGGTACGGAAGTAGGCAATCAGATATCGATGCTTTGGATTTCCATGTCCATATACACATATCCATGGATGTTGCGTTAGGTAGGTCCATCGGATCTTCGCTCTGGGGCCGGCTGTGAATGAGCCTGAGCATCAACCGTGCGCCGATGCTCGCAGCCTGACCATAATCTACCTACTTTTGTAGCTCGTACCTTGCCTAGCTTTTCTCCAAGACGCGACCTTTTTGCAGCTATTCGTCCTCCCGGCCGGACCCAACTACTTTCAAGTCTGCCAATCGTGTTGGAGCCAAAGTCACCTTCAGAAAAATAAATAAATTGGAAAACATACAGACGAAGGAATCTGAGTGTCTGGTGGACTTGGTAGCTACTAGGTAAGTAGGAATACCTCAGGCTCAATTCGATGCGCCGAGCATGAAAATGAAACGTTGAAAGTACCTCCTACCTCCGAGGTGCTCTGTACGTTTATTACGCTTGCACGTTAGGTAGGTTTTCAGGTGTAGGTTGAGTAGGTTCCAAAAAAAAAAAAAAAAAAAAAAAACTGCTTCGGATTTGTCAAATACACACCGAATCGCTTCTTCAACACCTCTGGCAACTTGTTAGCATACCTCCGTGGGCTGGTCATGTCTATTTTGATTGAGTCCCTTGCTTTTCGGTGAGAAATCTCTTGGGGGCACAAGATTTTAGGGGTTCATGTTGAGTTTATGTTTGGGGATTATGCTTATTTGAAAGATGGCATTTTTGCCATGTTAGTATTTGCATCCGAAATCCGATCAATCGCATGTAGACGTGGGAAAAGCCATGTCCGCCATCCTTCATTGTTCATTTGACAGACGAATGAATTAGCTAAAGAGTCGAAGTGCTCGAGGATGTGGTGTTGCCATCCATCATATAAGCAATCAGAAAAAGGCTGCCGCGGATTTTGTCGATCATATGTACGCACTGTACTCATACCGGACCAAAGACCGTGTTTCGAAACACCACCCCGAACTTGTGGTATGCCCAGCGATACCACCCATGTCTCCCACGCGACAAGATACGTTCCTCATCTACATTAATGGACAAAGTCTGCACATAGCCCGTAGGCAGGTACCCTAGCCTCGCTTGCTTGAATCTCGACTTAAGAGTAGAGAAAAGATTTCCTGGATGCACTGCTGCGGACGTAGCGCTCCGAAGAAAACCGTCTCGCACATTGTAACGTCTAAAGTAGGCATGTATGTCTACTCGCAGGGTTCCTGGGGAAATCGCCCAAAGACCCGGGGAACTCTTCGTCTTTCCACGAAAATAATATTGCTTGGAATTCCTTCAACTTGTGGTTTAGTTGCAATCTAATGGTCATGTCATTTAGGAGCTACCCCCTTCGTCGGTAGATACCTAGTAGCTATATAATAAGAAACTCATATAAGCTACCAATATACGTAGCCCGTGGTGTAGCGTGCTAGAGTCCCATCAACGCGTGTGCAACATACATTCGCGTCCTAATATCACCACACAAATTAATGTAAAGGCCTGGCCGGAAGAGCCCCCTGCCGTGCCGAGCTACATGATTTTTTCCAGTCTACTTTTTCGATAATGCTTTACTAGACAGAAAAGTATATAAAATTGTGTGTCTTTCTGTCACAAAACGTAATTTGATTATCTACAAGGTAGGGAATTGCTTTCAAGCTGATGACATATAATGCAAAACCTGCAGGCACGTCTTTGAAAATGCCGAACGTTTGTTCGACATCTACACAGTACTCAAAGGACGCAACGACGCTGAGGATTGATCTCCCTTGCGGGATGCGCAACTCCCGACGCTCTGGGCAGCTCGGGAATTTCGTAAGTACGAAGTAGAGTCCGTAAACTTTAGACGATGCCAGGCTAGCGACGGTTGTCCCTCCATCATATTTCATTGCCAGTCTAGACAGCAAGCATATGATTCCCCCAGACGTTCAGGAATTCGGTTCCCAGGCTGTTCAAACATTTGTATAGCTCATAATGCTATGCCAGCAAATCCATTTTCCAATAGTCACCCAGAACATCTATTACCAGAGATCGGGTAAGGAAAATATCTCTTCTGAGCCATTCTTTCTACTTTTCCAGCGTTTCCAGCGAAACTTGCAAGCATTGAAACGAGTCGCCTTACATTAGTCGCAACGCACCACCTAACTGCTACACACCCAATCGAGTATCCCAGCTAAGATTTTTTCTGTTCTCCCTCCTTTTAAGGTCTGAGACGATTGGTAAATAGAGCTGCAAACGCCCACCCTCCTTTTTGCCCTCTCCCCAAGCAATCGCCACTCGATTTCTGCATACTATTCCCCATTCGTTTTCCTTCTTCCTTTTTTTTTCTTGCCCTACCGACCCACCGGATGGACTGCCGCCATACTGCATCTTGTATACAACGTTTGACTGTTGAGTCATACTGAAGTCAGCAGCTGGGACACCAGTGACGCAAGCCTGCACCACCGGGTGGGCTCTCCAATGTCGATCGCTCTTGGGTTAACTGTCACATTATTAGCTACTAGTACGATACTAATAATGTAGCTTTTCGGGCTCATCCAAAGGCACGGACAGGCAACAATAGAGAATCGGCCTACAGATTACAACTCCTCGCCTCTTTTTCTAGGCAATGCATCATCTTATGCCTTGTCAGAGTGGATTAAATCCAATTCGGTCTGTCAAAAGTTTCTCATAATTCATGACTGACTCAACGCAAAACTCCAATCTCCTACATGGTACTGTATACTCATGAGAGCGGTGGCACATGATACCATCGTATGATGAACGATGACTGCCACACGATCTTACATATGAAATTCCTTGGGCCACTGTCCTATTTTGGCGAGGGACAAGGGACAAGCAGAAAGCCAAGTCAACCCCCGATGAACGAGCTGCGGTTTCCTTGGGTAGTAGCCTAGATGCAGTGAGCTGGCACATGCTCTTTTACCGACGGCGATACGGACGGACACCGATCGTACATGATCGTTCTATTTTCTGCTTTGCCATCTGCAATTCTGCTTACAGGCCCGCCAGGTGCGCGATCGCATACACATGAGGATCATGTAGAATTTCGCTCGAGTTTGGCCAAAGCCCACAAATAGTCGAATGGGCTTGGCGATTGTTTTTTTTTTTTTTCCTTTTCCTTCACTGCCCACAAAGATCAACCTCGTAAACAGGGCAGAGGAACATGTAGATATTCGATAACTATATGACAAGTCTATCCAACCTGTGTGGAGAAGAGCTTGAAATGCTGCTTCTGTTGCCAAAGACCATGCAGACATGCCCTCAAGATTGCTGGCCTGTGGCTTACTTTGGACCAAAAGAATACTCCTACCAGAATTCTTCAACCCCCCTCGAAGGCTGTGCAGCGGCAAGGGCCGTCGCTTGCACGTGTCGCCGCCCCTGAGCCTGGATTTCTGGCCCCCTCCAACTTGACGAGTCCAAGTTAATTGGTTGTGGCCATGCAATGTTTGGACGGATTGTTCACAGGAGGGGCAGCATCAAAATTTCAAGTACGTCTGCTATGTGAAAATTGGGGTATCGTATTATCCTTAAGACTAAAGTTCTAGAGGCTTTGAATGGCTTTCTAGACCCTCGTCATGATCTTGGGTTGAGGGGAGCTCTTCAGACAATGCCTGGAGTATTCCCCTGTTTCCTCTAAAGTTGTTTATTCCTTTTCAACTTCTTTCAATGGTACGTAGTATTCCTCTTCTTCTTCTTGTTCTCCTTCTTCCTCTTCCTCTTCTCCTTGCTCTTCTCCTTCATCTTCTCCTTCCTCTCCTCCTTCCTCTTCTTCCTCTTCTCACTGCGCGTCATGGTAGAGTCAGACGACTGCCGCTAGCTTCCATTCGTGAGTTCTTCTGTTTGTACTGCCTCACTTGTGTCCCCGTTAGGCACAGATACGGCAGCACTTGAGTCTTCCTCGGCCATGGTAACATCGCCGTCCTTAGTGGCGCCCTCATCATGAACGCCGTTTGTTTCCTGCGTGAAGTTGCCATAAATAAATTTCTCAAAGGCTTCGTAAGCGTCCTCGAGGTTGTCATTAGTGATTGTCGTGTCATAATGGGATGTCTCAGATTTGGCCTGCTCAATCTCTGCCTGCGCAGATTCAACGATGCCAGCAATGGCGTCCTCGGAGTAGGTGCCAGAGCTTTTGAGCTGTGCTTCCAGTTGATCATTACTTGATGGAGAAACAAAGATGAATCGTGCCGACAGCCCCCAGTCTTTACAACTTTGGACAGACTGAAAAATTGTTAGCTGTCGTTGTGGTTGGATTTTAATAATGATAATTGGACTTACTGCATGATCCAGTTCCAGCAGTGGCACTTTGCCCGACTCCTTGATGGAATCCAGAGCTTTGTTGCTGGTAGCAATGTCGAATCCTTCCTTGTTTGTGACTTCTGCAAACTGATCGTTGTCAGACATCCGATTGAAAGTAGCGGCATCAACAAAGTTGAAATCTTGGCCATCCACTTCTCCTTCCTTAGCTGTCCGAGTCGTATGTCTTGCAACCTTCTTAAAGACTCGTGGTTGCTTTTCCTGTAGTCTTGCAATCAATGCTGACTTTCCAACGCCCGAAGGGCCTGCGATAACAATCAATTGCTTATCGTCGGGCGATCTGCCGGCATCTCCCGTTTCCTCGTCCTCGTCGGCTGACTTGTTTGCTTGCTTCGGGTCTTCGAAGACGGCACTGATGTCCTGCCAGTCATCAATCCTGTCGAGAGCAGACATTCTTGTCCGGCTTGCTATCCTCAGGGCTCTCCATGTTTTACTGGCCTTGGACTCGATGATTTGTCCCTTTTCCTTTTCCGTTTTTGCGAATTCAAGCTCCAGATTATCATTTGCAATCATGTCCTTGAAAGTTTCCAGCTCGGGCAACTTCCACCTTGCCGGGTCCTTGAATTTGTCAAGAGCGCTCTCTTCATCTTCCACTTTGAGGAAATCCAGATTAAGCGAGCCCATTGGGTGGGGCCGTAGGCGTTTGCTTGTAGCCAGTCGCTTGACTGATTCTCTTGCTTCGTTGAACTCGCTGGGGGTCACGGCTGGTTTCTCCATTGGTGGGCAAGTCTCCATCTTCCACCGTGTCCAGCCCTTTTCTCGTTGTGTCACTGCCACGAGTATGCGGTGAACATATGCACCATCTGGGCCAGAAAAGATGTAGTCTTGCATTCTGTTCTTCATGTCTTCCGCCCATTTGTCCTGTGCATGTCAGCGGGGACCACACCTGGAGCCAGACCCTGGTTGACTTACATCTTCTTCGGAAATGGATTTGTCACTGTACATGACCGATTTATTGGGCTGACGAATGTTGGCGTGCTTTGCTCTGGCCGACGCTGATAATGAGCGCAAAAAGTCTAGTATGATGACTGCCTGTATGAGTATGTGCCGTCGGAAGAATAAGTCGCTCATCTCCAGCTCGAAAAGGTCTCGGCTCGTCAAGTATTTCGGGTTGAAAGTGCCTCCATCTGATGAGCCGATCTCGAATGCTTTGCGTTTCCTCGAGACATCCTTAGTGTCATCGGAGGACTGTGGATTTCGCTGGCCCTGGACCACCGCCTCGAATGCGAGAAGCGTTGCTTCCAGCCCCTCTCTGAACTTGGACATATTCTGGGATTCGAATAGCTTCAAAGGATAACAGAAAAATTCCTGCAAAGACCAAAATATGGGATATAGAGCATCGGGCTCGAGGGGTTTCTGCCGAGAATTTGACTTGTCCTTGGCATCGAAACTCACCGCCTTTGCACCCGTAGCAGGCGGGAGCTTAGCTGTCGCATCCTCCTTTGTATCTACGTCCATGCCCTCGGGCGTTTGGCCTGCAGGTGCGGCAGGAAGTTTCTCCCATGTTGTTACGTTCTCGGTATGATACGAGCCACGGAGGTTGACGGTGCCTTTATCACCCATGGGAAAACTCTGAAACATGAATATAAAAACGCGGCCACTAAATGATATATCCTCGGCGCGCGAAAGACGACGCAAGAGCTCGTTGCAAGTTCTTAGAATGATCAAACCTTGCATGCTGGTGTGATCCTTGATCAAGCGCTCGCGGCGCGACTCGAGGTAGTCGAAGGCAGTACGACATCCCTGCAGCGTCTGGCTGTCCAGAAGCAGTTCAACAAGTGTCAATGCCAGGCCAGAGTCGCATTGGCCGCTTTCCGCAAGAACTATCGTTAGGTCGATGAGGTTCCAAACTTCAACGAACTCGGGGCTGTCTATCGACGTCGTAGAGATGAGGTCGTCGAATCGCCGGCGCACGACAGTTTCGAAAACCAGGAGCTGACGCGACTTTTCAGCATATGGCTCGGACGAGAATATGGTTGGTAGCTGCGACAAGAATTCAGAGAAGTCGTTCTTTGTCAAGGGCGGTTCGATGGTTGCAGAGGGCTTGGCGGTTTTTGCTTGCTGAAGTGCATCCTCCAGCGCCGCACCAAAGGCGACAACCTCGGGGATATCGAAAAGATCGCCGTCAGAGGCAGGCATTGTGCGTCGAGGTTCTGGGTAACTGGGCGCAAGGGCAGGACGGGTAATAGGCAGGCCTGGGTGTCGTAACAGATCACCAACCGTGGAAAGAGTGTAGAGAATGTTGGGTCATGCTAGAACCTAGAGGCAGAACATGCAGTGATGATGCAGTTGACGAATAAAGAAAAAAAAGGCCAGTCGTTGCAAGTTTGTGGCTTTGCGACAGCGCCTTTATCCAGAAATGTTTTGAGCAGATCAGCTGCGCGCGAAGTACTATGTAAGCTCTCTGGTTCAATCCAATGGCACCGCGGAACCTTGGAAGCATTGAAGCTCAATGGATCGACTTGATTCTGCTGTTACTCACCGCTTAGCTGAATGTGGGCAAGTGCGATGATGGCGGCCTGCCAGTAGTGCTCGGTCCGGGGTCAGCATCCCCTGTAAAAGTCCAGAGTCAAGACCCAGGAAGCTGTTTTATCCCCGAAAATAACATTGGAACGCGCCAAAGGCTCGCCCGCACGCGACATGGGTCAGCATGACGAACTAATCAAAGGCTGCTGCCGAACATAGTACTAGGTGTCTAAAAGCTGTCGACGCGCCTAATCTCTTTACGCCACAGATCATCCCGCAGCACTGACTGTCTCTCTCTGCCTTAGGTCTCGCCCAAAAAAATCATTAGCCCGCCCTGCAACTTTCGGAGCTGCACTAGGTAGATGCGATAGGCAGGCAGCTGGGAGCTTAGGAAACAAAACACGGACAAGACCCATTACAACACACAACCAGCTCGTCTGGTCTTGTTGTTGTACTCTCCCAGCCTGTCGCTTGCGGATCAATGCTGCATCATTGACAATGCCGACCGCCAAGCGACTCAAGAGCAATGGCGACTTCAAGTCGCAAGCTAAGAAGCAGGACACTGCACGACCGACTGCTGCCGACATTGAAGGCGAGACCGAGTTTGCTCAGCTTGCCAAACAGCACTGGCTGAAGCCCAACAAGCGATCCACGAGGGTCAAGGTCAAAAACGATGTTTTGAAACGCGAAATCTGGGATGCGCTGGAAAAGGATGGCTTCCAGTACAAGTCATTGCTGGTACTTGAAGGTCTTCAGATCTTGGAGAGCTACCTTTGGCCAGGCTACTCGGAAGAAGCCTCCAACTTCCACGTCCTGCTGATCGTCCTCGTCACCAATGCAAAGGCAAGAGAGCGCTTGGAAACCTGGAAAATCTTCGAAGATCGCCCGGCCGACTTTTCGATCCTGTTTCGGCGCATCCTCGCCATGACGCTCGACAACACACTAACGACCAATATCAGATCGCATCTGCTGTCATTCGTCATATACGCCTTCCAGAGCCTCGACTGTGCCATAGTCAGAAAGGAGTGCGCGCCTCTGGTATCCATCTCTACTTGGCACAATCTCTCAACGGAGACGAAACGCGAAGCCAAACTCGCCGAGATTGCGCCTCTGAAGAAGGCGTGGAAAGCTGCAGCAAGGAGATACGAGGCCGCCGACGATGAGACCAAGGCGCGCCTTCGATTTGAGAGGCAATGGCTCTATACCCTGACCCTGCATTTCCTCAACATGCTGTACGACGACAAGGTCAAAGCAGATGAAGTGACCTACATTGCGCGGTACATTGAGTTTCTCACCGATTTGCAAAGCTCTTTGCCCACGCGAAGATATGTCAATACCCTCCTGCAAGACTTGCATCTCTTGACGGCAATCAAGTTGTCACCAGTATTTCGCGCCGAGGAAAATGACGCCTTGCGCAGGCAGTGGGTTTTGCTGCGTCACTACAACGACTTCAGTATTGACGATCAAACTGGCATTCAGCACAGCCGCTCAGAAGCCTACGAGCGCCACTGTGATGCACTCAAGAAATTGCAACATGTGGCTTTCCGTCACTTCAAAGACAAGTTGACTGTGCTGGCACTTTCCAACTATGCTTCCATCGACAAGTACGACGATCTCAAGGCTCTTCTGCAGGTGTTGAGCGATGAGGAAACCACAAGTCTAGCTGTGCACCTAGACCTCAGAACAGAATATCCGATTTCATCCAAGATCGTCTTGGATGGGGCATTTCTGCTCGAGGCCATTGTTGCTACATTTGAGAGGCCCAAGACCTTTCAAGACAGCCTGCCCAATATTTTACCGACAGAGAGAGACTTGCTTGATCCCCTCTTGCTGAGTACGGAGGATTATGATGGGTCGAGGCCATTGCCGTTACCCAAGCTAAATTTGCAGTACCTCTCTGTTGGAGATTTCCTTTTCCGATCATTGGTACTGTACCGTGCAGAGGCATTCTATGGCATTCGTAATGATATTGATGCCGCACTGAGACGGCTCAAGCCCGAGATTGGAAGGTCGGGCGAGACCAGATTCACTGGATTTTCCAAGATGGCATTGCCTACCTCGCGACCTTCCATCTTGGAAGTCGTCCCGCCACTTGTCGGTGACAAGAAACCGTCAGCAGTTCGCGCTGAAGTTACCCTCGATGTTCGTCGTCTGTCGGACCAAATTCGTCGAGAATGGGATTCACTACGGCCGGATGATGTTGTTTTCCTCGTGTCTGTAGATGCTTCTTTGCAGCAGGCAGTGACCAATGGCGAGATTACACCTCTGTCTGAAGCTGAAAAACTCGGTCTGATGAATGTTCGTTCGGCCGAGGTTGTGTCAATCATGGATGACAAGGGAAGATCCATCAGAGACCCGACGACCCACAGCAACGGCGGAAGTCGCGCTCCCACTCGAAGAATACAGCTCAAGCTCGATGCGGAAGCGTACCAGAAAGACATGGATCTAGTGACGCTGGGCAAGCCGGACGTGTATGAAAAGATGAACTTGATCGTTAGGAGAAGCGGCCGGGAGAACAATTTCAAGCCGGTCTTGGAGTCGATCCGCAGTCTAGTACGCTCCGAGGTGCCGCTCGCCCCATGGCTTCACGAGGTGTTCCTCGGCTATGGCGACCCAGCTGCCGCAACGTACAAGAGTCTCCCCAATCGAGTCAAGAAAATCGACTTTAGAGACACATTCCTTGACTGGCAACACCTCGTAGAGAGTATGCCAGGCAAAGCCGTGGAGCCTGGGTTCAATGTGTCGGGCAGTTTCCCACCTCCTTATGTGCTGGAATCTGTCGATAAAGCCGCCGAGGAACCAAAGTCCAAGCCTTCAAAGAAAAGGAGGAGAGATGTCGAGCCTGCTCTCCTGGACGAGATCGAAACCTATCACGTATCAACCTATAAGCCTCCGAATACGGGTCCATATCCTATGGATATACCGAAATGGAACAGTGTTCGTTTCACGGCTGCTCAAGTCGACGCCATCATTTCGGGAACACAACCAGGTCTTACTGTTATCGTCGGCCCTCCTGGAACGGGCAAAACCGACGTTGCCACGCAGATTATCAGTAATATCTACCACAATTTCCCAGAGCAGCGCACTCTACTTATCGCTCATTCGAACCAAGCCTTGAATCAGCTTTTCGCCAAGATAGCTGCACTCGACATTGATGAACGACACCTCTTGCGTCTAGGTCACGGAGAGGAAGAACTTGGTCTGGAGGCAAACTTCAGCAAGCAGGGTCGTGTAGAGTCTTTCATGGAGAACCGCAATAGATATCTGCAAGAGGTCAATAGGCTTGCTGCGAGCATAGGTGCACCAGGCGCCCATGGCAATTCTGCAGAGACAGCCGGATATTTCGATTCTGTTTATGTCCAACCAGCATGGGCCAAATTCGCCGAGGCGACAGCATCAGAAGACGTATCTGCTGCCGACGTGGTTCAGGCATTCCCATTCCACCAGTACTTTTCAAACACCCCGCAGCCTCTGTTCCCTGCTGAAGCGGATCGCGCAACCGTCCTGGATATCATCAGTGGATGTCGGCACCATATTTCCAAGATCTTCTCGGAACTCAAGGACGTACAGCCATTTGAGATATTGAAAAAGGAGAAAGACAAGGCCAACTATCTTCTCACAAACGAGGCTCGGATCATTGCCATGACATCTACTCACGCTGCCATGCGGAGAGGGGAGATAGCAAACCTCGGGTTTCATTATGACAATGTTGTGATGGAAGAAGCTGCTCAGATTACCGAGATTGAAAACTTCATTCCCCTGGCCATGCAGAAGCCCAAGGACGGAACAACAGCCCTACAGAGAGTTGTTCTTTGTGGTGACCACTACCAGAACTCGCCCGTCATCCAAAACTTTGCATTCCGTCACTTTGCCAATCTGGAACAGTCCCTCTTCTCACGTCTGATCCGCCTGGGGATTCCCGCAATCACTCTGGACCAGCAAGGCCGCGCTCGTCCCTCGATTGCCGCACTGTACCAGTGGCGTTATCCCAACCTTGGCAGTCTACCACATGTTGAGAGCCTCAAGGAGTTTCAAACGGCAAATGCTGGTTTCAAGTTCGACTACCAGTTTATCAACGTGCCAGAGTACAAGGGTCGTGGTGAAATGGAGCCGACTCCACACTTTATCCAGAATCTCGGAGAAGCAGAGTATGCTGTGGCTCTCTTTCAATACATGCGTCTTCTCGGATACCCAGCCGAGCAGATCAGTATTCTTACAACATATGCGGGACAACGTGCTCTCGTCAAGGATGTGCTAGCCCATCGGTGTGCAAAGAATCCGATTTTCGGTTTGCCCAAGATCGTCACGACGGTCGACAAGTACCAAGGCGAACAGAATGACTGTAAGTTTTGATTAATTTATCCAATCGTCTTTGGCCATCGCTAACTCGATCTTTTAGATATAATTCTTTCCTTGACACGCACATCTCGAGTAGGATACCTTCGAGACATCCGTCGACTTACCGTGGCCTTGTCTCGTGCAAGACTTGGCCTCTATATTTTAGGCCGCCGAGATGTCTTTGAGGCATGTTATGAATTGAAACCCGCATTCGAGCTGCTTCTCAAGCGTCCAGATAAGCTCACACTTGTCACTGGCGAATTGTGGCCCTCGGAGCGACTGCAGGCCAATGAAGAGGACGAATCCGTTCCTGGCGAGGCTGTCATGGAAGGCGTGGAACACCTCGGGCAGTATGTATTTGAAATGACGAATGCAAAGATCAAACAATTAAGAGAGGAACGTGACCTGCCAGACGCGCAGGTCGCTGAAGTCTTGGAGCCTGTCATTGAGGAAGAAAGGACCTATGTCGACGGAGTAGGCGCTGCCGAGGAAGACGAGGAAGATGTGGCGGCAGAGGTGCAGGAGGGATTTGAGGCCGAGGAAGGCCCTGATGGACAGTAGAGGGGCAGAAACGGGCATGAAGTCTGATGCCTGTATGATATTCATTTTTTATGTTTTGGGATGAAGATACCATGAACTCAATGACGAGAATGGCGACCAAAAGCTTGTTTATCTATAAGCATTTAATGGCGACAAAGATAGACTATTGAATACATATTTCAAAAGCCAGACCAATTTTATACTATTTACCTTTTGGAATATGGTTACAAGATATTTCAGAATGATTATTCACGAGAAGAAAAAACATATCCACACCGCTGTTTGAGCAAGAATCCTCCTAGGTCAATTGAGTCAAGAGCTATAAAGTTCATGTGAAGACTATGGATAACACAAGGTGCTAAATATACTATCAACACTGGATTCTACGTATACGAGCGAGTCAGCGCTAATCAAACGGCTGGAACTTGCTAACGGTTTCGCCCCGCTTGTAGTGAACAAGCCCCTGATCTCGTGAACCTTGTCCAAATCTTTGAGACGCTCCTTATTATGGCGACAGCCGACCCTTTTCCTCGAGTGATCACGATTTTCTTCTATTGTATTCTAACAGTTCTCGTGGGTTTGTTTGGTTGCAATCCAGAGCGTGCGACGCTAGAATTGTCTCGACTGGACTAAAGATCTGGGGCAACGTCATTGACGCTGGCTGGCGAAATAAGCTTTATTTAAAGCTACCAGGGCGTCTTGGCAGTCTTTCCCCCCTAGCTTCCAGCAGCTTTTTGACGATTCCCCCCGGGCCGCCGACAGAGACAAATTGTATGGCAGCGGCGATATGCCCCGAAACTCGGAGGACAGCACGCCTCCACCAGACGCATCACTGCATGCGCCGGAGGTGACAGTGTCGGTATCCTCACCTGGTCTCGATGGCGTGCCCTCTCCCGGCGCCGCGACCCTGCCCCGGACCTCGCGAGAACGAGAACACCACCAGCGCGTCCGCTATGCTCCCAACATCGATACGCAAGTCATCCCTCCGCAGGATGACACGCACCTGTCGCCCATTACCGTGACCAGCCCGGGCTTTCGAGGCCCGACGCGCTCGGACACGGAGCTCTCGCGGGTGAGCATCCGTAGGCGCAATGCCGCGCGCGCGAGCACCTTCAAGACCATCAAGGAGGTGGACCTCAACGATCTGACGGAGCCGGGATGGCATGCCGGCGCCGAGCCAGGCGTTGACACGACCAAACCCAATGCTGGCCAGGCTGTCATGGGTCTCCACGCCGCGTGCCAGATTACCATTGTCGACTTTAGCCAGGACGATCTGGCGATCCACGAGCTGGACAATGAAGAGATGATTAGCTTCCTGGAGGAACCCCAGCCTGACTGGGTCAAGTGTCGTTGGATCAATGTCAATGGGCTGAGCTGGGATGTCATACAAGCCCTTGGCAACTACAAGAGTCTGCATAGGCTGGCCATTGAGGATATCATGAACACGAGAAATCGGACCAAGGTCGACTGGTGAGCGCGGATTCTTGTCATGGCAAGTGTGCCTCGTGGCAATAGCTGATCTGATCTACAGGTACCAACATCATGCTTTCCTGGTATTTACCTGCCAGAAGCTGGTTCGAATGCTGGACGATGACAGCAGCGATGAATCAGACGACGATGCATTTGAAGTTTCAAGCGTCAAGAGCCACAGTTCCGACAGCGGCATTCAGAAAAAGTTCAAACGATGGTGGTCATCTAGCCAAAAGGGAAAATACAATTCCGCGGACAGTACCCTCGAGAGGGGGAATTCCATGCCGCCCATAAACGGCCCCTTGGAACACCAGGCGACTGGTCTATCAGACGTTTTCAATCCTAGTACGCTTTGCACGCTTCAAAGGTATCGTGCTTCGTCCAACGAGGCTCGTAACGACTTTATGGAACGACACAGCGCACTAGCATCCAAGGATTTGGCTGTTACTGCAGAACAGGTCGCCATGTTCATTACATCCGATAATACTGTCATTGCATTCTTTGAGCAGTCCGCTGATGATGTGGAAAAACCAATCTTGGCGAGGTTGGGCAGTCCAGAGACTATTTTGCGACAGTCTTGCGATGCGTCAATGGTGGGACAGGCAATCATTGATGCCATCATTGACATGGCCATCCCCGTAGCTAACTGCTACGCCGATGTCATTGCCGATCTTGAATTGGACGTCCTGTTACGACCGAGCATCAAGCAGACCCGTAGTCTCTACATTATACAGTCAGAAATCAACAAGATGGCTGGCCTCATCAATCCAATTGCATCGATAATATCAGCCATGCGCGATCACAAGACTACACTTTCACAAACAGACGCAACCAAGGAGCTTCAGAATCCGGTCGAAGGTGTCATTATAACGCCCATGACTCATACTTATCTGGGCGATGTGTACGATCACTGTGTCTTGATTGGCGAGAACCTGAATACGATTAGAAAGTCGGCCGATGGAATGATTGATCTCATCTTCAACACCATATCGGCGTACCAGAATGAAAGCATGAAACAGCTGACCGTGGCGACCATTATCTTCTTGCCACTGACCTTTTTGTCCGGGTTCTTTGGACAGAATTTTACCGACTTTCCTCAGATTGAAGGTAGCGTCAACCTATTGTAAGTAGCCTTTTTCTCCAAATTTGTGTTTTTGCGTTTGTAGGCTTACATTGTCACAGTTGGTATATCGCCATCCCCGTTACGGTTGGTCTCATTCTCATTCTAATGAGGGAGGCCATGGTGGAATGGTTCAAGTCACTCTTCCAGCGTCGAAAAGTCTGGACGGTTCGCAAAAGACGAAAGGAACATGAGCATCACACAAAAGCACGTCGCAAGATGATGGGAAAGAGGGGGTTTTAGACTGTTCACCAGACATGAAAGACGCAATTCCATGCGGATGGAGCTTGCTTCAAAAATAATATATACTGATACCCTGTGTGTTTCAGCGAAAGTTTTCTATAGCACTACTTGAAAAACGGAAATAAGATCTTTATTTATAGATAGATGGGCAATCCAAGACATTAAGCAATCATGTCTTGCTCTGGCAGAACCAATCGAGATGCCAAGTGATTGTCAACCCACTTGGAAGAAGACTTGTTTGAGTGACGCGACGCATGTGTATGTCTCTGCAGCCCGTATCAGTAATCTGCACATACCGTGATTATCTTGCCGCGTATATTCAGCAATGCTGCCATTATTGTTTGTTTTTCAAAATTTTAGAGTTTGGTCAGCCGGTGGGCTAGGTGATGCTGCCTTCGTACATTGACTGATGCATTGCACCCGCTTTAGACGTATCCATGCGCCTACCTCTTGACTGCATCTTCACACATGTCCACAGTAGTAAACGAGTCATATTGTTTGTGAAATTCTTGAAGAGAGGCGAATTATCCCCTCAATTCTATTCCGCTACAATATATTTTGTTATGCGTCATGTTGCCTAGTGTGACTCGAGTCAAGCTGCTTCCTTTGAGATGGATCACATACGAGCAAAAGTCGAGCCATTTTTATTAGATCCAATATATGCTTACTAGTACCCACAAGAAACTATTTACAGTATGTAAATTTTGATCTAGTGGCTTGCGGATCTGACGTGCGACACACGCACGCATATACACATATTGACAGCTTCGGGTGGTTGCGTGTGCTTTTGTCCTCCAACGATGCATGGCGCGAGCTACATTAAGGTAATCTTGCCCACTTGGTACTGACCTAGACTTACAGACTATCCCCCGGGGCGTTCTGCGGATGATCCGGCTTACCGGGCGGGCTACATGGCTCGCACATGGGCTAGCATGATAATACGCAGGCAGCACAAGTTTTGCTGTGAAAAAGTGTGAAACTGATGAGCTTTAAGTTTTTCTCTTCATAGAGGTCAGGACTGGGTTGCCTCTTTACCCTGAGTAGAGACTAGTATGGTCTCGTGTGGCAGACAGATTGAGGCAAGTGGCGAGACATGAGGTTTTCTACTTGCTTGAGAGAAAAAATATCTATTCATGTTTAGCCTTGGACGATTTGATACTAGACAGTGTACCCAAAAATCGAGTCACAGATCCTACTGTAAATAAATCATGTTCACTCACAAATATTAACGACACAATGCAGTCCAAGTGCCACGCTTACTCAAGAATGACCCATCAGAAAGCTTACTTCCCATGGAATCATGTTCCGACTGGACTAGGACGTTCACACGGTCAATTGGATCTTCTTGACCAGCTGTGATACAACAATGCTTTTGCTTATCCGTTTACCATACGTCCGATACGTGAAAATATGGATATCCTTTCTCATTTTTCTCTGAGCAGAGCACTATACGTTCTGCTTTTGTAGCAACATGCTTGCGGATAGGAATAGTGCAACAACTAACCTAGCACATATAGATAAATTAGAGTTCCATGTGCGCTGCTTCTGCCCAATTAAGCCCTGCTTGCAAGCCCTGCAATTGTCTGCTCTGGGTGTGTCGATATAGAATAATCACAAAGACCGAAGCCATTGAAAAGTTCTTGCGATGCGGTACAATAATAAAACGAGTAGCTTTGTAGGTTTCGAACAATATTTACATGCTTGGGCCTTGTAGAAAAGCTGACGAGTTCATCAATAAGTAATCTTATTTATTCTTATCAAGGCGAATTTTATAATAAGATGTGATCAAGAAGTTCAGCCTCTTTATGATCAACCAATACACGAGAGAGTAATATCTTTTGTGAGCCATGATAAGCTATATTTAGATTTCTAAGATGTTCCAGACGAACTTGCAGCCAATAATAGAAACGTCTTTCTTGCGAGTGTTGATTGAAGAGGCTATTATGCGTGCACGCTGGCAATTATCGCGATCGAGCTTGAGAATTCTTGGATGCGTCCCTGTCATTTTCTACGGATGTAAAAGTAAAGCTCCATGAAATCGTACAATACCGATTTGAACATTTGCAGACTCCATTTTGAGACTTTACGCGATGAGATTCATCCCAAAGCAGGCTGAACAGACCCATGTGCCCTCTTATTGAAAAAGCTTGGCCTATATCGACCAGCCCCCCCTGGTATGGGGCCAGGATCACGATTGGATCAAACGTCCATCGACGCAGGTCCCAACGCATGACAGGTCAATTTAAATCGTCCCAGAACGAGCCCCATGTCGCAGTCTGGAATTTCAAGATTTTTCTTGATTTCAACAATGCCATGGCCACTTTGGAGAAGAGGGGCGTGTGTTTGCGTGCCATGGGTCGCCGACCCCATGCTCGCTTAGATGTGCCGATGGCGGGCAGATTTCAAACAGCAACATATTCTTGCACATTCGTCTACGTGATGGGGATTGTTAGACCTTTACTGCATTCATCGCAATGCGTCTCTCAGGACTGGTAGCGTTGGTGGTGGCAGTGTCCGGGGCGGCGGCCGCGAGGGCATGTTCGAATGATCGGTGTCTGAGAGGTAAGAGACAATGACGCGCTGAGTATAGCGAATAGGCTAACCGCGACACAGCGGTGAGCAGTGCACCGTCGCATATACGGATGTCTGATTGCAGCGAGCTTTTCAAAACAACAATTACTCCATCGACGAGGTAAACAGCTTTAACAAACAATTCAGAGGCATTTCGCTCATCGCAATCTATAGCACCATTACACAGACGATTGGGACTACCACGACGGCAACTACCACAAAAACTACAGTGACAACAGCAACGACTACAGTCACTACCAACACAAAAGTTGCATCAAAACGGTGGGAGGAGCAGCGTGAGGCTCTCGACATTCTACTCAGACGTGTACCGCCACATCACGACCATACAACTACTACAACGGCTGCGCAAAAGACACCAAGCTATGCATCAGGTTGTGTGTCTGTCGCCGCCTATTCCAGCGCGTGCAGTTGCCTGGGCGTACAACATGCGACCATCACAGCACCAACGCCAAAGACGACCAAGATTGTCAGCGTAAAGAGAACCGCTGTAGTGACCAAGATCTCAACCATTGTGACGACTGAAACTTATATGGCCATCAGTAATAGCACTACTGCTGCCTTTACTAATACCACGCGGGCAGCTTTTGCGAATTCCACAACCTTGCCTACGAACTCGTCAGTTTCCAATCTCTCAAGCTTTCTATCAGACATATCCAGTAGCCCATCTTCTACGGGCCTGGGAGGACTTGATCCGACTGCGACGAGCACAGTGGCCGTCTCTGATAGTAGCAGTCCTCTGTCGAGCGGTCTCTCGGAGTCGCGAGAAACACAGACATCGGGCTCAACAGTAGGTAGCTTTGCGAATTCAACAACATCAGCGTTGTTCGCAAACTCTACTAGTAGCAGCTTGGTAAACTCTAGCAGCACAGCTCCTTTTGCAAACAGCACAACAGCACTGGAGGTTGGACAGACGAGTAGTAGCAGCCACAACATGACGAGTACCGTCTCGGCAGCCAATGCAACATCAACAGGCTTGTTCCTCAATACCACGACTTCAGGAATACTCAATGGAACAGCACCAACGACTCCAGTCAATGTAGCCGTCAATACCACGAGTGCACCATTCTTGAACGCAACGTCGTCGACGGCGTTACTGAGTGCAACATCCGCACCATTTCTAAACACGACGGGCGTCCTGAATATAAATGCAACCAGTGCTCACTTTGTGAATGCGTCATCGACGGCGCCATTTCTCAATGCAACAAGCACATCGTTTCCCAACACGACCATTTCGGCACCGTACTTGAATGCAACCACGACTTCATGGTTGAATGCGACAGCGCCGCCGTATGCAAATGCAACGTCGGCACCCTACCTTAACTCGACGTCAGTCCGGTTCAGTAACACCAGCACTCCTGCGGCTACGCCCACTTCGACCTCGACCTTGGACACGACGTGCGGGGAGACGTCGCCCCCGTTTCTGTTAAGAGTGTCACAGCCTTCCAGCGTTTTGGACGGATGGTACGCCAAGGTCAGCGGAGATCAGATCCTGTTCAGTTCGTCGGCCAACCACTCGGATCAATTTAGCGTCGAGAGCTCTGGTCACTTATGTGCAGTCGGGTACGTGGGCGCCAGCGGCCTGCCCACCATTGCCATTGTAGAGACCAAGGACGGGCTCACGGGCAGCGCACTCTACCTAGTGGACGGGCAGAGACTAGGTAATCTCACTGATCTCGGCTACGGGGCACTGGACTGCGGCATCGCGGAGGACGACTTGAGTTGCCAAGCACGAGACATGGCGCACTGGGTCAGTTGTGGTCTGGGCCTGGATATTTCCAGCGATGGTAGCCCAAACGTAGTGGTCGACACGTGGAACTGCACTAGCCTCGCATTATCTGCAGTGTATGCCTAATGTAGGCAGGCCATGGTGTGGAGGGCACAGAATGCATACAGATTCTGCTTGTCGTGACAAATTGTACAGTAGTAACTTACTGGACTAGTTTGCTGAATCATGACATTGATTCCCAAAATTCACGGCTACAATGGTATGCACACACGAAAGCACGTGAGGACGTGAGACCAGAAAGCTAAAATGAGTCGCATTGGATCTCTTGCCAGCATCGTGAACGCGCCAAGTTCAGCGCGCGCGCTAGCTATGTAGGCGGCCATTTTTTTCTTCCCCACTAATGCTCGCTGATGTAGAGGCACGTCTCGGGCATTAAAATGCTGTGCATCTCTCGCTGCAAGATTCGGAGTAGGCACTGACAGCCCTCCCTTTCCCATTCGCCCAGCAGTCCATCATTCCAGGGCTTCCAGGATTTCCTCCTGTAATTTCGAAAGTCATTTCCCTTGGCCTTTGATCTACTTTCATTATCTTGTTGTATCATCATTTGAATTGATTTTTCCCTCGAAAAAGAAAATCCAATTTTTTAATTTTTAAAAACTAAAGCAACGCAAATCTAGCTGCATATCGCTCCTTTTTTATTTCTTCTTCGCAGCTGGAATTACAACCCACCCTTAATTGGTCTCACTCCAACATTGGCTGACAGCGGCGCTTCCGTCCCTTCCGTCTGCCGATCGGTTGTCAGCTTCGGCTGCATTTCTAGGTTGCTTTTTCTTGTTGTCCCCCTTTCCGGGGCGAACGGGACTCGATAAAAGCAGAGCTGATGGAAACCCACGAAGCCGCCGTTGAGACTGTAGCCAAGAGCATCCGCCTCTTTCATGCTACACAAAGGCCCTTTCGTGTCTACCATGGATCAACCAACAGCACTCGCGCCTCTGCCCGCCGGGCCGACAATACCGTTGATACCAGTCAGCTCAACAATGTGCTGCAAGTCGACCCCGGGCGCAAGATTGCACTGGTAGAACCAAATGTTCCCATGAATATGCTCGTTGAGGCGACCCTCAAGTCCGGCCTCGTACCCTTGGTTGTCATGGAGTTTCCAAACATTACCGTCGGTGGCGGCTTCTCGGGGAGCTCTGGTGAGAGCAGCTCATTCCGCCATGGTCCGTTTGACTCGACCATCAACTCGATCGAGATCGTTTTGCCCAACGGAGAGATTGAGCATGCGTCCAAGTCAGCCAAGCCCGACTTGTTCTGGGGCGCGGCCTCTGGGTTTGGGACGCTTGGAGTTGTCACCTTGTTGGAGGTCCAGCTTCGAGACGCGCGTCAATATGTCGAGTTGACATACCAGACATTTGCATCTATTGCTGCTGCTTCTGCGACAATGCAGGACCAGGCTCAAGACTCATCCGTGGACTATCTAGATGGTATTGTTTTCTCTCCAAAGCGCGCCATTGTCTGCACGGGGCGTCTCGTGAACGAGGTACCAAGTTCAGCCAAAGCACTGCATTTCACAAGAAAAAAAGATCCCTGGTTCTACCTGCACGTAGATAAGCGGACCAAGAAGGCCCGGGACAGAGTCACGGACTATATTTTGCTTACCGACTACCTGTTTAGATATGACCGTGGCGGATTCTGGGTCGCCAGGTACGCATTCAGGTACTTCTTCACGCCCTTCAATCGTGTAACGCGGTCGGTGCTCGATCGCTACATGAGGGCCAAGGTCATGTACGCAGCTCTGCACAAGTCTCAACTTGCAGACGACTACATCGTCCAAGACGTCGGTGTACCATATGATAAAGTCGGCGAGTTTCAGGAGTGGCTAGACACGAACCTCAAGACTTATCCGATATGGCTCTGCCCGCTCCGGGTCAGGCGAGACGACCCTGACTCGGGGCACGGCCTCCACGCCGGCTTCTCGAACCCCGAAACGCCGGAACATCTCCTCAACTTTGGCATCTGGCGGCCGGGATCTACCAAGCACGACGTGTTTCTGCGCCAGAATCGGGATCTCGAGAAAAAGGTCCAGGAGCTCGGTGGGAAAAAGTGGTTGTACGCGCATGCCTACTATACCGAGGAAGAGTTCTGGGCAGCATATGACCGGGAATCGTATGACGACCTGCGGCGGCGCTACTCGGCGGCCTATCTGCCTAGCGTCTACGACAAAGTCAAAGTCAACTCGGCCGAGAACCCGCAGAAGCCGTTCCGGGGCGTTCGGCCACTGCAGGGCTTGTACGGAGTCTACAAGGCATGGAGGGGCGGGGACTATCTGCTTGCCAAGGGACCAACGCAGTGGCACTGAAGTTTCTTTCTGGACAAAAGTCTCCATCAAATCAGGTGAAGTTATGAGAGAGGGGGGAGAGGTTTCAAGATTTTCACGACCATAGATACCCGCGATTTTCCGCTGATGCACATATATAGTCACCTTGTATATTTCGTGACCGACTTGGATATTGTAATATCTTCAGACCAACCCACTTTACGATTTCTAAATGTCTGTCCGCTTGACAACGAATGCACCCCTCTCAATCGTGTTGACCAGGATGAATCCACTCTTGAAGAAGGGGTAGTGAGACCAAGTTCCTTCAAACTCAATGATACCACCATCCTCGGCCTCGTCGTCCTCGGGGAAAATGTCGAAAAAGGCCACCTCCTTGACGCTACCGCCGGTGGGGTCCTCGGGGATGGACGAGATGTCGAGGACGCGGAGACCGGTGCCATAGTTGCTCTGGTAGGCAAAGCCGCCGTTGATAAACTGGTTGTGGTCGATGCCACGGGTGTCGCTGCGGTAGATGCCCGACAGCTTGGGAGCCTCGAGCGAGCTAATGTCCCAAAAGTAGGTGACTGGGAATCCAGCGGCACCCTCGCCGGTCGAGTCGTACTCGTCGTACTCGTCGTCGAGTACCAGGTACTGCTGCCACTGCGTGTCTAGCACCCAGCCCTGGTGCGTGTACGAGGCGCCCTCGTACGTGGTGCGCGAAATGATGTTGGTGGCGTTCTTGTCAGTCACGTCGAAAATGGTCAGCGTGTCCTCATTGTAGCCGTAACAAATGTCGCGCTCGCTGTACTGCTCGTCGGGGCCGCGGTACACGAGACACTGGGCGTCGTGCACGTAGCCGTCGCCGCTTGCGCAGCCTGGCGAGTACGGGGCGCTGGGGTCCGTCAGGTCAATAAAGATGAGGCCCGAGGCGCAGCTGCTGTTGCGCGGCTGCGCACCGACGGCCACGGCATAGTTCTTCTCCTCATTGACGACGACATTATGGGAGCGGCCGACGGGCAGGTCGCCGAACCAGCCCGTCAGGTCGTCCTCGTTGCTAAACGTCTTGGGCGCGGCCGGGTCCACGTCGAGCAGCAGCGACATGTCAAAGATTTGCACGCCGTGGTCGTAGGCCTCGCTGCCAATGACGATGTAGTTCTTGTACCCCTTGATCTCGCGCCACAGCGAGGGGTCGGCCGTCGTGTACTGCGGCAGCCGGCCCAGGTAGACGAGCTTGCCCGCGCTGCTAATCTCGGCAAAGGCGGCGCCGTCGCTCTGCGCAATGGCTACAAACTCGCGGCCCTCGTCGCTGGTCCACCCCCAGCTGCCGGCGCCCTCTCCCACCACGCTGCCGAGGTCAAAGTGGCTTTGGAAGTCGTAAAAGTCAATCTGTTGATTGTGAGTACCCAGCTTGTGGCAGTGAGTATAGGATGGTTGTTACTTACGTTGTTACACTTGAAAGTGTTGTTGGCATCGCCGGGAATGACTGCGGCAATGCCATCGGTGCAGGCAACGGGACCGGCTTCTGCGCTGTAGCTCTTGTATTGTCTAGAGTCGAAAGCACCAGCCTTTCTCTTGGCGTCCCAAGCAGCCTATAGGAGTCAGCATACTCTGGTTGTATAAGCAGAAGAAGTTTTAACACGTACATGCTTGGTGCTCATGATGGTCTCATGAACAAGACCACTGTCATACTCCCATTGCCTGGCAGGGTTGGCAATCTCCTTGGCAACAGCCACCTGAGATCCCGCCAGCAAGGCAACGGATGCCGCGATAAAGGACTTCATGTTGAAACTACTTTGGCTCTTCGCTGTGCGGATAACACCCAAGAAATGTGGCTTGATATGATCGACGACCAGGACAACCTCAACACACACACATCCAGCCACTTTCTCTCGGGACATCTTGTCACCTCTGCTCATTCTTATACGCGCCCAGCTTTGATCTGACTGCCAATTCGAATTGATAGCACAGAACTTCCAGAAGATGCATCATATCACGCTATCTTGAGAAGCATACCCAAAGAGGTAGGCGACAAGACCGAATCTCTTGGCCGATGGCACAGCACCATGGGCACCGCAGGCTACTTGTGCATTAATTGCGGTAGTTGCAACCATCTCGGCACTTCTTGGCGCAGGACTTGGCAATCACCTCTTTTTGTTTTTTCGTGGGTGGTCTCCAGGTCCTTCTGGACGGTTGGGAAAGGGTATTCGGATGCAGCCAATCAGCCGGGACTTGATTATGCTCGAGCAACGAATGGTTGTCAGAATAAACAACAAGAAGATCCACCACCCCTTGCTTGCCAAGCCCGCTGGGATGTTACCTGTTTAAACAGCCTCCCCCCTGGTCCTGGCAAAAAGCACACAACACGAGGTCATCGACTGTTGGTTTTTTTGCCCCCCATCCGCGAACAGATCCCGCACAGGCAGCACAGATGTAACAATGGGAACCGGTCATCTGCGGGATTCAGTCTGTCGCCATCGTCAACATGCGTGACGCCTTGCCTATTTCTGTCTACCATCTAGGCGCCATCGGTTCCACGGCAACTCTTCGTCTGTGGGGGAAGCTGGGCCAAACAGAGCCGCAGCACTCGCGCCCGGCATTAGTCGTATTGATGAGATCCGGAACTATTGAGGGGAGGGTCTCGGATATGGAATGCACCATTGTATGGTTGCTCCGAGCCGTGTAAGAGATAAGCCCGTTGCATTGACTTTTTTAGTCTTGGAGTATTGGACCTGGGTATCCTTTTCTTATTTCCGTTTTCGTGCTATTATATCGCAAACTCATCCGTTCAAGGGCCGGGCCGGAGTCCAAAAGTATGAGTACAGTGTGGCCAAGACACTTGCCCATGTACGGCCAAGATGAAGATCTAATTATTGAGTTTTTGGGGTCACGATTCAACACAGGGTTGTTTCAAAGTGACTCACTTTGTATTGGTAAGCACATTGAGGTATTAGAGTGCTCTGCTAGTAAAAAAACCAGATGATCTGATGGCAGGTCGAGTCTCGGCAGTCACTTTGGCGCGTTCTGTAAAGTACCTGGTACGGGGGTTGGCATCCTAGTCCATGACTAGATCACGACATGAATACCTACCTCTTCTCTGAGTCCCCCCTCGACGCCAAGGCGGAAAGCAATGGAATCATGAGATCTCCTCCCCATATTGGCCACCATCACTTTCGGCTGCAACCGTCCAAGGCCATCAAGGGACTCAGAAACAAGCCAATTCTTGTCCACACTTGCTGGACCAGGCAGCTCATGGTACCGACTGACCCCCACAAACAATATAATAGAGGTTGCATGCCAAGAACGATAACCGCAAAGGCTTGTTTCTGCGCGCAGTCAGTGGTCCATGGGACCGACGGAAGCCATCGAAACGTAGGATATACCGCGGGGCACCGACGAAGTTTTGCCAAGACCACGTTGAGTTGACACGGACAGGAACAATGTGCTTGCGATGGCGTTTAGCTTGGGCAGCGTTTTATTTGCTTTGGTTTCTGGCGGAAACAATCGAGCTCCGTTACTGGAAATTATATCCGAGGGCTGTTCTCCGAATGCGTTGTGCGTCCTTCCAATGTCCAATTAACATTGGTGTTAAGAGTGTACGTGATGTGCACAAAGTCGTTTGAGATAGGTGGTAGAACCAGGCGTACTGGGTTTACCTGCCTGCATCAGATTCATGTAAAGACCAAGAATATGAAGTGAGGTTTTCTCCTATTCGCGATAATTGTCCTATCTTCTGGATTTATTTTGTCCGAGCTTATTTGTCCGAATTGACTTTGACTATTTCATGTACAGCGGGAACTACTTACATGTGCACACAACAAAGCAAAGTGCTGACACGATCTCCGTAATTTGGCGTTGGACCACAATCCAACGACACCAAACCTTATACTTTGATAATGCGCAAACGGCATCAGGAGGCGTCGAGAGCATGCTAGTCTATGACTTCATGGCGCTAAGAACTCATGTGTTTGATTTATCATGAGCCCAACTCCTCTTCTACTACCACGATGTCGTTTCCAACGCAGCCTCGCGCGTGTTGTATGTTTCGAGATTTTGTCCCGGACACTGGATAGGCTCTTTCGATTCATCAGATCACAGGCACGCGTCGCAAACAACTTCCTTGATGGGTTGCCATGATGTGGACTCGAGATCCATCAATCACTCAATCATGTCTCCATCATCGTTCTCCATGTTCTACGCAGCAGTCAAAAGATTGACTTTGACACCATGGAGATCTCCGTGATCCCAATGGAGCATATTCCCCGAACTAGACTTTGCTTGCCCCCGGGGCCGGCAACTCGTCAATGCAATTCCGTTGACGCCGTCATTGAAAAGCTCTAGACGATATTTTCAAAGGCGTTATACCTGGGCCTAACGTTGGAGGCTAGAGGACGATGAGTCGAACCGCCTTGTAGAGCGCTGGTGCTGGAATCATTATTATTCAGCACTCGAGACGACTTCATTGGATCTCTGCGCTGCGTTACTCAGATGGACTAGGAGAGGTAGACGACGATAGTAGGAAAGATCTGAACCTTGGGTTTAAGTGCGTCCCGTAGTAATCGCCTTGCAGCCAACGTTCCCGGCAGGCACTGACGTACATGATATCCAGAACAGTGTATATATTCAGCTATATATCCAGAACGACTCCAATCGCCGTCTCAGGAACATAACTATGCATCACCTAGGATCTGCTTTTCTGGGCATGTTCTTTGATATAAACCAATCTCAATCCATAAATACTATAACGGCAAAGCTATTCTACTCTAATTGACCATGAATGTCGATCGTCCCGGCCGTCGGATCCGCATGCCATGGGAGTCGCGATCCAATACCGACGTGCGCCCGCGGGATGACTCGTCGACCTTGGTGTCGCGCCGCATGCGGATTCCCTTCCTGCACGGCGACGCCAAGAACCACTTTGTGGCCATGCTGGCCGAGTTTGTCGGCACGTTTCTGTTTCTCCTGTTTGCGTTTGGCGGCACCAATGCCGTCAACAACTCGCCGGGTAAAGACCAGGAGAGCCTCAATGCTGACCCCGCGCGGTTGCTCTATATCGCCTTGTGTTTTGGTATGAGTCTGGCCGTGAACGCTGTAAGTAAACCTGTCCGATACGCAAGCGATGTTGAAATGACATGTACTCATGATCATCGGCGCAGTGGGTCTTCTTCCGCATCAGCGGCGGACTCTTCAACCCGGCCGTGACCCTGGGCATGATGCTCGTGGGCGGAGTCACGTACGTCCGCGGCTGTCTAGTCATGCTCAGCCAAATCCTGGGCGGCATCGCGGCCGCCGCGGTCGTCTTGGGTCTGTTCCCGGGCCCGCTCAATGTTCGCACGTCGCTCGCGGGCGGCACCAGTGTGGTTCAGGGTCTCTTTATTGAAATGTTCTTGACAGCCCTGCTGGTATTCACCATTTTCATGTTGGCGGCGGAAAAGCATCGGGCTACTTTTGTTGCTCCTATTGGTATTGGTCTCGCTTTGTTCATTGCCGAGTTGGTGTAAGTCAAGCCCTTTTCACTATCGCTTTTAGAAGTATGACAATGACGGCAAAGCTGATTATATCATTGCAGTGGCGTTTTTTATACTGGCGGCAGCGTAAACCCAGCGCGATCATTTGGTCCATGTGTAGTCCTTGGCTCGTTCCACGGCTACCATTGGATCTACTGGGTTGGCCCTATTCTCGGATCACTCCTGGCTACGGCCTTTTACTTGCTCGTAAAGGCGCTGGAGTACGAGACTGTCAATCCCCAGGCCGACACTGACGGCACCATGCGGATGAAATTTGACCCAACTACGGGAGATGAGAATAGGATTTCGCCTAGTCCGCCCAAAACAGAGACTATTCACGCGGAAAATCACAATGGCCGCACCAGCACTGACGCCCTGCGACATGAAACCATGTCCAATGGCCACAGCCAGGGAGCAAGATCAAGTTTTGGCGATCATGCCTACAGGGAGAGCACCAATCTCGAGGCTGGCCGACGTGTGTCGCCCGTTTAATCCACAGCCCATCCTGCGCCAAACGAACAAGATATATCATTGGCTTGTTTCTTCCCCAATCAAGATTGGGGCGATCGCTCATTAGTGTGCTTTATACCAACAATATTGGCAAGCAAATAGGCGGAGCAGCGCAGATAATAAATAAATTCATTATCGAAACAATTTTTCGAAACAATCTTTGAAAAACGTGAAAATTCTGATAGGTCTCACGCTGAATGTCTCTTGGCACTATTTACCGACATATTCTTGAAGTATTTGGTTATTGCAAGCCAGTCAAAAGAAGATGAGCTCTGACAGCTACAACCCCCCTCCCCTAAAGTTCGTTTTGAGACTGATCAAAAAAGCCGAGGCCGAGTGATGACTTTCGAGGAGGCGCAATAAAAGGTTCCACCTTGGCAGCACCGGTTTTTCTCAAAATATTTCCGTTCTTGTCAATCGCTTCAGCCGTTGCAAGTTTTACCTTTTCGCCCTCCAGTCGCAGTGAAGTTTCAAAGCTCTTGCGCTCCACATCGCCAAGGTACGTTTTGCTACCGAATGGTCGTTGAGTGCATAGAAACGCCACGTCGTGGTCTCGGTATCGCCGTTCCAGCTGACGTACAAGGTAGTCCCGGCGTCGTCGGCAAGCGCCACAATGGCGGGCTCCTCGTTGGGGTATCCGGTCCAGTTGTATCGAAAAGCTCGATAGTTTTGCACGCCGAGGCCCAGGTAGTCCGAGTCCATGTAGGCGTGAAAGATGGCGGTGCCGTTGGGCAGGAACTCGGTCACGGCCCCCTCGGATCCCCAGCCGACGAGAACGTTGCCGTTGGGCAGGACCTGCGTTGAGCCTTGCGACTTGGACAGGAGGCCGTCGGGCGGGAAAAAGGCCTGAACCAGCTCGGCCTCCCACGACGTCGTGTTGAGTTTGAGAATCTTACCACTGCTTGTTGGCGCCGTGTGCACCTCTCTGCCCTCGCCATGCTCAGAGCCATGAGCGGAATTATCGTACAAGCTGATGATCTCGATTGAGTCATCATACTGCTCTAACCAGCGCGCGTGGTGCTGGAAGCAGAACTTGGCATTCTTTGGGACTGCAAAAGAGCTGTCCTTGCCGTTCAGCTTCCAGATGATGCTACCATCGGAGCCGTTGATTTTGTGAACGCTGCAGGCGTCGCGCGCCGAGATCAAATAGTTGCCATCAGAGTCCTTGTCAACACTATTAATGTGGAAATAGTCCCAGGCGTCGGAGCTATTGTACCCAGAACCTGCTTGTCCCGGGTTGATTGGTAGAATTGCCTCTAACGTCAAGTGTTAGTAGTCGTTTGTATTCTTGTGAATTATTTCCACGAACCATCGGGTGAAATATGATCCAAACTGGCCCATTCAAAGAGGAGCTCGCCCGTAGCAATGTCGAGCTCTGAAAGGTACATGGTTAGTCGCTACCGCACAAGGCTACTTGAACAACGTTGGAGCTTACCTTGGATGATTGCATTTACAATCCATTGTTGTTCTGGCTTGGCCCCGTAGGCTGTTAGATCCCTTGGCACCGGCTGATAAATCTGAATCAATCCAGTCTTCTCATTCACAATGTGAAACTCGTGCTTGTCGACAAGCTTGTGATTTCCAGCCCGGAGCTCCCGGATCGTTTCGTAGTTCTGGTCCAAAAAGGTGATATGTCCATGACCTAGCGAGGGGCAAGTCAATTACAGTTCATCTGATAAGCACTTGTAGACATTCGGGCCACATCACTGAGAAAATTGTACGTACCGTGTCCATAGCCAGGATTATGGTCCCCCTCAAAGGTAAAGAGGACATCCTTTCCGTTCCATCGCGCTTTTTGGAAATTGGTCGTCCAGATGCTGTATATGCCATACCCAGACCAAACAAGGTCGCCATCGTCACGTATGATGTAAGCCCCTGCCTGTCGCGGACCGTGTTGCTCCCAAGGCGTGTCGGGAAGGCCTGCGAAGGGGGCAAGGAAAAGATATCCCGACTCAACATCCTTTGTAGCGGGAATGGTAATGTTCAGCCGAGGTGGTGCAAGATCAGGACGGGATCTGAATTGCCAATCCGCCTGTGCCAATTGGCACAATACTGGCAAGAAGCCATAGTACCAGCTCGATCTCATGGTGATTATACGCACGATGGAAATATTGCGTTCAACACACCTTGGCTGATATCAACACTGTAGACAACAAGGAGTGTTTCAATAACAATGATGGCCGACCTAACCGCAATTTTCAGAGCGGACATGAGAATATTTCAAATGCTCTCGAAATGGGATGACGACACCGACTGCGTCTGAACTTATTTTGTTATAGCCGATTGCGTGATTCCACCATGCATCTCCAACAGCTACAAATCCGACGAATGATGGAGCTGAATTCCTACTAACGTGTAAGACCTACCACATACTTGTTCCAACCAAATCCTTGCCGGCAATGCAATACGTGCACATCTGCAGAAATTCACCCACGGAACCTATGGAGATGACTGGCCGAGGGAGTCATACCGGATGCTCTGCAGTATCGGTCCCATCGGTGATGCACTGGATCGACAGCTTTAGACTTGGTTGCGTGATTGACCGGAACAGTGGCATCACATCGAAGCTCCAGTTTATCTCCATAATGTTACAGGATGTTTTCAGATCGATAGGTTAAGATATCGTGATGAGCCTGGCACGTCTGGTCTGGCAACCGACTCTGTGAAACTCGAGGGTGATTTACTCAATTGAAGCTCCTTGTGTAAATGAATGAATCTATTCTCCGACTTGTCCACAGAAACAGTTTAAACAGGCAAGTTGTCGCATTCGTACCACCTCAATTATTTCGTACCATATTCCAATGAAGTATCACCCCCGCCGCCTTGACTATAAGTCTTGTGCTACATTCCATTGTCCTTATAGCCAACTATACACTCTATTTATCTCAACATGATTGCATTGCCACTAGCAGCACACGAACTAACGACAGCGACTGGGAAGGACGAAGTATCATTTGCCAAGACTTTCATGAGCCAATAATTCAGAAATGGCAAAATGTACTAGTCGGTGGCATTGTACTTCGATACTTGAGGTCGAGGTTGAAGCGCGGGATTCACTAGATGTATGACTTTGGTACTCGTCTTTTGCCAAATGGTCGTTGTCAAGTGGCAGAACGAATTCTCGTCGATGCGAGAGGCAGCTACATGGAAAACAGACCACTTACTATATCAAATTCGAATATCAACAATTGCCGTATCATTGTCCCGACACGCTTGGACACAATTCTCTTCTGACAATGCTACAGTCAACAGTACATGGATTTGAAGCCGATTTCGGAAGGGTGCATGCATCTACGTCAGTGCATTTTTCCTCAGTCTAGAAGAGCGACCGACATTGAGAGCAACATATCGTAAGCTTAGTTACCCCGAAAGCATCAATGCAACAGTAGGTGATTTGGATATGAAGATTTTCTACAATTCTTTATCAACATAGTAAGCTGACTGGGCCCTGGGTCAACAGTAATGATTACATTTAGTCCCATGTCTAGTCGTAGGTCGTGTGCCGCGAATTTTGTCCTGGTGGGGTCGCGCTGCACGAATTGACCTCATCCTCCCCCGCCCCCACCATTGACTTTCTCATACAAACAGCTTCCAGTGGGAGTCATTCCTCAAGCTAGGGACATCCCCGCCATCGGAGCAGCCAAAATTTCACTTTTGTGCTGAATACAACATACACCGCTGCTGAAAACCCCATCACCAACTTCTTCCTTGTTCCAATTGCACCAACAAGAAGAAGCCAGAAGATCGCAACATGGTGCAATTACCCGACCCGACTGCCGACCTTAATTGGTCTGGCTACGCTGGCGCAATTCACGAGTTTTTCCAGCAACAAGCAGAAGCCCACCCCGACCGCCCATGTGTGATTGAGACTCAGTCGTCGACCACGCCCGAGAGGCGCTTCACCTACCGCCAAATCTACGAGGCCTCCAACACACTCGCCCACTACCTCCACGATGCCGGAGTCACCAACGGGGACGTCGTCATGATCTGGGCGCACCGTTCCGTGGATTTGGTCGTCAGCTTGATGGGTATTCTGGTAGGCAATTAACGCGCGGCATCCTCTTGTAAGAAACGATCATGGCTTACAATGTTCACATTATAGGCTGCTGGAGCGACCATGACGGTTCTCGATCCTGCTTACCCTCCAGCAAGACAGCAGATTTACCTCGAGGTTTCCCAACCTCGTGCTCTACTCAGAATTGGCAGGGCGACCGACGAGAATGGCCCATTGGCACCACAGGTGCAGCAATACATCGACAGCGAACTCCAGCTCAAGGCCGATGTGCCTGAGCTGCGCCTACACGACGATGGTTTCCTTTCCGGAGGCGAGATCGACGGAAAGGACGTTTTCGAAAAGGCCAGGCAAGCAGGTTCGGGGCCGCCCCCGCCCGTCATCGTTGGTCCCGACTCCAACCCGACTCTCTCATTTACGTCGGGAAGTGAAGGCCGCCCCAAGGGCGTCCTGGGTCGCCACGACAGTTTGGCGAGATACTTTCCTTGGATGTCCAAGCGCTTCAACTTGACCTCGGAAAGCAGATTTACCATGCTTTCTGGTATCGCCCACGACCCCATCCAGCGAGACATTTTCACGCCCCTCTTCTTGGGCGCTCAGTTGCTGGTGCCCGCCAAGGAGGACATCCAACACGAAAAGCTGGCCGAGTGGTTCCGTGACCACAAGCCTACCGTCAGTCACTTGACACCGGCTATGGGTCAGATTCTCGTCGGAGGTGCCACTGCAGAGTTCCCCAGCCTGCAGCAGGTCTTTTTTGTTGGTGATGTTCTCACCACTAGAGATTGCCGCACTCTTAGAAAACTCGCCGTCAATGCCAACATTCAAAATATGTTTGGTTCGACCGAGACGCAAAGAGCTGTCAGCTATTTCGAGGTCCCCAGCAGAGCTAGAGATGCCGATTTCATGGACAAGCTGAAGGACACCGTCCCAGCTGGAACTGGTATGGAGGGTGTACAGCTGTTGATTGTCGACCGTCAAGACCGCACCAAGCTGTGTGGAGTAGGTGAGACGGGAGAGATCTACGTTAGAGCTGCTGGTTTGGCAGAGGGATACCTAGGTGATCCTCAGAAGAACCAGGAGAAATTTGTCAACAACTGGTTTGTTGACGAGAAGAAGTGGGCCGAGCTTGATCAGCAGCTCAACAAGAATGAGCCCTGGAGAAAGTACTTCCAAGGCCCCCGAGACCGAATGTACCGAACTGGTGATCTCGGCAAGTACCTTGAGTCGGGCGATGTGGAGTGTACTGGTCGCGCTGATGACCAAGTCAAGATCCGTGGCTTCAGAATCGAGCTCAACGAGATTGATAGCAATCTGAGCCAGAGCCCTCTAATTCGGGACTGCAAGACCCTCGTGCGAAGAGATCGTAACGAAGAACAGACGTTGGTGAGCTATATTGTGCCCGAAACGGCCGAGTGGCAACGCTTTGTCGCCGCGCGCGAGATTGAAGATGTCGAGGATGAAGGTCTGGAAATGGGCTCCGTCAAGGTCTACTTGAAAAAGTACCGAGTTCTCCAGACCGAGGTCAGAGACCACTTGAAGACCCGTCTGCCGGTGTATGCAGTCCCGACAATCTACATTGTCCTCAACAGGCTTCCCCTCAACCCCAACGGCAAGGTGGACAAGCCAAACCTGCCCTTCCCTGATGTTGCGGAGCGTGTGGAGGATGCCTCTGAGGAGGACTTGAAGAGCTGGGAGTCTCTTTCGGAGACTGCAAAGAATGTTGCCCAGCAGTGGGCCGACGTCGTCCGTGGCTTGAACCCCAAGACTATCCGACCAGAGCACAACTTCTTTGACCTTGGCGGCCACAGTCTCTTGGCTCAACAGCTGCTCCTCAACATTAGACAGAACATTGGCGCAAACGTCTCCATCAACACACTGTACGAGTTCCCAAGTCTGGCTGGGTTCAGTGCAGCCATCGACAACCTGCTCAACAAGGCCAGCGGTGCTGCTGCCGAGGGTGCTGAAGAGGGCGATCCCGCGTATGCCAAGTCTCTGGACGAGCTCATGGGCCGTCTGGCACCCAAGTACCAGACAGCCAACTTGGACGCAATTGGTGGTTCCGAGCCTCTTACAGTCTTCCTCACGGGAGCCACAGGTTTCCTGGGTGCCTACTTGGTCAAGGACATTATGGATCGCACAAGCCGCCAGGTCAACCTGATTGCTCATGTCCGAGGTGTCAAGGACTCGGCGGCGGCTCTGGATCGCCTCAAGCGCTCCATCAGCGCCTACGGTCTTTGGAAGGAGGAATGGGCTTCAAGAGTAAGCTGTGTTATTGGTGATCTGGCTCTGCCAAACCTTGGACTCGACGAGGCCAGCTGGAAAAAGGTTGCCAATGAGGCAGATGTCATTATCCACAACGGTGCAACTGTCCACTGGGTCAAGAGATACCAAGATATGATGACTGCCAATGTCTTGTCTACTCTCGACGCATTGACGCTCTGCAACGAAGGAAAGCCCAAGACATTCACATTTGTCAGCTCGACCAGTGTGCTGGACACTGATCACTACATCCAGCTTTCCGAGCAGCAAACCAGCACTGGCCAGGGAGCTGTCTACGAGACCGATGACATGGAAGGCAGCCGCAGAGGTCTTGGCACAGGCTACGGCCAGACCAAGTGGGTTTCCGAGCAACTTGTCCGAGAGGCAGGCAAGCGTGGACTGTCGGGCTCCGTCATTCGGGCCGGCTACATTCTTGGTGACATGATTACTGGTGTTTGCAACACTGATGACTTCCTGATTCGAATTCTCAAGGGTTGCGTGCAACTTTCATCGCGCCCGCGCATTGTCAACACTGTCAATGCTGTCCCGGTTAACCACGTCTCTCGCATCGTTGTCGCTGCCGCCCTGAACCCTATTCCGGACGGTGCTCACGTCCTGCACGTCACGGCCCACCCCCGCCTTCGCATGAATGAGTACCTGTCCCTGCTGGAGTACTATGGCTACAAGACCCCCGAAGTCAGCTACGACGCCTGGAAGTCTGAGCTGGAAAAGTTCGTGTCTGCTGGTGCCCTTGAGAAGGATCAAGAGCAGCATGCTCTCATGCCCCTGTTCCACTTTTGTATGAACGACCTCCCTGCAAACACCCGTGCTCCTGAGCTAGACGATAGAAACACGGCTGCAGTGCTCAAGGCAGATGCGGAGAGGTGGACAGGCGTTGATGAGAGTTTTGGCTACGGCATTGGCAGAGAAGAGATTGGCAAGTACTTGGGGTACCTGGCCAAGATCAAGTTCATTAGCGAGCCAACGGAGAAGGGAAGGCCTTTGCCCGAGATCACGACAGAGGCTCAAGCCATTGGTGGACGTGGTGGTGCGGCTTAGAGCTGATATTGTGTATTTTGTAGTTTCGAGGGTCAGAATTGAAAAGCGATTTGTGTTTTGACTAGATAAGAATCTACAGGGTCTACATATAGATTTGGGAGAGCCTTGAGACGTGTAAATAAAATGAAGTTTGTCAAGTTTGCATCCTGGTCAACCTGGGATGAAGTCGGTGATCATATAGTCCACTCTTCCAACCACTAGGTCTGAGTCATGCCGACAGAGTAGGTCTTATGCGTTTCCAATTAGCCCCGACCCAATGAGATAGTATAAACCAATGATATGGAAGCATTCTTATTGACAATCACACGCCCTTCTGGGATGTGGGCAGTCTCATTCTTGCACTAGCGGCATGCAATAGTCGTTATATCTCCACCACTGATCACGCAATTAAGACCAAGCGAAATATCTGCCCGTAAGCAAAAAGAGAATCGGCGTACTGGCCGACTGCTTTGGTTATAAACGTACTCATTGCCAGAGACGGGCTGGTTTTATTGTAGATTCCATCGTGACATGAGATTGAAGTTCTGCAACCACCCAAGATGCCATCAATAGAACACTTTCCGCCCCCGACTGACGTTGCGGCCGCAGCTACTCGGGACGGAGCCGCAGCCACCGCCGGGAACGACGACGACGACAACTCGGTGGAGCGAGGCAGAGGCTTGCCCGAGTCTGCGGGCGAGCGGCAGCCTCTACTGAGCCAAACAGCGGCGCCGGGCGAAGACGAAAATGGCGAGTGGAAGGCGCCCCGGCACTTTATGCTCATTGAGCTGGCCATTTTCTCCAACGTCTTTCTGTACGGCTTTGACAGCACCATTACGGCGGCCACGTACGCCGTCATTGCCTCGGAGTTTGACGCCGTCAATACGGCCTCGTGGCTCACGACGAGTTACCTGGTCACCAGCACGGCGTTTCAGCCCCTGTACGGGCGCATCTCGGATATCTTTGGGCGCCGTGTTTGCTTTTTTATTTCCACCGTCACCTTTGCCTTGGGCTGTCTGGGCTGTGGTGTCGCGCAGGACTTTATACTGCTAAATCTCATGAGGGCTCTCACTGGATTTGGAGGCGGTGGTCTAATGACCATGGGTGAGTGGAGTTTTGTTATACATTCAAGGAAGAAAGGGAGATTGCTAAAATTGATGATTGATATTAGCAACTATTGTCAACTCGGACATGATTCCCTTTCGTAAGCGAGGCATGTACCAAGCCCTGCAAAACGCCTCGTTTGGATTCGGCGCCATTGCCGGGGCGTCATTCGGCGGCTCCATTGCCGACTCCATCGGCTGGCGCTGGTGTTTCCTGCTGCAGGTGCCAGTGTCTGCCGTGGCCCTGGTGCTGGGCTACTTGGTGATCCGCAACCCGCACAATGCCCTGCGCGGATCCAGCCTCGCCGATACGTGGCGTGCCGTGGACATCTCGGGGGCCCTGCTCCTTGTCACTGCCATTTCGGTGCAGCTCATCGGGCTCAGTCTGGGGGGCAACGAGCTGCCGTGGAGCAGTCCCTGGGTGATTTCGTCTCTTGTCGGCAGCGTCGTGTTGCTAGGCCTCTTCTTGGTGGTCGAGGCCAGGACCAAAGCCATCCCCGTGATTCCCTTGCGCATGCTGCACGGATGGCTTCCCGGTTTGACGCAGGCTACCAATGTCTGCGTCGGGCTGAGTGCGTACGCTTACCTGTTTATGCTGCCCTTGTTCTTTCAGGTTGTTCTCTTGGACTCGGCAACCACGGCCGGTGCCCGTCTCGCGATCCCCTCGCTGGCCACGCCGATCGGCGGCGTCATTGCTGGTGTCGTCATGTCGCGCTGGGGCAAGCTGACGGCGCTCGTGAGAACGGGCGCGGTCCTCATGGCTGTAGGCAATGCTTTGGTCACCTCTATCCAGTTTGAGGATTCGCTCTGGAAGTATTATGTCTACATTTTCCCGGCCAACCTCGGTCAGGGTATCGTGTACCCGGGCATTCTGTTTACATCTCTGGCAACGTTTGAGCATGCAGGTCAGTGGGAAATGGCTCTCTGGATAATCAACATCATATGACTAACCCCAAATACCTATGTAGATCACGCGGTATGTGCATCGACAGTTTACCTCATTAGGTCGCTCGGCACCGTCTGGGGCGTCTCAATCACTTCTGCCATCTTGCAGACAACACTGAGCGTCAAGTTGCCAGAAGCCCTGAATGACGTTCCAAACAAGTGGGAGGTATGTGATCTTTTCCCTATGGCCCAATTCAATAACAGTCTCAATTTCTCTTCTCTCACACTTCGTGCACATTGCTTACTTCCTGCACCCATGCAGATCATTGACGACATCCGGCATTCCGTCGACGCCCTCAGACAGCTGCCTCCTGATGTTCAGCTCAAGGCGCGGTTGGTGTACTATCAAGGACTGCAGTACTCTTTCGCGGCGTCGACTGGTATCGCAGCCATAGCTGTCATCACATCGATTTTCATCAGTGGCAAGGGATTACGAAAGACCACGAGCTGAGCGGTCTCCATTTTGTACTGGGTATAATGTTCTGTTCGAATGATACTGATCTCTGAAACACAAGGAAACATGCAAACTTAGTGATACTACATTCAAGGCCCATAATGGAGTCACTGCTCATTTTTCTCGTGGATGGCGTGTCTTTTCGAGTGATGGATGAGTCATTGAGCGTGTCATTTCTGTTCAATCAAATTTAAGAGGCAACAAATGTCGTCCTGAGCCCATACTACTTCAGTGCGTGAAACTCGTCAGACATGGCATACATCACTATCCTTTCGAATCATTCATTACATTATAATGAAAACTGTATTGGTTAGACCGGTCGGTCTGATTCCGGCATTGACCCTCAGCATAACTTACATTGTTTCTATATTTGCTGTCATAAAAAATTCAATCTGCAAGCGCTACTCGTAAAATCATAAACTCATCCAACAGCCTCATCCGCTCTCAGCCGGGACCACCACATTGGATTCCTTGGCCGACGGCTCCGGGGCAGCAGAAGTCTCGCCCTTTTCCCGCTTGTCCAGCTCGGCGCGCACCTTTGGCAGGATGTAGCGGCCATAGTCGACGGCGTCATTGTAGTTGTCGTAGCCGCGAATGGAAATGAGCTCGCAGCCGAGATCTACGTAGTCGAGGATCGAGTCGGACAGAGTCTGTGGCGATCCGACCAATGCCGTAGAAGCGCCGCGGGCACCCGTGGCCGTCACCTATGAAAAAGTGTTAGCAATATTGCGTCTGATGTGGATGATTCGTACACTCCCTTGCATATAGTGGAGTGTCGAGTCTCGACAAGAGCATAAACCAGATAGATACTTACAGTAGGATACCAAAGGGCGCGGTCTTGCACCTCTCCTCGAGAGGCGATATCCAACAGCCGCTGCGATCCGACATTCTGGGGACCTGAGTTGGTCTGAGGCGCCAAGTTGGGACCAGCCTTGCCCTGGTTGCCCTTGAGGAGGTCGAGATAGCGGTAGGCCTTTTGCCAGGCGAGGTCGTCCGTCTCGGCGAGGATGGGGCGAAAGGTGACCCAGATGCGGGGGCGATCGGTGCGGCCGGCCTTTTCGGCCTCGGCGTAGATGCGGTCAATCTGCTCCTTGGTCTCCTTGAGCGGCTCGCCCCAGAGGCCAAAGATGTCGGCCAGCGAGCCGCCGACGCGGTAGGCCTCGGGCGAGGAGCCGCCCACGGACACGGGGATCGTGCCCTTGGTGGGCCGCACCTGGTTGCTGAAGCCCTTGAAGGTGTAGTACTTGCTCTCCCAGTCAAAGGGCTCGGCCGACTGCCAGGCGCGGCGGAGGATCTTGATGTAGTCCTCGAGGCGGCCGTAGCGCTCGTCCTTGCTGAGGAAATCGCCCTCCTTGGCCTGCTCGGCATCGCTGCCGCCGGCGATAAAGTGCACGACGACGCGGCCAGAGCTCAGCTGGTCCAGTGTGGCCAGGGCCTTGGCGGCCACGGTTGGATACATGGTGTTGGGCCGCAGGGCAATGATGACGCTAATGTTCTTGGTCACGGCGGCAATGGTGGCGCCAATGGTAAAGGGATCATAGGACCCCGAGCCGTACGGCACCAGTGTATAGTTGAAACCATACTCGTCCAGTGTCCTGGCATATCTGACCAGGTACTGGGGGTCAATACCGGTCGGGTTGGGACCCGTGGCGATCTCAGTCGCCGAGTTGTTGAATGTTAGGCTATATATATCCGTGTTAGTGGTTGTAGTTTATACTCATTTCAAGGAGTTCGTACCTGATAAATTCTGTAGGCATTTTGACTTTACTTGTTTTCAGAATAAAATGAATTCAATAATTCTTTATTTTTCCTTTTTATTTTATTCTAAGGCAGCTGTGACCTTTTTGATACGCCTTTTGTATTTATAAGCGCTGCTGGCTTGCTCCGCATGCATCCTGAATGGCATCATTGCTATCGCGATCACGCAATACCGAGCTCGGTCGGGGACCCATCTTTATAGTCGTGAACGCGTCCCAAATGGCCCTTTCAATGGCTGCATTCTGTTCATATCATCTCTGATGTATAGCTCGGGTTGCGCAATGTCAGATTGCGCCCACCTTTTTGCTGGTTGGCCTGGCGCTGGGTGAAGCTCTGGACTTTGGAAGTCGGTAGAGTAACTCGGCCGAGTTACGACTTTGTGTCTGCAGGAGGATATATCTCCCCATTCACCCCACTAAACATACGATGCTGAGCATCTTTCCAGACTGATCAAAGGCGCAATAGATATTTCGCGCTCATGTTCGTGATGCTCTTCTCTTCTCTTCTGCCTTGTCTGGTGCCGCGCCCGTGGCGTATTCGCTCTAAGTGATTCGAAGAGCTGGTCCTCGGGAATCGCACCACATGCTTGACCACAGCAAATCCTGGGTTGTCCCTGGCCGGTCATTGATGGGTAACGAATAAATCATCTTCAACTACTCTAGATCCATACGGCATCATCGGCTCGGTTTGCATCCAGGTAATCAAGTACCTCGTCGTATGATTTGCAGACGTGTTTGGCATCCCATCCATCTGATCCCACAATGCCTTCTGGGAAAGTCGTCTCCTTGCCTTCAAGTGCAATATCGCCGGCGCACATGATGGCTTGGCGTAAATAGTCCTACACAGATTTTAGAGTTAGTTTATATGTTCGACTATGTTCTTATCTCTGGTGAGATAAATGTTTCTGCGCCAGATAGGGACCTACAAAGCAGTGCGCAAGATGCCACGGCGATTCTCGTGGGATCTTTTCAGTGATATTGGAAGTATATGCGCTAAACACTTCTGCAATGGCATACTTTGTCCATGTTAGTATAGAAGCGAGCATTAAAAGGATCGAGAGAACGTACCAGACAGTGGAGCTGGTGCGTCATGGACGTCGTGACGACGTATTTGTCATAATAGCCTTCCAGCTTTTGTGGGAGGTCTTGATACTTGGCGGGATCTTTGATGTTCAAATATCCAAGTCCCTCTATATTACCAGGTTAGTTAGTATTCTGTCATTGCTCGTAATGAACGAGGCCGACTTACTCGGGACAATACCCAACCACTTTTGTCGTACCTCGTCTGTAAAGAATTCGGATCCATTCTCCGGCACAAACATGGGATCAGGCTGAAAAGTTACAATCTTTTGCGAAACTGGACCTGGGTTAGTTTCTGGGGGGAGAAAATCATGGGAGTGCAATTACTAGTGACACATACAACGAGGCGCAAACCCAACCACATCACCAGTTCCCTCGTATTGCGCGTCTACTTTGGTTGTCTTGCTATTTCCAGTCCAGGAACGGTCCACCAGCAGCATGACGACGACTGCCACGAGGACTCCGTCAATCACCCAGCGATATCTGTTCAAGACTTCTAGGATTCGAGCTCTCCTCGTCCGCAGAGGCGTCGCGGCGTGCATGTAATCCTTTTCATCCAAGTCAATCGTATCCTCGATATGCATGTCGAGATCGTCAATTTCATCGCGCTCATCCGCCTTGACGCTGTGGTATTGGTGTGTCCTGCTGTCGTCCGCCATGTTTTAGCGTCTTTTTCGGACTGTACCGGTGTGAACTATTCGTATTGATGCTGCTGCTGCTTGTGAAAACACACGGGAAATGATGTTGAAGTAGTTTTTATCTCTTTAGATAGCTGTCGACAGCGATAGCGACAGCGATATCGAAAGATGATGGTGCCTTGTCGAAACTCGGGCAATACACAGTAGCGCAACAACGCGCGGCTTGCCCCAGTCTAGGATCAGACAGACATGGGTTTCACACTATCTTGAGCCAAGGAGCAGGGGTTTGGTTGATGAAACACGAGCAATGTCCCGGCACCTTTGTCCTTCCCAGGCGTTTTCCTCAATGGTAACTTTTGCTGGATAGAAAATCCAAATTTTTGGACAAAGAGTCGCCAAAGAAGATAAACATCCAGAGAAGTGGGGATTTTGTGGCATGATTAATCAATGGTTAAAGAAATAGTCGTGATAATTTGTTGGATGAATCTCTGGGGCTTTTGGTGGACAGACGCTATACAGCTGATAGTACTACGTATAGTCTAAAGACCCTCTGACTCGCTCCAGGTCAGCGCTTACACAATACAGCAAAGACGCGACACCGGGAATAAGCAACGGCACATAAGTCGCAAAGAAAATCATCAAAGGTATTGACGGCGGGAGGGGGCATACGAGCGGCAAGATTCTTTCCATGTGTCCGAAACACGTACTGCAAGTACAGCTACAGCGAATGGGCGCGCAGGCAAAAATAAACCTACACACAAATCATTAATGGGCATCTCCTGTTCTAGTTCTCGGAGATAGGAGCGACAGAACAAGAACAGAAGCTTTGGGTGTGCGTTGATGCTACCCCGGCTGCAGGGCGCGGTAGCTTTCAATAAATGGTGCTCTCACAATGGCAATGCATCCATCTGATTACGTGCTTACTGTCCACATGGCAGCCCCAGTTCTATCTCATAGGTCTCGAGGCCACTACGAAAGAATTGGAGAAACCAATTTTGCCGGAGCCAGATGACGCATTTGGGCTATAATGTAACACATACGGAGCACTTGCACACATCCAATCTATTGCTTGTGTCTAGGGAATATGACTGATTGTTGAATACCATGCGACGCGCTCTAGTATATACTTTCATTTATGTACCGCGACACTGTAGCATCTGACCAGTTCTTTACACGATCAAGCGCTCGAGGCCCAGGTCTCCCATTCGTAAGAGGCCAGCATGAATGGGCCGGCTCCCTTGTAGTCGTTGGAAGCAAGAGGGACACCGATATAGTACTGTAATCATTGTCAGCAGGTGCGGAAAAACAAAGTATTGCTGATGCATCAGGCAAGCTCACCTCGTATGTTCCGTTGCTACCAAGCGAGCCAACCTGGACGGTACCCTCCCAGTTCAAAGTGCCGTCGCCATTCTCCACGACGAACCTGTCCACCAGGAGATTGTACCCCTTTTGTGCCGTGGCAAGAAAGTCGGCGCTCTCAATGTACCCGGAGCGAATACCGCGGAACATGCCGAGCACAAACATGGCCGACGCGCTGCTCTCAATGTAGTTGCCCTCGGCCCCGACGTACTGCTCGCTCATGATGAGCCACCAGCCGCCAGACTCGTCCTGGGTCGTCTTGAGCGCATCTGCCAAGGTGGTAAAGTAGCCCAGCAGCTGGGCGTAGCCCTCGTGCGACTGGGGAAACACCTGCAGCGTCTCCCACAGAGAGAGAAAGTACCAACCGACGGCGCGGTCCCAGACGAGCGGTGCGGCGCCCGTCACTGGGTCCGCCCAGACTGCCTTGAAGCTCTCGTCGTAGCCGTGGACCAAGAGACCGCTGGTCGTGTTGCGCGTGTGTGCCTCAATGTGCTCGTATTGCGACAAAATGTCGTCCCAGGCAGTGGTCTAGTTAACAGATCAACAAGTTGTTCATTTGATGACTCCAAGTCAGAGTTCGCTTGGCCACTTACGTTGTCGGCGTCAAACCAGCTTGTCCACTTGGCGTAGAAGCTGTCTGCCATGAAGATGCCATCGAGCCACATTTGGTTGGGGTAGGTGGGCTGGCGGTGCCAGAAGCCTCCGGTGGGTGTACGAGGATGCCTATTGAGCTGGCTTCGGACAATTGCAGCGGCAGACTTGTACTTTTCCTCGCCAGTCTCATTGTACCAGTAAAGGTAATTGTTACCCATGCGCTTCGTGTAATTAGCAGTGATTCTTTCATGATGAATTGGTTCTTTTGGTGCCAGGATTTGGGCAAGAGTCAAAGTACTTACGTATTCGTCGAGACTGTAAAAAGTATAATTCCAGTCTACAATGGTTCCATCGTCGGCCACAACGCCGTCAATCTGGTCGTGGTACCAGTCGTAGAGAGTCTCGTTTTTGGTCAGGTCATACGCAGCCTCATACCCTAGGTACAAGGTTGCTGCCGTGTAGCCAAAGTCGTACTCGACGCCTCTTCTGATGAAGGAGTCGGCAAACCGTGCGAGCAACGAAGTCTGCGCCGCAGCCGAGGCGGCGCCAACAGACAGGAGACTCAGAATAGAGGTCTTCATCTTGAGTAATTCACCGCGGACTTGGTGATTGGGTAAATAGTTGAATTGGATATTCTAAATCTGCCCACCGGGTCGCTCTCATCCATCGTCGTGGAGAGCACACACTCTCTCTTTTATGTTTTCCTACGATCGCATGTTGCCCCTTATCGCCAAGGCTGCGGCTTATGAGTCCAATATTGAATATAGTCCTTCATAGCGACCCAAGAACTAACATGCATATTGTAAAAATGGATAACGTGGACGATTCGTCTATTCAATTGGAGGGAAATTAGGTGGCATGGAGCCCAGGTGCGTACTTGGCAGTCCCTAGCTATTGGAGCGACAAGGATGGGAGAGAAGATCATTGTCCCAGGGTTCCCGGAGCTCTCGGAAAATCCCACCATCTTGTCATCCCGACAGCCTTGATGGCTATGAATGTCTACTGGTCATTGTCTCGGTCTTTTTTTGGAGACGGATACGTCCACGGCCAAGTTGTGTTAGGGATAGAATGTCTTGTAGCTCATTAGTGGAATAGTTTCACGCCTGTCTATGAACACTCCACAATTGAACACGATGAAATAAAGTCCCAAGAAACACTGCCTAGTTGCCAATGCTTTTAGAAACTCTTGTTCTTTTTCGTGTCGCCAAGTTCGAATCTTATAGCGTCTTCATTTTCTCTCCGTGGGCGTGTCGCTGCTTCTCCACTCTCCGGGTTCTACACTTTGATGTACGAAAAAGTGCGGAGAAGTGCCAAGAATATCGGGTCGCGACTTTGAAATAATTCTTGACATGCACATGCAAAGATCATCCGGCATAGACATCAGCATGGGACTGATCAGACAAAGATTTAGAAACGTGTTGAATCGAACGAATTGAGGACTGTACAAATAGTGTCGAAGCACGCAACATCTTTTTCTTGTTTGAAATGTCCCGAGATCTGCTTGGTAATTATTTGACTAGGGAAGTAACTTGTTCTAGGCGATAGTCAGCGATTGGATCATCAAACTTTGAAAAGAACCACATATTCGCGATGCCGGAGTAAATGGTGTATGGCATTTGATTCAAGATGCTTTCTCCAGTGTTACGGTTTCTTTAGTGTTGAACTATTCAATTTCCGAAAACTCAAGTTATTCAATTTGATAAAAAAGATTTGTGATCAAGTACGGTCGACTATGGTCTCCTGCCCGTCTTCATTCGTGATCCAGAAGCCTTTTGCCCATTTGTCAAGATCCGCCCTTTCTACTGTACTTGTCTCGATCTCAGTATCGTCTCCAGAATATCCACTATCCTGTTCAGACAATACATCATCCTCGCTCCCGTCGTCGTCGTCGCCGTGCAAAAATGCTCCTCTTGGTTTATATGAATCAATGTCGATCCCTTGGTCCCGTCGCTTTCGGACGCGTATGACAAGCAGCTCATACGCCAGGACTACTGGCCCTTCGGCTTCGAACCGCATAACCCGTTGCCTTTGTCGATTCAGTTGAATACCCGCTCCAACACTTGCCGCCAGACCAATTCCATCTGCGGGGATCGGAACCTCAGCTTGAACACCGCCGCCTCGGTCGTGAGCCCTGTCCGTGCAAACTGTCATACCATATGCAACCTTGAGCCCACAGATCAGATACAGCTTGGGAGTTCTGTGCCCAGAATTCAGATGTCTGCGGACAGCGAGCTCACTGAATCGCTTTCGAAGCTCCTCCTCCCTGGGTATACTCTTCAGCGTGCGGGTTTCCAATTTCTTGACAGAGTAGGAGACAGCTTCGTGCTTGTCATTGATGGCGTCGAAGGAAAGACCGAATGCCTGGAGAACTTTTGCCCAGAAGCCACCCTGGAATTTCAATCCGCCACCCTGCGAGAACTGAAAATCCTTCTCTAAATTATTGTTATAGGCGCGGCCGACTTTGTCGTCGATCGACGAAAGCACCTTGGCTGGCTCCAGAGGATTGGCGATGATATTCCCAAGTTGAATCGGCCCTGACGGCGTATAAGTAAGGTTTGAGGGCGCACTAGCCAGTAGGTATGTGCATTCGGGAGACATGTTGATCTCGTTGCGTCGGGGTTTCCCTGTCACTTGGTTCGAGACATATTGTCAACTCACAAAATCAAGAAATTCTTGTATATTATACCGGTTTTATAGATCGTCAACCATGATATACCTCAGCTGGAATATGCTCTATATGCGAGATACTTCAACCATCCTTCAGCTCTGATGCGCACCCACCTTGGTTGCAACTCAATACCTTAATACCTGTGTTCATAATCTGTGCGCGAATAAGATATCTTGGAAACCTTGCTGGCTTGTGAAATGCCTGGCAATCTTACTTTCTTCCTGATATAGTGCGCATTTGACTACGATTATTCAATCCTTCACATGGCGAAGGCTTTTTGTACGTGGAGGCTGAGTAAGTCGGAGCCGGCGTACACTAACTCGTCTTTGAAACTCAATTTATCTAGTAAGAATTGGATACCTCCTCGAGTAAGGCTCGTACTGCTTCTGCTGTGTTCCCGTTTCTTGCATAGAATTCTGCAGGAGACAAGAACCTCTGGCGAGACGGAGGCTCTACCTCGATAGATAACCTCTCAAACATGGCCAGCATTCCAGGCCGCGTCCATAATCCATGCACTTCCGGGGGTGGATAGTCATTTGATGGAAAGCCTAGTGTTGCATGTGTCAATATCATCGTAGCAATGCCCGCGGCGATTGCCGTGGCTACTGAACACCCCGACTTTGCGACCTCGCCCGTTTCTGGCAAGCTCCAGGATGAGGGAACTCTCCGACCCAAAGTACCATACACGTATGCGTCTCTCAAGTTCATTGGGGGGTTTTCCACCGAGAATGCTCCATACCTGTCGGTCTGGCGAATGGATATAACCGAATCGCAACACGCAGGAAACATCTCGGGCAGGTTGGCACCCGAGTTTGAGGCGGCGGCGAAAAGTAACAGTTGATTCTTCTTCATCCTCTCGGCCGCTATCAGAGATGTCCTGATTTCCCTTACGTGTTCGTTAAAACCAAACGACATGGTGATGATGTCGACATCCCATTCATTAGAAGCCCATGCGATTGCCTATAATTCTTTTAGTGCAAGTGGGTTCAGGGAACAAGGCTCGAATCATACTTACATTGCATATCGCTTCTACAGCGTCGGCTATGTCGTCCCTGCGCTTTGCAATTCTCGCCAGGTATATCTCTGCTTCGGGGGCCATCTTCATCACCAAGGATGTGCAGTGTGTTCCGTGGCCCTCCTCATCTACTGGTTCGGAACTCTCTCCTGCAAAATCTCGCCACTTTGCGATCTGCCTTGCGCTTTCAAATGGTTGGAAGAATGCTGCACATGTATCACAGCCGGTATCTAAGACTGCTACTCGAACGGATCGCGTGTTTGTTTCACCTGTTGGCAAGGGGTCAAGCAACGCTTTGGTCCTCAGATGGGCATCGTATATTGCCTCCATCCATTCCCTGGAAGCTGAAGCCTCTCTTCTTTCTGTGCCAGCACCCCGCAAGCTCAGAGGTTCGATTCGGATAAGCTCACTCTCAAACCGGAGACCCCTAATCAAGGAATGGAGTGGATATACCAAGTTGTCATGTAAAATCTTTCGCCTATGCTCAAGGTCATGAGCCCACTCAGAACCATGGCGTGTTGTGGCAAGGTCGAATGTTTTGCTGACAAGACAAGTCTGCAAAGCTTCCCGAAACTCCTTGTATTCAAAGCTGTGCCACACGCTATTGTCTCCAGCGTATCTCAAGGCCTGTGCAAATTGATCGTTGAACCTTTGCTCGATCGTATCGTGTGAGTTTCTCTCCAGCTGAGGGCCACAAACAATCTCTAGGAGAATGGTACAAAGCGCCAAGACTCTGGGATACTTGTAAGCGACATCAATTGATCCAGCGAATTCGTCGTAGGTCTTAAGAGGCTCCTCAAAGCTAGCTGCAAGGTATGGGTCGTTTGCGTATATGGAGCCTGGAAATCTTTCGAGATTTTGTGGAGGCTTGAAGAAAAAGTGAATAGAATCACTTGTCCAATTCCTGTTCATCCACTGTGAATCATAGTATTGCCAAAAGGACCGTGCGATAATGTAGGACAAAACAAGCTTATCCTTGTTAGATAGACGATGAGTCTGCAAGATATCACGGAGAGAATGGCTGGGATAGAGGTCCATTTGCATGTGCGGATCAACTCCCTGCAGCTGGTGGAACTGGGAATTTCTCACTTCAAGGCGCAACCTCGAATTGAGCTCATGTCCAGAACGGACCAAAGCACAAAACGTCCGAGCATTGAGCGGAATGGATTGTTGACCAAGCGGTGTTGCATTGCCAGTGCCTCTGCTTTTCCGTAAGTTGCGTGTACCTTGAGACATGGGCAATACTCACATTGTGACACGGAACTGAATATCTCGCCAGACACTCGGGACTGGTGACATGGAACGCATCAAGACATCTTCATTGAAGGATGTATTGTTACCTGCTCGATGGCTTCGGCCTCTGCTAACAAAGCCCTTCAAGCTCAATCGCACCTCGTGGCTTTTATCACAATCACAATCTAAATTTCGGAGAAAGGCCCGATGAAGCATTGATTTGTTCCTTCGAGAAAGATCGCTCAAAGTGTGATCATGCTCGCGGGGCCAGCCCTCTTTGTACGGAAGTGTGTCCCCCCTTGCAAGTCCAGAGAAACACACGAGCTTTTCCAGGTACATTTGTCGCTGGTCTCTCGACCAGCCAGCAAAGACAAGAAGATTCCGCCGAACTTTGTTCTCGATTCCCTCGGTTATCGGATCGAACTCAGGGAGTTGAGTAGTAGTGAGACTGAGCAGTGTATAAAGCATAGGACATTGCCCGGTCTGTAGACTACCAGGCCCCTGCAAGCAGTCGCACTACGATCAGTATCAATGTTCGACTGGTTATGTTCCATACCTCAGGCAACATACGCGGCATAGCATTTCCATGTAAATGACCAGCTCCCTGAGCTTATTTTGCAGCTCGTCGTGATGCGCGATTGAAATTGATTTTGTATTCAAACGAGCAATTGTTCTTCTGGCAATGCTAAGCTCATTGGCCAACTTTCGGATTCTGCTCTTACGCCTTTGGGCTGTGTCTGGTATCGTGTTGCAAAGGTCGACAGCAATGTGGCAGATGCGTTCGAACACATCATGAGCAAGTCTCAGCAGCTGTCGTCCTGTCGGCATGCTGAGATCTGGGGCGACTTGGATTGTAGAATCCATGTTCGAGAAGAAAAAGAAACATTGGAATAACTACATATTTCATCGCTGGATGTGGTGCAAGATAATCTTTTATACATGGAAATAACATTGTCCACATTTCGAGTTGTTATTTGGGCAAAGAGCCTATTTAGAATTGGCGTATTGCACCTTTCAGTACCTACCTAGGTAATCTGTAATTTCCACTTACGCATAGCCATACCAACTATGTAGAGGTTGGCGCACTCTCGAAGTCAAACCATAAGGTGTGCGACACTGCCACCAGAAGAAAAGAAAATATCAAAAATCGGTTTACGTATCTAGCCACAGAACCCAATTCGATGCATGTATCGCGCTTCCAGGACAATATCCCAAATATTGATACTGAAGCTAGGGCTAGAGGGTAAGTATATTCTGCTGGGGGAGTGCGCGGGAGAAGATCGATCATGTGAAGTATGGGGTCGCAAGTTAAACTAGCTTGTCAGCCTCAACGCTTAAAGTTGGGCCGAGCTTTAATAGCAGAAATGGTGATCTACTCAGCTCCTCGTGATTCGAGCGGGATCATCCGGCTGTCGTCATGAGATTCATTGCCGAGACCATGCCCAGCAAGCCCACACTCTTGTTCTCAAATATGAAAATCGTTCCGAGACATTTCCTCATCTATCTAGAAGACAACCTCTGCATTTACTCACGCATTCTAACCAAACATGGGCGTAGTGCCGACAACTACGCAGGGAAAGAAAAAAAAGCAGCCAACCTAAGCATTCCATATGAACAGTCTAGCCGTATGTCCGAGCATAGGGAGATACATGTGTAATACAGTTCAAACTAGAATCGATTTCACCTGGTTCGGATTTTCATTCGCACTTGTGACTAGTATTGGACTTACTCGACCACCCTAATCGTTGGAGTGTGGTTCAAGCTTCTCCGCTGACACGTATTCAACTCAAGTCTGGCAAGTGCCTTCCTATTCGACCTGAATCTTTCTAATTGCTCTATATACCAGGTTTCCTCAAAGATATTGTTCTTTATGCTTGGCATATATTCTATGCCCTCATATTAAAATTCAAGTCAGTCTTCGGCTTGGCAGGTATTCATTGCACTACTCAATACACGCCTTTCTATATCATTAATTCCTATGCCGCAGACTTGAGCTAATGGATTCGCGGTATTCACATGTAGTTTTGCCATGGATCTCCGCACACATGACATGGGCACACTCCCGATCTATCAGGCCGCCTCCAAGTGTCGGGATACCCTTCAGCAATGTGTGAAAGAGCCCATGTTGATGGAGTCTGAGTGGGCCGAAACCCAGCTCGCACATTTCAACCTTTGGACAGCGGACTTTGGTGTATCTGCCAACAGACGTGCTGCTCTGATTGATCGAGTACTTCGCGAACGCGATAATGTATACATCTTATTGAACGCCCTTGCTCTGATCCAAGAGTGCACCGAAATTTGCCTAGAGGTATGCTCTCCGGAAAAGAAAGAAACAAAGAAAGTCTCAACTACGTTGCGCCCTGAGTTTACTACGAAAGGATTGTTACGCCTGCTAGATGAAAAGAAATCCCGACCAGCTATTACTCGCTTTCCTCTGCCTGCCCAGGACCAAGAACAGTCAGACTCTGAAGACCTAGCTTGCGCCCAGGAAGATGTTGGCCACTCAATCAAACAGCTCGTTCGGCTAACTGAGGCACTCAGAGATACCGATTTGAGTACGAGATGCTCGGAAGCGGACAAGCACTTCAAGGCGACAGATCACATTGAGCTCAAGACGTCTTCAGAGAGGTTTATACTGGCTCAGCACCTTGACAGCACAAGTAGCAACTTGACGCCTCTGCAGAAGAGACTTGTTGAATCAAACATGAGGCGAAGACATTGGTTCTTGTATTCTAGGAAACACCCGCCATGCTTCGATGCCGGACTCACAGCAGAGTCTGGAATGGCCCGCATGGAAGTGTCTGAATACTCCCAGAACAAGACTAGGGCTGTGATCGACCATGGGGAAGATTGGAAAAGTCATGACGAGTTAAACAGGATGCCACCCAAATCAAGGCGTTTCCGATCCAAGAACTATCGAAATCATTGGAGAGTTCCCTCGGCGCATCACAGAATGGCGAGGTCACGAGTTCCCGAAGCGGTTCCTAAATACAAATACACCAGAAACATAACTCAGGCCTCGGTCGACGACTATGAGAAATTTGAACAGACTGAAGACTGGGAATATGTCCTGTCTGAGAGTGAAAGTGAAGACAATATTGGTCAATCAGTCCAGTCCGGGAAAACCAAGACGTCCAGCTACCGGGATAAATCACATCAAATCACGGGATCGACAGTGGAGTGTGTTTATCCCCAACCCCCAACGGTTCAGGCTGGTGCTCATAACTTCAAATGCCCGTACTGTTACCTAGTTTTGCCATTGGCATACCAAGAGGAAGCACTCTGGAGGTAAGCTACCCTAACTGCGAACAGATTCCGTATGCCGCTAATCATTCTCGTGGCCAAGGGAACATCTTGTCGATGACATAAGACCGTACACTTGTATCATCGATTCATGTGCACATCCCGAAGTCCTGTATACGCGGCGCGCGGATTGGATGCAACATATCATGCAAGACCATCAAAATAGTTGGCAATGTCTACTTTGTTCCGCCCCGGGCATCACGCCTACCCTCTATCCCACAACCGAGGACTTCATCCAGCATACAAGAGGTCAACACGCGAAAGCCATTCCAAAAGATATGCTTTATAGCGATAGTATCCTATTCTTTGCAACTCAGCATCACGTTCCATTCGGCATCAGCCAGTGCCCATTGTGTGATCACACTGGGGCACCTGATTCCGAGGAGCTGCTCAATCATATTGCTGAACATATTCACTCATTCTCGCTGAAATCGCTCCCAGAGCCTGATTCTGAGCATGGAACTGATAACGAAACCCCCGATTACACTCTTCAAATTGCTTCTCGGAAGAGACGTGACTTTGTGGATCGATATCTTGACAGCAGGGCTTCAGATATGACCTATGAGTTGGGTCATGATATTACGAGTGGGTTTAGAAATGCCTCTGTCGATATGAACTTTGACTAAGCAAGACTCGACAGTTTCAACGAGCAACGAGAATCGAATGCACAGAAATGGTGGCCCGAGGACGTGACTTGTCAATTTGTCAGAAACCTAGAGGATCCAAGGCCGTGGCTCCGAAAATCGACCATTAGAGGTATGACCAAGATTTACACGCGGGGCGCTTCCGACATTTGGACTGTCCCCAGGCTCGAGGCTCTTGTTCGCACGTTTTCCCATGAGTTGGCATGGATGTTTGAGGATAGGATCTTTGACTCTGATCCCATGATTTTATCTCGCGGTTTCCCCTTGCAGGCACTCACGGCTCTTCTCTGGATCTTGCTTGGAGGTTGGGTTGGGCGGCCAGGGACAGCTTTCGAAAGAGGAACCCATTGATCCTGCTTCGCGAGTTCCCCATTGCGGCCTTTGTGGCGCTGGTCTGGATTCTTTTTGGAGATTGGCTCTGGATGGTCAAAATCTGCATCACGCTCGAGAATCCATTTATCCTGTTTGGCACGTCACCAGCCGACGAGACACTTCTTCGTACCCTGATCCGGGAGTCGTTCTGGATGGTCACAGACAAGCTGTTCGGAATCGATCCCGTGTCCATTCATGCTTCCCAATCCGATACGTATTTTCAGTCTTTCGTCCGAATGTTCAACTGGCAACGACAAGACCAATATTTTGGTCTGGCTCACGTTATACAGATTCGTGATCTTGATCTATCGTCGTTGGAGCTACCCGAAGTGATCATCGAGACGCTTGCCCGGCGCTTGTCGGATGAAGACCAGTCTGTTCGGAGCGCGGCTATAGTGGCATGGGGTGAGATTTTTGCCAATTGGCGTTCTGGTGAAGGCCACAAGATGCCATCAAGTTCTTTCATATAGTCACCAGACGGTGGAGACTGCAGGCCTGCGCATAAGACACAGAAGGGGAAGACTAAGTAACGGCCAGCCTCTGGTATGATGAATACAAATATCTATTTGGCCATCTTATCAACATGTGTCAGTTTTTCTAGTCAGTGATCCCCCATGAGAATGTCGCTGAGCAGCCCAAAAACTTCCGCAAAAACACTTGTAAAACACAGTCGCATTTTGCCATGACTCCATGTCGCGCTGTTCCAAAAGCTAGCTTCGGCCGCCACAAATCATGTCATAATCTGCCTTTGAGGACCACTTTCTGCCCAGCGGATCTGAGGTGATAAGAATTGCCCACACCGCCTCCCTTCAATGCATACCCAATTGTGCATACCATTTTATACCCAGTGGGCCCGACTATACTAATATATACCGCCGGACTTTACTCCGATGGACCGATCGGAGTATACCCTCCTCCGTACATACTACACACAGTACTTTCAACAAGACCCTTTGCCCCACGCAGCGTAATACATGATATTAGATACAATCTGGTCCATGATACAGATCATGGATTCATGGAATTATCCACATTTCTCAGCTTGAGCAATATCAACGAGCTCGGAGTGAATGTCATTTTCTTGACTACAAAATCATGAGTAAGTACGAACCAACTTGAGCCAACCTTCCCAACCTGGCGATATTGTCTAGAAGTGGATTGCCCAGAAAAAGCACAAGACAGAAAACCCATGATCGTCGGCTAACTGGCTAGCTGCAGTGAATGCCGATCTCAGAAGGACCCCTCTTGACTGTGGATTTTTTTTTCTCCTCCTGGTTTTATCATTTACGGCTATCTGCCAGTAGACAGCATGGAGTACGTAGTATCAGGCAAGTCAACGAGAAAGTTTTTAGGAAGGTTTCCCCTCCTCACGATTGCATACCCATCTGCCCACTCTGCGTTTGACTAATCTAGTATAGGTCAGGAGGTATGCCAGTATGTACAAATAGTGAAGATCTGTTGAGATGGTGCGTGCCAAGCGTCCATAATCCACCACTATTTTTTTTTTCTTTATCTCCGTTTTGTCGCCGAGATCAGCGAAGCGCTGAAGAACAAAGAGAGAGAAAAGTACCCCAAGTGGGTTTTGCGTTGAGGTATAGACAAACAAGATTGCCATGTATTACATACCTACATGGATTTTTGAGATTCGAGAGGCTGGCGGGTGGCGGAAAAGCACAGAGAGGTTATGCAGGTGCGGCTGAATACCGCGGACTCCTCGGCTTGACTGTTTTTGGGTAAAACGTGACAAGGCAGACTGCATATGGATTCGAAGACCTCTCGCGGAGATATCTACTTTCCATTTTCCTACCAAGCGCGTTATTCCAGCGTTATTCCACCGTCTGGGAGCACGATCATCGTCTCATCCCCCAAATCACCAAACGACAGGGAATGTGGCTTGATTCCAATGATCGCCGGTTACCTGCGGAATACCTGGCCAGACCTGCAATGAGCTGCACCAGAGCGGTAACCCGTGCTCGTTTCCGACACCCCAGTCTCGACAGAGAGCACAGGTTGTATCAAGTTATAGAATTGTTGATATCTCCACAATGAAGCAGAGGACTCACCCGGGAGGCTTCTGTTGTTTTTGTTGGCCTCTCAAAGTCGCAGCATGTAGCCCAAGTTGACTCTGACTAGACACAATCCGACCAACTCTAATCATATTCTCGTCCCATCGTTTCCACATCCCGCAGAGTTCGGTGTTGCTTGGGCGCCGGTGAAAACTATCCTGTTACTTCAAGTGCACATTAGGCATTGACGCAGGGCATTGCGGGACGACCCCACGGACCCCGAAGACCCTGGAATCCGCTCGGCTGCTTCTGTGTTGCAGGATCGTCCATTCCTTCTGCCACTCCGCATCCCATGTTGGCGGGATATGTTGCAGGAAACACGGAAAACATTGCAGGAAACAAGGCAACAAGAGTATAGTAGTAGTAATAGCTAGTCTTAAGTCTTATGATTGTATGCATTCTCAATAATCTTGTCTGCTCCCACTATGTAAAAATTCAAAAATGCTACCAAGACAACACGACGCCAGAAAATGCATGCTTGTCGGTAGTCAACCTTGGCGAGAAGGGCTACATGAGGAGTAATAAAACCTAGAACACCTTCCCAATGCAAACCCTTGTCCATTCCGACTGGACTCCTGCTACCAAAAAAGCAAGTATGCAAATAAAGCGAGTTAAAGAAAAAAAAAAAGTGTCAAATAGTATGCATGGTGGATAGAAGCTCTTTCGCAGGTAACGCGCATAGCAGTAACTCCCCTGGTATCATATGCAGAAAACCAATAAAGGCAACAAGGGCATGTCGGCGTTGGATTGAAAAAATTTTCTCGTTCCCAATGTGTGGGATCAAATGAGTTTGAGGCTTGTTGTAAAAGAGCGCATGTTAAGCCAAATTGCATCGCTCCTAGCGTTGTTTTCCCAATGGGACAAAAAATTTGTAGCGGTCTGATGGCTTGACGGGGCTCTACCATAGATGTTCGTCCAAGCAGGACCCCGACAAATCAAAATGTCAATTCGACTTGGACCCTGAATTGTGTAAGGCTTGTTACTCCAAGATCCACTTTCTCAATGTAGAGCTTCGCGTACGCATGATTGTTGATGCGAATTTGACTGTCGACGCCCGTATGAATTCTGTTGTTGGTTGTTTTTGCAACTGCTGGCGGTCGTGTCTCGCACCAAGTCCAGTGCCCAGCGCCCAAATTTGGAAGCGGCCTGGGTATGCTTGTCCATGAGTCGTGGCGGCATCGTGCCGATAGTCCGAGATTCTTCTGGAACAAATCTAGGTGGTAACCGACCACTCATCGTCGCGGTTCCGACACGTCGGACAAGCTCCTTTGAACGCGCAGTGGTGGATCAAAAATGTTAGAGATCGAACCCGAATCCTGGGCTTTGTTTTGCGGGTGGAATTGAACCGCCGGAGTGGACAATGTTGCAATTGCCGTTAGCTCACTCTAGCATGGCTAGTCTGCGGGTCGTCGATCGTGCGACTTCGGTGGCTATAGTGTAATGGAAAGCCAGCTGGTGTGTCGTTCCAAACAGGACCGGCTTCTACCGCAGGCATGTCGGTATCGTTTGTCGGAAGCGCATGTGACGTCGGAAATCGCCTGCATGGCAGCGCCGCCCGCCACCGTTGGGACGGAGTTCGATTTGGACGTTGAGACATGGTAGGCTGCCCAGCTTGAACCCCTGGATCAGTTGTGCCGCCATGGATAATGACAATTATCGCCGCAAGCAAAGCTGCGGGGCCGTTTTTATCGAGTAATGATTAGAAAATACCGGCGTCTTGTTCCGTGATTGGTGCTTCTTCGGGTGGGCTGGCCGCAGTGGCAGCCAGCAATTCGGCTGACCGCGGAAGTATTGTGAATTGAAGACCCCATACCAATTGCCAGGGTCTGGCTCACACAACGTCTTGCCCAACTGAGACCCATCTGGCTGGGACACCGTCTGAACCAATTTCATACGGCTTGGTGTTGGCTTTTCGTGGCGGCAGCAACCATCGAGCATGCCCCTCCTGGGTCGTGTCAAACTTGCCGCGCTTGCGCATAAGGTGCTCCAAGACTGCAATGCGAATAAAATCAGAGTTCTCCCGAATTTCGCGCTGTCTGGGTCCTGGCGGAAAGGAGACAGGAGCAGGCGCTGCTCGTGGAGACGCTGGAGGTGGAGGCGCTATAGTACGATTTGCGGAAGCAGTGACGGGTTTTCTGGACCTCTGCACTTTGTAAGTCTGCATTTGAATCGATGCCGTAAAACTGCGCGTACTAGGGGTCGAGGTGGCCCGGGTGTCGAGCCGTGCGCTGTCCGTAGGGTTCAGATAGCGGCGCATGGCCTCGCTGGGTTCCTCTTCCAATACAGGTGGTCGGCGTTCGTCGGTGAAGGGGACGCGAGGGTCCATGGTCAGGATGGATCGCGTGAGCAAGTCTTCAGCGGGGACCGAAGATGCAGTGAATTGCGACAATGATCGAGCTGCCGAGCGCAATGCACGAAGGGATGCTGTCAAATTTGACTTGAATGCAGTCTTGAGCGGCAGGAAGACCGTGTCCTGCTGCTTGTCCGCCTCGACAGGGGATGGTGTGTAGACCTCAAATTCCACCTCGTCGATCTCTGGGTTCACCCAAAGGGGGTGCTCTTCCTTTTCACCAGGAGGCGAAGACACTGGTTCCAAAGACCTCCTTGGCTGGCGGAATCTCCTGCCCCTAGGTGTCACTGGGCTGTCGACCGAAGGGAGTGTAGTTCCAAACGAGTCGCCCAGTGACGGAAGACTCTCTAAAGAACCCGCCCTAGTAGACAATGCAGATGTGAAGCAGCTATCGCTAGTGATGGAAGCGTCTTCCTCCAAAACTTCATCCGGAGGGCTCATCAAAACGTCCATGGGACTCCGGCCTAGCGAAGATGCAAGGCTTAATTCGTGACTTAAATCCTTCTCAGAGACTTGTGACCGTGGCACGATGGAGTCGACCGTCATTCTTTGGCGGCCGTTTCCTCGCCTGGCTTGCGGCGGGATACTTGTAATGGCAAGCAGTGCAGCCACAGACGGTGGAAGCGCATCTGACGAGCGCTTGTCCCGGCGGCGGTGGCTCCCACTGGATTGTCTCCGTGGGTGACCATCTGCATGGTGTCGAGTCTTGTGCATATATGACGCTTCATGTTTATTTTTTACAGGAATTTGGACAGCGCTGGTGGGCGTGGTTGGTCGTGCAACGGCGTTGGCCATGGTTGTGCTTGTACTTGGTGGGCTGTGACTCAGGTCGCGAGGCTCCTTGCGCTTCGGCATGTTGCTGCTCGATCGACTAGACAGAACTGCATTCGAGGACTGGTTTGGAGAAGTAGCGATTGGTTCATCTCTTCGTCTCGATAAAAAGGTCGTCGAGGAAGTCGAAGAGGACGCCGACGAGGAGGCCTTTGCACGTTTGGAAGTCGGAAGGCCGGGTACAGGCTGTTGGCGCGAGTGCAAGTAGGATCTAGGGTTGAGCATCATGGCGGCGGCGGCAGTGCATGGCAGAGCAGCCTGTACTAATATGATGTGTTGCTGGGCTGGCTTGCCTGCCTCTAGCAGTAAGGTGGGCTTAGCAATCGACGGCTACCCTTGCCCGGGGGGGTTTCTTCTCTGGCCCGCTGGCGCAAGGAATGCGGCGGACGGACGGCCGTACCAAACTCAAAAAGCCAAGTGCTGTTAATAATAAGAATGATGTAGCATGTAATGTAGGTACACAACTAGGACCGGGTCGCGTGCTTGACTCGCTGGGGGATCGTGTGTCCTTGCATCAGGAGCGCCCGCTCTTTACGTAAATCGTGCCGGCTAGCAGGTCTCGGCCAGGGCGGTTCCAGTGACGTGGGCGCTGCTCGCATGAAGAAGTGCGATGCTGTAACTGTACTTGCAAAGATGCGTAGAATCAGGGCGAATAAGCAGGTCGTAATTCGTAGATGACTCGTGAGGCAAGGCTCCGCTGTTTGGATAAGTTTTTCTGTTCTCCTCGGCTGGAACCACTGACGATGAAGGGTTTGTTCCTTTCAACTCTTGAAGGGGTCGCGATCGATCCTCTGACAATGGACCCTTGGTTCAGGGTCCTTGACTTTGTGGAAGCGGGCTGAAAATGGGGAAGCACAGATAAATCAGAGCAGAGACAAGAAGCGAAACACACACAAACGAAAGTCTATATCCAAGAATCACTCTTTCTGTTGACAAGCAGGAGAAGGATTAGAAGGAGAGTTGGACAATAAGACGGGCAAATGGGATAGATACGGCAAGACGGCGACTTGTTCTCTATTTCCTGGTTGAACCGCCCTGTCCTGTCTGATCTGCCGGTCTGCCTGCCTACTACCTAGTACATACTACATGACCAACCGACCTAACAAGCCTGCCTGATAAGCAAATGCGACAACTGATTGATGGTCGGGCACACGTACCGGCCTGATAATCACTAGCGCCCCGCCGCGGGAGGAGACCCGCGCTCTGCGCGCTGATGTCCCTCGCTGCCTGCCCACCTGAGGAGGAGGTACTTGTTGCAACCGTGCTGGGCGCCGCCTCGCCTCAGGTACCTTGGGTAGGGTTCTTTAATGTTTGCAGGACCGTCCTGCCTCATTGGGGTTTAGCTCTTGGTCAGCTCGCCAGGCGGCGGTACGAGCTCTGATATTACGGGGGCAACAGCGACTGTCATAGTAATAGTAGTTGCAAGTTACGGAGTAAACGTCCGTACCTACTTTGAATAGGCGAAATGAGTTATCTAGCAATATTTTGTGTATTCCACAATGGAACAATGACAAAAATGGTCTTTTTGCCGGACAGAAGGGAAGTAATTGTATGCGGCTTTAATTTTAGTGCAAAGTTGGGCGTCGCGTGGGCTACTACGGAATAAATAAATATACATACACACACTGCCATCATCCCGCAACACAACCTGCCATGGTTATGCACCTATGTACAGTATTCCGTAGCTTCTATGCATCCCGCAACAAGGACCCTTGTTAATCCTGTTTTAGACGAATAGACATGCTACAACTTGCATCGCTGCCTTGTCTGGTAACAGAAACAGATGCATTACATAGCCTCGGCCAAAACAAGTCATTACTACTATTGCTCATGACCGGCTGATCCGGATTTTCCTCAACATGGTCTCTACCTATGAATATACCTGTCAAGCATGTCTGCTTGCTGCAATGTCAAGGATTGGATGTGATGTGCACTGTATCTCAGCAAATCACGTCGTCGACATTTCTTTATTGGACGCGGCTTGTTGGGCGACTTTTCATCCATGGCCTGTATTTGCATTCATCCTTATTTGCTTATGCCGCCTTGGCCATCATTTGTGTTTTGGACCCCCAAACTTTCCGCGGGCGGGAATCAGGGGTCCTGTCCTCAAACCCTAACCGTAATGAAAATATCAAAGAAAAAAATTTACTGGCTACGACAGGCCTTGCCAGGCTGGCCTTTGTTCAGTTTTCTTTTTTGCAAAGGGTTTTCAGATGGGGCGGATCGTCGTGTCGCCCCCTAGCCGCGACGACGGCTTCGCTTTTATCGTTACTAAACGACCATAATAGCGGCTGCGAATTCGCAGTTGACAGGGGGTTGCGGATCAGTCATAGTATTTACGAGGAGCCCAATTGAATTCCAGCCAAAAGCGTTTCCGCGGTGGGCTGGGTATAGGCCAGTGGAGCTTCTACGGTTTTGTGTCAACAACAAATGAAGAAGAATATTCTATGGATCACTTTTTTTTTTTCCAAGTAGTTCCCCCACCCGCACGAATGGGGCCATCTGTTGTGCACGGAATCCACCCCAAATACTACGTACCTACGTTATGGATATTATACCCCAGTACCTTATTCCGATGGACTTTGTGGAGCGTCCGAATCAGGCCTAATTCGGGTTTCTTCGTGAGCAAGAAGATGGAGTCTGGCACCATTTGCCGGGAGATCGCCTTTTACGATAAGGAATTGGCTGTTGGATGGCTGATGAGAGCCGCGAATGAATTCTCGGGCTATTGCAGGATTGCGCGGCCGGTGCCGTTGAAAGCCCAGACCGATGGGATTTACCAATAGTGATCAACTCTACCGTGATTCGGAGCGCCGTGTTCAGACTTTTTATTTTCCTGAAGAAATGCAAATCAACATGCGACTGGAATATTGCTCATGGATCCTAAAATGCCCTCACTGAAAATCCGCGTTGCGAGTTTTTGTGTAGTCTTGACCCACGTATTATATGGCCCTAGGCGTGCCATTGCCAACTTTGGCAATTTTTACCCTGGCCGAATGATTCAGTCAATGATGCAACAAAATAGCTCCAAACAAGTTTACCAACCTCTTTGCGACTCGCACCGACGAGATCCAACTCGACATGAAAACAAAAGGCGATGGATGCATTAGTGGTTCCTGGATTCTTTGATCGCAAGCTGAGCACATACTTTTCCCTAAACTGTGCGGACGTTGCTCGACCGAAGAACAAACTTCTTGCTACCATGCACTATTGAAGTATACATTGAGGCAGAGTGCTGGAAACGTATAATTCAGTATACACATATTGTTGTCAATGGTCGTAAGGATGACAACGATTCTCCTCATCAGTTCAATCAACCACCTTGGTTGCTTGGCTGAGCGCAACGGCCCCATATTGCACCCACATGCTCCCACGCAGATGCTGCTGCAGGCGTGCTACGCTGGGGGAAGCGTGGGCGCGCTTCTTATCATTGCAATGCTATTCGTCTTCCCCGCAAAAATGACTGTGCCCAAATGACATCAATAGTGTCAAGCGTACACAGCATTCCCGGGAAACAAGCCACTATCGATCAGACTGCACATGCGAGAGGCGCTCCGCCAATAGAAATGGTCCAGTCACCAGTTTCCCTCGCCCTCCATGATTCAGACGAGATCCACGAGTGATCTTGGCTTACACTCACACACACACACACATCCGATGGTGGGTAAACACTGCGCCAAATCCTTGTTCTTGTCGCCTGAGGGTAAGTTGGGCTGAAGACATGCTGAATATTCTAACTTTCAGGAAACGGACGACCCGAACACTAAAGAATTACACGACTCTGCCCTTTTTCATGCTAATGCCTGTTCCCCGGATTTCCATGTGAGCTTATCTGGCATTGTGCACATGCCTTTCTTGTCTTCAGCAGCACAAGCAAGCAGCCCCAAGTACATTATAGATACCACACTTTGCAGGGCAAGCCTGGCGCCACTGCAGTCATGCCGTCGACTAGACTCCAACGGCAGTCGATGCAAGGTTTTGAAGCGTGTACATGATTAGAAAATGGAGTCTGGCGGATACAGTACAAGTTCATAGGATATGTTCTTTTGCGCATGTTGCTCTATTCCCATGATATGTCAACCCCTGGTGCATTGAGAGTCTGCCCTGCGTTTATGGAGATATCCCAAAGCACAGACTTTCGAGACGATGGACTCGTTGCTAGAAGTCCTAAAACTTGGCCCAAGGTGGAGCCAGTATAGAAATACAGGTCACGAGATCAAGCAAGTGTGTAAACAAACCCCAGTTTGGGTCTCGGCATACGATGATCTCTTTTTTTCCCCAGCGCATTGGCACGTTTTCCTCCTCTTTGCGAAAAGTTGTACCTCGATATCATGCTCACAATGGAGTTGGCAAGTCATGCAAGACACGGGTAATGCCATCCCAGACTTGGCTCAAAACGAATGATGAAAAGTTCTTGAGCTCAGCATCGGCCCGTGAATGTACCTATCTGGTCGGATGTGTCCACGTGCGACTTGCGTCAGGAAAATACCCACCTCGCATGGAGTTGGAATATAGCAGCACGCCAGTTGAACTCATTACTGAAACGAACCTATTTTGAGTCGGGCTTTCGAAAACCAGCCAATCCGGCCAAAGGACTGGAAGTTAACAGTAGTAGCGGATTCGTATCTCCCATTTGGGGTTGTCGCACTTGTGAAAGGCTTGTCGCGTTTGAGATGCTCTTCTCATGTCGTCCTGTCTCTTATGCTCAAGTAACAGTGCCCCCTTTCATCAAAGCAAAATTCCAAAAGCCCGAATGTATTTGACTTGCAACTGTGTCCCACATCTCCTGCGATAGACCAGAACCCCAAAAGCGCAAGATATCAATGAATGCCGGAGTGACCGGCTAAGGGATCCTCACGGCCGGGTATAACTTAGTGTCTCCGTCGGATATACACTCGTGTCCCATATCAACCATGCTGCGCGGCGAAGCCAAGAGCTCGGTATCGATCAATGTTCCCAGTCGTAATCCATTTCAAAATTCCTCGCTCTTTTCTTGTGAATGCTGCTGAGGTTGAAAAATCGGGCGCACTTGAAAATTAGTCGATCGAGATTATTCGTCGGAATTCCAGATATTCTCTTCTCGTAGCCCTCCACAACCCCCATTATCCCAACGTGTCGATCATAGATGCATTGACATTGGACAGCCAATCACCTCGTGTGCTCGAGAATCAACATCCTTGGGGCAAAGATTGAATGTGACATGAAAGGAAAGAAGATGGGTAGAATCATAATGAAAGGATGGACGCGGGCGCCATTCTAATTTTATCACTTGACTGACACTAGATGAGGGGAGGTCGGGCGCTAGGATGAACTCATATCACGCGATCATTCTTCAAAACGATTGACTGATGTCTTGTCTAGGCAGAAAACGTCATCGAGGTCACTGATTACGATTGATGTTGTGCTACAGTACGAGCCGTCAGATTTCATCCGCGTCTGCTGAGCCAGGACTTGGCAGTCACGTATTCAAGTCACAGATGCACATCAAGAGACAATTGATTGAAGTCGAGAGGAGTAGACTGCAAGGAACATGCTGCATTGCTCTAGGGAATCTCGACTTCATTCTTTGGACTATCTAGGACCACCGAGCTTGGTCGTCGATCACAGCCGCTCAACAGGGCAGCATGGAGCCATTTCAAATACTTCAAGCACTAGGCGATGTTCCGGGCACAAAGTCAGGTATTTCGGACACCGGGGCTGAAGGCGTAGCCGGTGCCAAAGCCGGAGATGCAGGCGCCTCTACTTGCGCAGGCGACGCCGGCAAGACCGAGGGGAGTGCCGGGACAGCCTCAATGGCGGCTGGAGCTGGCGCACTGGGCAAAGCCTTGGGAGGAGCTGGTACGCTCACGACAGCAATAGGCGCGGGGGCTTCTTTTGCGGCCCCAGGCTGAGCCGGGAGTGACGGTACGGCTAGAGCAGCTGGTGCCGCGGGCAATGAGGGCACGGCCGGGGCCTCCAATGGCTTGATAGCCGGCGGCGAAGCGGGCGCGGCACCGACGGCGCGAGCAATGATGTTGATGCCTGCCTCGCCTCCCACTGAAGTACTTCCGTCCGAGCCCTTGGTGATGCCTAGATCCCCGCCGAGGTTGACCGCGTTGCCGTTCTTGTCCGTCGTGATGCCAGCGTTGCCGTCGAATTGTTCCGATTCCTTCACAGCGCCAACTTCTCCGGCTTTCTGGGCCGCCTCACCGGTAGGGGCAGCTTGGCCTTCGGCAGGCGCAGTAGCAGCTGGTTGTTCTTCAGCGGGAGTCGCAGCCGCACCCTCGGCAGGTTGAGCGGCTGCCTGTTCTCCTCCTTTCTGGCCATTGTTGTTTGACGTGATGCCACCGCCAGGTCCTCCAAGAGTAAGACCGCCAATCGTCAAGCCGCCTCCTGTATTGTTCCTGGCGCTTTCCAGAGCTGCGATGCCTTCGGCCGTCTTGTTGGTACCAGCTTGAGCGCCCTCGCCAGCCTGGTTCCCGCTTCGTTGACCGCCACCGAGAGTAAGTCCACCTGGTCCTCCAATGGAGATTCCGCCATTGCCGATGCTCAATTGTCTCTTGACGTATTCAACCGACTGGTCACTCTTGACCACCATCTTTGGAAGCACCATCGAGGTCCAGATAGATCGCTTTCCTTCGGAACCCTCGGCGGCCTCTCTCAAGCCAATCATTGCGCTCGCTCGACTAGCGAGACTTCCCTGTGAATTGTTAATGGATTACTCTTCAATGTATATGAGGAATAAAACTCACGACAGAGTAGCTGTGCTGGGCGCCCAGCGACAGATCAGTGAGGGCCAATGCCCCGAGAACAAAAGAGATTAGTTGCATCTTGATTACAATAAGAGGAACCGGCCTCTCAACGACGATCAAGACTATTAAAAAGACTATAGTATAATTCAAACCAAAGAAAAAAGAAACGAAAAGATCGACAGATGAATGTTTGCACGACCAATCTCTAATCAATGAAAAAAGAAAGACACATACAGCATTAATTAGAGGAATATACACAAGATCTATAGTCTGACATCTCAGACCTAACCGCAACGCATCCCAATCCAAGAAAGGAATCTTTCCAATTATATCCCATGATTGATAGGATTGCATGAAAAGAGTGTTGTAAATGATAGCTTGGCAATGGCTGAGATGGTAACCAGGTCAGCGCCCACTGGCGGTTCTGAGGTGCCCAGAGATTCTCAAGAGTTCGGCGGAAACCGCTTGGCGTTCCAGATCCGCCGAGGTGATACTCAGCTGCCTTCAAGACCTTGCGGAAAGGAAGCTCTGTGCACAAAATAAGGTTACGGAGGACGGATGCAAGTTGAAATCCCCTGTCAATGGTTTACAATTTGATAATAGGTGATAGCCATGTTCTCGAACAGTGTCATACACAATCTGGAGATCCACATATTCGGTGGGTCAGGGTCTTGACTCTTGAGTCTTGATCCCCAGATCGCCAATTCTAGACCCATGATATCACAGAATCTGGAAAACTCCACAATCTTCCTTCAAATGCGCAATTGCATTATAGAAACAGGTGGTTTCAGATCGTCGCTATGAATGGTTAAGTTTGTCGGTTATATATATGTTCTCCTATATCTTTCTGCATGCGGTTTACGTGAGTAGTGTTTAGGTGACCGCGCATAAGCCAACCGATTTTGTCGACTTGTCTGGAAGCGCCTACTGATGAGTCGCGTCCAAGTCGAGAACTGCGTACACACAAAGAGCAGTAGCTCAGTCCATTCTTCCATACATTTCTCTCTCTCTTGGTCTTGTGTGGATTACCCGTGCCCGTTCATCTTTTTGTACGGGTACTGGTTGCGCACTCCTTAAATGCATGGGTGACAAAAATCGTGCTCTTGCTGGGCATGCGCAAATGTTAAAGCCATTTTCGTGGAAATGCCATTGTCTGCATCCCCGGCCTTAGAACGATAATTATTAGCCCTGGCTCTTTATATCCATTGAGGCTTTTGACCATGAACTGTAAAATCTGGTGTGGCTGTGACTGCCTGTAGTTGCTTGCACAGACGAACAGGTGGCAGACCCACCAAAGTCCAATCTTTCAAAGGGCCTCAATGTCAAAAGGCTTGTTGAGACCGCATCAATGCCGACGACTCTCCATTAAGCAGAGCTACGAGTAAAATCAAGTGCCTACGTGAACCTGCAATGTCTACATCTTGCTTTGAATATCCGTCCCTCGACAAGACAAAGTCGCAAATCCGCCTCCTCGAAATACTGCCCCAGGCCGACCACAGCTTGCAATGCTCTCTGACGACATTTCATACCTCGGCATGTCCGCGGTACATTGCTCTGTCGTATGTTTGGGGAGACGATGAGCCGACCAACACCATCGTCATCAACGGGCAACCCTTTGAGATACGGAACAACCTGAGCCATGCATTGCCGCGCTTGGCGGACCTCCAAGCCCAGCGAGATGAGAAGCACTTTTGGATTGATGCCATCTGCATCAACCAAAAGGACACGGGGGAACGCAATCACCAAGTCGGGATGATGAACGACATCTTCACCCAGGCCAGTCTGACAGCCTCCTGGTTGGGTCTAGGGCAGGAGACCTCTGAACTTTTGCCATCTGCGCAGACTACTTGGCCAGAGCCTGGCACCAGTGCCTTCTTGGCGAAAATTGATTGCAATACGTATTTCCAACGAATGTGGATCGTTCAAGAGGTCATGCTCTCCCGGGACATATGGGTCTTATGCGATAACGTAATATGCCCGTGGGAAAAGCTGGCAGAATTTTGGCTTGTCAGTAGCCGAACTAAGTGCGATCTCAACAGGAGCAGACTTGCAGCGGCCTCCATCGCTTCTAAAGGTGTTGCTGCGGATCTATCACTGGCCAGCTTGAGCTCAGCCATATTCTGGCGGGGGTTCTTCCACGCTAACAAAGAGTTCCGTGGGGAGTTGCGACTAGAACAACTCTTGAACTCGTTTCTCGATCGAGAATGCCACGATCCTAGGGATAGGATCTATTCCTTACTTGGTCTTCTGCCCCGCGAAACATTGCAGTCGAATCCATTGCCGGTCGACTATGATATTAGTCTAGAGGATCTTTTCAGCTTGGTATTACAACATCTGGATCAGTCTTCAGCGGGTGTAAATTCTAAGTGGCCCCCTGGTTTTGGCGATGTTGAATTTTCGCGAGACTATAATGCCCGCAATCTGCGAATGGCTCTGAATCTAGAGAGTTAGATAATGATTTTGAATTGTGGAGATGTATCTAGGAATATAGGATAGAGCAAGAGGCTTCATTTGTGTGAGAATATGATCACTTGACCACAACTCAACTATCTGCCTGTCTACCGACAACTATGGCAGATGAGTCCTTCTGTAATATATCGTATATGAGTAGAAGTTAAAATCCAGGAACGTGATTGATCAATAAGTTTGAATGAGTCCGAGCCAAAGAGGCGAATGCGCTAATCTCGTCGCAGTAACCAGACACATGCAAAATGCTGCAGCAGGCAGGGACCTAATTCCCGGCTTCCCCCAGCCGAATTCAGGGGTCCACAGCGGGTAATAGCACGCTCGTTTTTGTTGAAGCTCAACGCCAAATTCTGTACCGATTTGGAGCTTTGGTGCCAGCAATCTGGGAACGCAACCCAAACATTGACGAGCTTGCCTTCTTTCTCCCATCCAATCCCACGGAACCTGACACGCTCAAGATCATGGCGCAAGAAGCAACCAAGCCCGCCAAGCGGTCATCGCCCGTCAAAAATGGCTACCTGATTCTGTACAATGCCGTCTCGACCGTCCTCTGGGCCACCGTCCTCGGACGCACCGTCGGCACCAACATTCTGAGGGGCCCGGATTTCGTGCACTTTACGACGGGAGACTTTGTGCTCTGGACGCAGACGCTCATGATCATGGACGTTTTGCACGCCTTGTTTGGTATGTGGCGCAATTGGCGCTCACTCTTTGACTGACTCCTCCGTTTCGTGGGGAGCTTTGGCAACTATATACACTAACACTGTCCCCCCTTTCGCAGGTGTCGTCCGCTCCGATCCCTTCACTGCCGCTGCCCAGGTCGCCTCCCGATACGTCGCCGTCTGGGCCGTTCAGTACCCCTTTCCGGAGCTGTGCTCGTCGCCCATCTACTCGTCGATGCTGTTTGCCTGGTCGCTGACCGAGGTGATTCGGTACGGATACCTTGCGCTCAAGCTGGCCGGTATTGAGCCCTATACCTTCCTCTGGGTGCGCTACAGCTCGTACCTCGTCCTATACCCGGTCGGCATCCTCAGCGAGATGGGCATGATGTACTTGGCTTTAGGCCCTGCCGGCCACAAGTTTGGTCAGCTATACCAGGCGTTCCTGCTTGCTTGCCTGGGTCTCATCTGGCCCGCTGGTGCATACATTTTGATTGGACACATGAACAAGCAGAGAAGAAAGGTGTTGAGGGCCGCCAAGGAGCAGAATGTCAAGGCTACCCAATAAGCCACGGGCGAAGAAAACAAGCCGGGTCAAGACAGCATTCCAAACCCATGCTTGAGACGCAAGGGAGGAATGACCATGGGGCCAGCAATAGCCACAAATAGATCTTAGAAATATCTTAACCCTATATAATGCCCAACGCCAACGCAAACCTGCTTAGAGGTGGTATCATTTCCCAATAATCAAATAAAACTTGTAATTGTAAAAGACCATTGGCATTTATTCTTCCAACGCCAGGTTGCTCGTTTCATACCAATCATTCTTGGTCCATTTGACAATCATGTTGACAGCGTCTTCCGAGAGCTTCGCGTAGCCTGGGTTTTGGTTGGATTCAAACATGGCCATGTGCGCACCTGTCTCGTCCTTGGCCGCATCATTGACGGCCTCTTTCCACTCACCGGCCCTCATCTTTGATGGTAGGTTGCAAAATGTCCTCTGACTGCCCATGACCAAGCCCACAGTGCTGACTTGCTTCGAGTCGGCTGCCTTTCCCAGGCGGGTATACAGGTTGGCAAACCCAACACCCAGCTCCCTGTTCAGGCGCACCATATTCGCAACGCGCTTCTTCATCTCCTCGCCGCGAGCCAAACACCCGACAAATTCCAAATGACTGCCAACCCAGCCCCAGCCTTCTGATATCTGCTGTCGGTTGACCCACGCCGCAGCACCACCTGCTGCCACGGCTGCCGCTCCGCCAGCATACATGGCCATTTTACCCCAGTTATTCCAAATTCCGGCCTTGGATTCCTCCTTGGGCGGCGCCTCGAGGGCAGCTACGGGCTTCTTGGTTCCCACCGGTGGGCTCTCGGCAGCCTTGCTCCCGCCCCAGATCGCCGACAGCCCAGATAGTTGCGACATGATGGCCGCGGCGTTTTGGTAGTGGCCCTCTGCACCGTGCGCGACGACGCCGGGCGCTATGCCGAGGTACGGAGTGTCAAAGGCGAGGACACCTTGAATATACGGAAACATGAGACTATTGATCTCATCGCTGTGATCCGGCACGGCCTTTTGCTTCTCATCTTCGCCACTCTCCTCTTCTCCTTCATCCTCTGCAGCCGTGGTGCCGCCCGCAGGAATGACCTTGTCGCCCGCAAGGCCTATGGCGGTCTCGGCGGCCACGATGCCGCCCATGGAGTGGCCGACGAGGACGGTGCGGACGCTGGGGTCGATGGTGGGGCTCGGGGTGCCGGCGGCGACCTCAATGTCAATGACCTTTTCGAGCAGCCAGTCGCGGAACCTCGACACGCACTCGGCCAGGTCGCCGCGGGTCTCGTACTTGGGATAGACGAGAGTGCGAATGTTTACCTTGGGCAGCTCGACCGACAGCAGCGTTGCCAGGTGCTCGGCAAAGTCGCCCGTGGCCCCAAACGTGTCGTCGCCACCCTTGAAGCCGTGGATAAAGACGAGGAGGAGTGTCTTTTTCATGGTGGGCAAGAGTAGAGGTTGGATTAGGGGGTTTTATCTCCTTCGGCAGATCCAGGCCATGAGGCTATTACAGGAGAAGGAAATCTGTTCCTCCAGGTACTTGAAAGGAATGTGAGTCGTATCGCAGCCTCCGGTTGATTAATGCTAAGATGCAGGTACTACAATCAAGCAGCTGGATGATTTGGTGTCATTTAACTAGCCGTAAGCTGTCGAGTCTGGTGACGTGCATTTGGCGGGGCAGCTCCTGTTCCTTTAGCAGGCAGAAGGAGCCCCGCCAGTTCAATCAGGGGAATTAAGTAATGAATTTGTATAGGTGCTTGGCACTGACCATACATGTGTTAAGTAATGTAAAGTGAAAACACTTGCAAACACCTATTTTATGAAGCTCATATTTACTTTTCGAACTTGAAATATGATTTTTTTATTGAAGTCATATTTACCGCTAGAAATTTTTTTTCATACCAAAATGTTTACCACAGCTCCAAATATGAAAATCATCAGTATGTGGCCGCCAGCCTTTGTTCCAGGTAAACACCGCTGTTGATGCCCTGATACTTCTTGTCAGTCTCGACAGCATAAGTTCCGGGAATCGTGTCAATGTAGCTCTTGAAGTTGGGATTGCAAAAGTATCTGCACAATAAATTAGCTGATCATACTCTTCCTCACCAAATGGAATTTCTGCTTGCGACTTGACTTACGCAATGCTATACCGGGCAGGGTACACATCAGCATCTCCACTGGGTGGCTCAACAACACGGTGAATCGTGCTCTTAATGGTATCATTGCTCCATCTTGCCAACAGATCACCTGCATTCACCACACACGTATTCTCAATAGGCGTTGCGTCGACAAACGTGCCGTTGGGGCTCTGGACCTGGAGACCTCCCCTCATGTCCTGGAACAGCAGGGTGATGCTGCCATAATCGCTGTGGGCGCCGGCACGAACCTGTCCCGGGTTAATGGTAAAAATGTCCTTGCGAACCTCGGGGTAGTGGAGGAGGCGCAAGGTGTTGTCGCCAACGTCGGTGAAGCCATCAAAATAGTGCTCGTCCAGGCCGATACCAATGGCAATGGCGCGCATCACCTCCATGTGCAGGCCCTTGCACTCGTCGTGGAACTTGGTCATGGTGGCCTTGAAGTCGACCAGCTCGCCCTCTTCCTTGGGCCACTGATTCGGGTGGTCCGGCTCGCCCTCGCGACCAATCTCGAGCGACTCCTTGAGGTCCGGGTTGCCCTGACGCAGCTTCTCGACGTCGCTGGCATCGGTCAGGTTTGTCGTCTTCTCGCGGCCGGGCGCCGAGTAGCCTCGGTTTGCTGCCGCTGTTGTCCAGCAGTGCGACATTTTGGTCTCCATTGGCAACCGGAAGTATTTGGCCGATGTGTCAAAAATGCTCTGGCGATATTCCGACGTAAAGGGCAGTCCCTTCAAATAGACAAATCCTGCAGTCTGGAATCCATTGAGGATCGCATTTGCCGTCTCCTTGCGCTGCTCTGGATTTCCATTGAGGAATTTGGAGAAATCGATCAGCTGTTGGTGTATCAGTACACCGAATCAAGTACTTGGGATATGAAGTAAAACTACCGGGATCACAAGACCCTCGCTCTTGACTGCTGCCTTCTCCATCTTTGTAATGTAGACACTCTGCTGTTCCGAGAAGAGACTGAGGGATTTGACGTCTTGTCACAAGAGCGCCGGTAGATAAGGAGAAGCTCAGAGTAGAGTTTATCTCAAGCCGCTGGCGCTGAACTTGTATAGCTGTCGGCTTACTTGAGAATCCGACCTTGCTTATACTTGCTTGATGTTGATTTTTTCAAGACAAGGTACGTCCAACAAACTGCTTCTCGCTGATAAGGAATCACACGGCAATTCACCAAAAGGCCCGAGGCGTCTCTGCGACGGCTGAGCGCCATCAGCTCTGTTAATAAATAGTCTCGACACATGATACCCCGCCAGATAAGCTGTCGATGGCTCCCGGGGGATGTGGGGTCGTTGACCTCCGACGGCTTCTAAGATCTAGATACGATAACCGCCGGTGATCGCAACAAGAACCTCAGGATATGCCTTCACAGGTCGAAATCGTAAGTTTCGGGTGTTTCAAGGGACTGCAAGAAAAAAAGAGAAAAATTCTTAGCCTTCCCTTTGTAACTCATCACGTAATCAAGAATTTGGGAAGCGACTTGAAAGTCACGGCTCGGAATCAATTATTATCAGATGGTAGATAATGGATCCCTATAGTGTGTTGCAGCACGTTAGTGAATGAATTTACGGGGCTCCCCGGTGTTTAGTTGGGGCCACCCAAATAAGCCTGCACTTCATCCAAACTAATAAGAGGTAGGTAACACGGATCATTACACCACTCATTTGACACCCCGATTAGACCAGTTCAAACTCCAATGGGAAAGCATGATCTTGATCAACACTACAATGATCCTATTCCGGTATCATGCCCCCGATGTTCAAATATCAGCCAACTGGGTCGTTCGTCACACGGGCAATGAAGGCTTGGATGTAGGTTGTGGTGGCCGATTCTCGCCTCCAAGGCTTTTCGGGGTTAGCGACTTGAAAGTCAAAAGCCCGAAGCAGCTAGCGAGAGAATAGGGTCAGTGGCTACGTCTCTAGGATATACCAGCAGGAGTCTGGGTAATCTACTTACCTCGACAAAGATCTTGTTGATTTCCAGAATCGCCAAGATCCTGCCCAAGCATAGCCATCGACCGTAACCAAAATTCAGGTCTATGACTTTGCGGCGCCTTACAATGGTCGCTTCGTCGGCGTCGATGAAGCGTTCAGGTCGGAAAATTTCAATGTCGTCGCCGAATATATCGCGGTCGCGCATCATTGATACGTAGTTGGCGTGAACATCGGTGCCTGCTGGCAGCATCTGGCCGCAGATAACCTCTCCTCCGGGAGGGACCTTTTTCGGGAAGCCGGCGACTATTGGCGATGCGACACGCATACCCTCACTAATGACGGCCTGGTGTAGCAAGAGAAGAACGCGTTAGCCATATCCCAGAAGCGCTTGTACATATTCCAAAGGATCGGGTTGCAAATCATACCTGCAAATACGGGAGATTCTTGGCCTCATCGTTTGTGACCGGACTCGAAATACGACCGTTTTGGATACCTTCGGCAATCTCTTTTTTGACTTTGTAATAAACACGTGGTGTAGTCATCAAGTACAACAGTAGCCCTCTTATAGTACCAATCGAAGTCTCGGTTCCCGCGGGCAATTGGATCGAGAGATCAAGCTCTGCTTCCAGGGGCGATATCTTGTGCTTCAACCACTCGGCCTGAGAGAAACATAGTATTAGCATGGCCTCTTATCAAACATTTGGTATCCTGTATTCTCTCAAGCCTGGGATCTTACTAGCATTGTGTCTGATGGCTTTTCATCATTGTTATCTTCTGTATGCCGTTCAACAGCACTCTTCAGGAATCTGAAGAAGAAGAACAAACAGTTAGCGCAGTGATTAACTTATGCATAACAAAAGAAGCGGAATTGCTGACCCCAGCCATCCAGTTGTTGGTTTACTGCCAAATAACCGGAGGAAGAGAGGAGAGAACAACAGGTGTCGGACTAGATTGGCTTATGTAAGTATATATTGTCCAATGATACATAGCATCAGTTAATGGTGCCTGTTTAGTCGCCGACAAAAGCGATTTCGAGATTGCCCATGCAGCAATCCCAGCTTGTGTATAGATTCATAATTGGAAGATCGGACCACTTACGGGGTGGTACCATGGCAGTTGACTGAATGAATTGAAAGGACTTATCGCCGTCTTCCAGGTAATTGAAATGGTCCTTATCCGTAGGCAAGTTGCCCCATGCCTTGCCGGTCCCTGTCAGAGTTATAAGGTCGACCTGGAAGTTTTGGAGCACGCGGCCAATATCGATAACGGCCTGGCCGTTGCCCTGGCTCACTTTTCGCTTCAGCACATCGACTAGAATGCTAAGTTGTAGGTCCAAGCTGCTTTCAATGTCCATAAGGCCTTTGCCTGAGAAACCAGAGATAAGCTTGGCTTTGCGCTTGTCGTGGGCAGCCATATCTATCTCGCTCAAGACGGAGTCGCCGTAGGGGTTGAACCTGTGCAAGATCAAGGTCAGTCTCTTGACGAATAAGCTTACATATAAGCAGCAGCAATAGTAAATGCAATAGTTCAGATGTGCCCAAGTGATGAAACATTAGATACAGGAATGGAAAATTGGACAATAGATGGCAGACTTCAACCTCTTTAGACGCTTAGGTACTACGGCCTTCATACCCAGTAGCCCTTCATGCATGAGACCTGTATACACTCACCGCATACTTGCGTACCAGCCACCCCGGGTCCAGAGAGAGCGAGCTGAGTTGATTTTCCAAAGAGTATCGGGATCCGAAATAAGCACGTCATTAGGCGCAATGCGCACAACTTTGCCGTACTTTTCTTGGAGTTCTTGCACAATCGTATGGTATTGCCCGCCTAGGGACGCACGGAATGCCCACAAGCTGGTGAGGGATGCAATCAGTGGGCCCGGGACATGGCTAAGGCGGTACCACTGCGCAGCTGTCCAGATTGTGAAGCTGGCCAATGCAGCGGCGATGACGAAAATAGCTATCCCACCAACTCCATGGTCTTGAAGAAGTGGATTTAGTGTATTATGGAATAAATCCATAATGACGACGTGAGAAGGAAGAAATGGAACTCGTAATACACTGTTTTTGCTTCGATAGGCAGGAGCGTATAGTAGTCAACCATTGCGCAGGTCATTGAAACATGTACCATGCTCTCACTTATTTATAATCGGCCGACTGATTTTAACTGCTAGACACTGGATTCAATGGACGCGTCTTTGGCGCAGGAAAAGAAAAATGCATCACACCTCAATTGAATGAGAAACAGGAACATGGTTTCCACGTACAATCGAGTATGCATTTCATAACTGGACCTTCCTCGGGCGATGGCAGGATTGATAGTAAGGCTCGCAGGATTGGGCAGCATCGCCATGCATCGCCGTTCAATGTATGGCAACGAAAACAAATATAATTGCAACCAATAAAACCACAGGCTGATATACTCGGATACCACACTCATTGGACGAGTTGAATCACAATAAGAGTATACAACCCGAGATGGTGTTGATCTGCTTGACAAAAGGAATTGATGTCGTACAAGAGCGGGGGACAATAGTGATATTCCTGTATTCGACCGTTAATACTATGCAACGAGGTGGGCTACACAAATACGACATACCCAAGCTATAGGGATGGCAATTGTCTTATCACTGCATAATGCAAGCAATACTCTTGATTGGGATCGTGGGTTGGGGTTGTACCCGAGGACATATGAGGTGATTCCGACTTTTCGCGTTGCCCTCTTGATGCGCGTCCGCCAAGTCACTCGACTCTGCAACATGTAAACGATCCAATCAAGAACCAAAGAGACTTGCTATCATATGCAGCCTTTGGCAATTTGGGGTTCGTCACCTGCTGGGGTTGCTTTTCCGACGGCCTTTGCTAAAGAAAAAGTCGAAGATCGACGCTGAAAGAATACTAGATTTCTATTTATTCAAGGCTTCTTGGTGGGTTTCGAGATTTTCCTATCCAAGTATATTCCTTCCGGCTTTGGCGCACCATCGCCGTCGAGGCTCCGCAGAGCTCAGGGATGCTGCAGCCGGTGTAGACGGAACATACCGTATTCGCGAATATGATGTTCAATTGCTTGAATAGGATCAAAATATCACGGCAGGGGAGTGGAATGAAAGGGCATTTTCGGGCGCTGGATTCGTATCCTTGCTTTTATGGGCCACACAAGAGTGCTGAAGGACTAATAGATCCTTTGCATACATTTGCTGCCCGCTATTCAATGAAAGAAATCCAGTAGCAGCAGAGTATTGACATGCGGACGTTGTAGATATTTACTGATTACCGCCTTAGTCTATCAATAATACGTGAGGGTTGCCTTGTTAGCTTAGACATGATCACTGTCTTCGGGATTTCAGGGTCTATACAATGCCCACGTTTGGACAACTCAGCATTTCTGCTTGTTCTTCATCAATGATATATAGCCTAAGCTTGATAATTTGATTGAGTATTTCATCCATACTCGCCAGGGCAAGTTTACAGGATCAAGCTCCGCCGGGACCTTGAGTGATTGCACTCACTATGATACCTAGGGATGTGGACTTCGTCGGCAGGCCACACGGGATTGCTTACGATTGGGTAGGTGCTGGCTACTCACTCGCTTGCCGCGCCGCCCCATGCTCCGGCAAATGATAAATCATTGTTCTCGCGCATGACAACTTTTGGCACGACCTTGCTGTTGATGCATATGACTTCGATAAAAACGTTGTGGCCGTGCGACAAAGTCTTGAGCAGTAGAAGTGCCCACCGACCAGAGCAGGTGGGCAAACTAGCTGTTCTCGGATTCGATATCCATACACATTCCCAGTAATAGAATATCTTACCGTGCAAAGACTCGAGCTGCTCACCCAGAAAAGATGCTTTATGCCTGGCTGAAAAGGAATTGGTATTAAAAAAACTGGGTATCTAAGATGTTATACAGAATATTGCGCCTAAGTGGCTGATAACCATGCCCATGCACTTTCTCCGCAGTCATTTCCAATGTAATCTCACAGCATAGCCGTTTCGTAATGTACATGTCATAGCCCATCCAGTTTCGCTTGACAACACCAGGGTTTATGTAATCATCCATCACCAGAAGTCGAACCCTCTCGATTGTGCCGATCTTTTGGGATATCTTGGCCAACTGCAAAGTCAGACGATGTGTTGATGCGAAGAAAAGAACCCGGCCGATTGTCAAAGAAGACGGAATTTCCCTGAACAAAATGCACGCGGTCCCGGTAATCGTGGTGGATATATATCAGCTCATTTCCATCATTTGTTATCCAATCCTCAAATGCAAAGGTGTGAGATAATGGATGGGGACGAAGCCAAGGCAGCCCAAGAGTGCCGCGTTCCGTGATGAGATAAGCCCCACAAGGGGAGACCGACATGACCTCGAGAATGGGCAAGTTCCAGGTGATCCAGTGTTCCTCGCACTTGACCAAGTCCCAAAGATAAATGTTGCCGCGCCGAGTACTCCAGAACATTCGTTGGCTGTCCGGCGAAAAGGTCACGATGATATCCTTCCAGTGTGCGTAATCAATCGTGTACAGCAATTTGCCTGTAGTCACGTCCCAAAGGCTGGCCTGCTCAGTTCTACAGAGGGACAGCAGCAGTCGGCTATCTGGTGAAAACATGATGCGCACAACGGCTTTGAGCGAAAGTATCTGAATCGTGGATATCGACCTCCCAGTCACCGCATCGAAAAGGGTGATGGCATCAAAAGCCCCTCCCACTGCAATCAGTCGACCATTTGGCGAAAATTGGATGGCGCCTGTCAAGAAGATAGTGTGCTTTGATCCCGGTCTCAATGCATCACAGTGTTTTACCTGACCTGTACTTGCGTCCAGTATACGGACCTCATGACCCATCATACATGCAAGCAGGCAGCTGTCTGGCGAAAACGCGCTAGCGTAGTTCCTATCCTCTTCTCTGAGATGAGGGGGCCGTTCGAAGTCGTACTTCAACTTTCCCGTCACGACATCGAAGACCTCTAACATGTTTCTTGTTTGAGAGGCGATCAGTCGGCTGTCCGGCGAGAATTCGAGGGACACAGGGAATTTCTCTTTGTAAAATTGCCTATATTCCCTGAGTGGTATAGACCATCGGATATGGCCCGTACCAGCGTCCAAAACTGCCCCACGACTAGGTAGTGCAATTGCTATGTAGAGGCAATCATCAGAGAATTTGATCGCATTATAGAAGGGAGAATTCTTCCAAGGGACTCTGTACACGTGCAACATGGGATCCGCCATGTTACCACAAACTTGGATGATCGCTTGGGAAGACCCCGAGATTGACGCCACCTTGCTTCCGTCGCGCGATAATGCGATAGCGTTGCCATATGTTCGGATTGTGTCATCCTTGATTGATCGTTGTTTCCAGTTTTGAACCATACTCCAAAGGCGTATGGTATTGTCCCTAGACACCGAGGCCAACTGGCCGTTCGGGGAAAACGCGAGAGCGTTGACGGAAGAATTGTCTTCAAATTCGTAGAGTCTTGTACCAGTGCTTGTGTCCAACAATGTGATGTTTGCCGACGATGTTACCGCTAGAATCTCGCTGTTTGGCGAAAAGGTTAAGGAATCCAGCAGATAATATGGTCGTTTGAGTCTGTGCATATGTTCTGATGTAGATATATCCCAGAGTTGTATACCAGACGAGATGCGACGAGATACTGCTGCTAGTCGAAGATCTGATGAAAATGCTGCGAGGTGTGTGTCCCGATTTTCGCCTACCAGATACGGAGCCTTGTGCCAAAGCCGGATGGTGCGGGTTTGTTTATTCGACCCCGTAGTAGTCAAGAAGCTATCATCACAAAACACAATGCGCTTCAGCCAGTCCGAGTTTCCCGAGGTGAAACAGTGTTCTTGACCTGTGCTCCTATCCCAAAGACGGACTTCTTTCCAATTCTTTGCCGCCGCTATTAATTGGCCATCTGGCGAGAATGCAACAGCTGTCAACCTATCGTCCTGATTGAGATCTGGCCAAATGACTGCCAACTGTTGTTCTCCTGTATGTACGTCCCATACCTGTATCACCCCATGGCTTGTCCCAGACACCAAAAAGAGGTTATTTGGTGAGAATGCCACGGACACTCGACTATGATGGGCCTCGTATGGGACCAGAATTTTCGCCTGCTCTGTTCCTGTTGCTGCAATGAAGACTTGTATATATCCACTGGAAGATGTCGCAATCAGCTGACCGTTAGGCGAGAATATAATTTGCTCGCCAGCGTATCTCAGAGCGATAGTTTGCAGATGAGCACTCCAATCGATACGACCTATGTTTTGGCATGTGACCCATGTTGGAATCAGATGCGAGTAAAGTTTTCGTATAATACTCATATCAGGACTGAACACCAGAGCTGAGCAATATATTTGTAAAGGAGCTTCTGCGATGATTGAGCCATGATAGAGTAAAAACCTCATCGCGTCGTGAACAATATCGGATAGTGAGGGCGGCCGGCTGGTTTTCCCCTGCCACTTCAGCTTCATTTTTGAGATCCATGACGCAGCTGGTGCAGGTGATGTAGAGCCAGAAAGCCTCATGTCCAATAACCTGATCATGGTAACACTGTCTGGCAGTCGGTGGAGTAGCGAAAGGCATTCAAGCCAGTAAAGGAAATCAGTGGTGAAAAATTTCTCCAGTTGGTCATTCACATTTGCATCGAAACCAATTCTTTGCAAGTGATGAAGCCAATAACGACAGGCATATTGAATTTCATGAGGGATGGAATCGCTCACAGTCGCTTTGGGTACGTCGCGGGCGCGGACTCCAGGGTGATTGAGATTGCATATGTTGCGCTTGAGGTGGAACTTCATTAGACGGAGGCAGTTCCCAAGGAGTAGACGGTGGATTTCTTCGGCGTTGATGGAAAAGGGTTCCGCCTTACATCTTGATCGGTCTAGAAGAAAATCTCGAAAGGAAGGGTGGAGAAGACGGATAGGCTTTGTTGCTTCCTCGGGAACGTCGAGTACCGAGTGGAATGAACGCAATATCCGACCAACTTCATCTACTGATCTGTCAAGGATTGTTGCCAGCTCAAGTACATTCACAACATCGAACAGCACCACAATTGAGCCGACAATGCCACTGAACAAGGTCTTCAAATCAGCACTTTCTTGTGGTTCGAGGTGTGCTGACGTGGACCATGAGTGTGTAAGGACAGTTGTATACATCTGATCCAATTCCCTCTCGGACCTTAGTGACGCGTTTCCTCTGTCGATGAGTAGAGCGAGGCGTTGGCCAGCGAGTCCTCTACCCTCTTGAATGAAGCGGCATACAGTAGCTGCATGTATGAACAGACGATGAGATTTTTGTACTAGGATTTGGATAGTACCCTCAGAGTACAACGTAGCATCAAGGTGAAAACGTTGAGCTATTTTCGAAAGGCGGTCTTGGTAGAATAGCGTGAGGTCCTGATCCACGATAGAATCTTCAATATTGTGAAGGACAAAATCTTTGTGTGTATGACGTGGAATATCATCAAACGCATGATTTATGAGTGACTCGGGCCGGCTAGTGATGAATAGCCGTAGTGGACTGTTATCGGTCGTTGTAGCGCCCTCGAAGCACTTTACCAGGAGAGCGATATCATTGTCATCATCGCATTCGTCCAGGGCATCGATCACGACCACTATGGGATGCATAACCGTATCTTTGCCGAGTTGTGCAAGCGGTTCAAGGACCAATTTCTGCCACTGGCTGTAAACTCCCAGGTCAAAGATGTGACGATTCGATTCTAGAGCACGGTCGATGCACTCGTGAAGTCCGGGCACAGCTTCCGCCAGTTGGGCAGCAATAGTCGGAACGAACTTCTTTGCCGAGCCCAGATCACCGCCACCTCTTGAAAAGAAAAAACTTGCACCGAGACGTCCTTTCTCTGCATATCGGCTGACAATTGTCAAGGCAATGGTGGACTTTCCAGTTCCGGCCATGCCCCTGAGCCAGTATATTCGTTTCTCGTCGTGACTTTCGATCCACGACTCAATCTGTTGAAGGAGATCCACTCTTGTGTTCTCGAGACAGGAAGGCGAATTCTGCTTGTTGGCGGCATCGAATGTGGCCCCAGAGGCAATGTCGAGAGAGTGGAGTCGACTTTCGCGGGGGCCAAGGTGTATATCTCCATGTACAATGCCTTGGAACAAGCGACTTCCATGGTCGACGACGGTGTTGCCAAATTGCTGGCTCGCCATCGGTCCTTCTTGCAGGCCTTCCGCCATGAGGACGGGTCGCTCGAAAATCGTGAGAATAAGATAGTTGGAAAAGAAAAGAAATGGAAAGGTATTGAGCTTTCAGGCAACCGAGCGGGGAAATCACACATGCGGCAATGTCTGGTCATCCACGAATGGAATGGCTGGGATTCGGTAAGGCTGCATATTGATTGCCCATGCACGATGAAAAGAGTCATCGCATTCCGAATCATCCTTTTTTCAACACCATGGACCCCCTGAGCATTACTGCTAGTGTTATCGCCGTTGCGACACTTGCAGCGCAAACTGCCCAAGCCGCCTATAGAACCATCGATGGTTTAATCGATGCGCCACAGGCCATCGCCCACTCAAAGACTCTCCTGTCTGGCACGCAAAACTCCTTGGAAATCTTGACAGAAACCTTGGAGAAAAACGAACACATGCAAGCTCAATTCGGCGGTATACTGCAATCAATCGCACTTGAAAAGACACTGCAAGCGACCAATGAGCTTTGCAAAGGTTTCAGCGCCATCATTACAAAGTACACAAGTCGATCGACAGACTCAAAATTCAGCAACCGTGATAGGCTTTCCATCACCTTTCACGAGTCACGAATACTCACGTTCAACGGGGAATTGAGTGACTGCCAAAGGACGATTCATCTCATGACAGGGACTATTACATTGTGCGTCCTAATAAGATACGAACTTGAATACCATTATGGCTCACTCTTTGCAGAATCGTTTCCAATGACACTTCCAAGGATGTCCGACAGTTGAGCTCGCGGTTTCAAGCGCAGGAGCAGGCCCTGTCTTCTCTGTCAACAGAATTGTCGACCAGATCTGCGACTACAGACGTGCTACCACGAACCACCGAAGACAACATGAGAGAAGGCGATACAGAAAACAATCAAGGAAGCCTTGAACGGACCACAGCACTTCAAGAGTCCAACCAAGCTGCCCTAAAGGCACTCCAGCAGAAGAGAATTGGTCAAACTTTTGGTGACTTGCACACAGACCAGTCCATGGCAATGCAGGGAATCGTCGGCGAGGCACAACAAGGCGTGGATCAATCGTTTGGAAAGCTGAATGCCATCAACAACAGCAGAGCCTTTCAAGGACAGATGGACGCAGGATCATTCGCTCAGATGTTCAAGTAATGGGGCTGAGGGATGTGTAGACATTGCGCGCTCAGCCTTATGTTCACTAGGCTGTCCAGCAATGAGGCTGTCCCTCTTCATTGACCCTTTGTTCGCCTAGCTTGGGAAAGCCAAATACAAGATCTGATCACTAGTTTCTCAATTTGGACTTTTCTTCTGATCGTCGCCATCATGTAATCAGGATCACGAGATGATTCGCATCCGAGACACGCAGAACCAACTTGACCTGCGCCATCGACAGAGTAGAAAAAGCCTTAGCCGCAAGATCATCGAGTCAACGTGCATCCGTACATGAAGGCAAGTGCAGCTATGCGCTTAGTGATACGAGACACTAATGTCGTGTAAAGCTGTATGCCGAAAATAGTGCGAACGGTTCACTGAAAAAGCAACGGCAATATGCGTGTGAGTCAAAAAATGGCGTGTTTAGGGGCTGAGCCTTCTTTGTCGCTTGGTAATACAGTGGAACTTGTAGTGGCCGAAAGTACCCTGGCTGAATCTCGCCACTCTGGTTGATACATAAGCCTCTGCAGAGAAGATCAAGAAATATTCAGAGGTACTTGTATCGCAAACATACGGACGATCTTTGCTTGATACCCGCCGTCAATGTCACAATGGACGAAATCATTCACAGTCCCACGAGAGCCAATCACTCTCACCAGAAAAGTCCGGGTGGATTGGAGCAGCAGTCGGCCCCAAGCAGCAGACGGAATTCAATCCCATCTGAAGAGGCGGCACGATACGGGGAATCTGTAGAACAGACTGCAGAGGTCACATTTGTGACCTATCATCAAACTCCGACACACTCTTCTCCACTCCTTCGTCAGGACTCCGGGTCCGCTAGTATAAACGGCTTTCAAAGTCTGGATACTCAAGACGATGCCAGAAATGACGGCTCGGTCAAAACGGATCAGGAAACGCGACCAAAGTCTCCTCATACGTGGAAGCTCGAGATGAGTGCTGTAGCCCTAAGCTTGACTGCAATGACGACGCTTCTGGTGCTCCTGGTCCTTGCGAATAATCGACCTTTGGATAAATGGCGTTTCTTGATCTCCTTTAACGCACTCATCTCCATTCTGGGTGCCGTCGCTCGTGCACCACTGGGATTCGTAATGGGATCTTGTCTTGGTCAAGCCAAGTGGAATTGGTTCAAAAGGCAACCCGGCCGTCTAGAAGGTTTTGAAAAATTTGAAGACGCAAGTAGAGGGCCCCTGGGAAGTTTTGTGTTTTTGTTTTGGCTTCCTGCTCGGTAAGTGAGTATACAAACTCTAACACGGCCGCCGCTGACCTTTTCAGCCACTGGTCAGTACTAGGTGCTCTCATGACAGTTGTTCTTCTAGGCTTTGATCCATTTCTTCAAGCAATAGTCGATTACGATGGGCAGCTAGACGATTCAAACAGTCTCAAGCCTCCAACCATCGGAGTATGCGAACGTCTCGATGTCGGATCATACTCTTACCTCACTACAAGAGGAGAAGCTGGATCGTTCCAACTGCCATCAGGAAACGCTATTGATAGATTTATTTGGTCCAAAATACCTGATGTGGGCATGACGGCTGCTCTCATAGATGGTTTGGGGAACGACACAAAGCGAACCGAGCCAATGGCTTCATTCGTTTGTCCTAGTGGCAATTGTACGTGGGCACCTTACTCGACCCTGGCAATCTGCAGCACCTGCAACGACGTGACAGCATCCTTGGAACAGAACGAGATACTTGGCGGGAAGACATTGTACTCATTACCATACGTCGAATCAATTGATGAAAAAAAGGGAATCTTTGCTGAAACTGCAGATATGGCTGCAGCAGCCGTCTCCAATCCCGGGCTAACGGTTTCATTCCAAAAGAGCAACACACTCATCGCAGCTGTCGGCATAATTCGGTTTCCAGATAAATATCATCTAAACCCCTTGGCCAAGGAATGTGCTTTGTATTTTTGCATCAAAGCTTTTGCAACGCGAGTCGACAATGGTGTGTTTAAGGAGTCTGTAATCGACACATGGTCGGACAGAAACTTGGCATCATACCAACCAGGCATGCCAGAGTGGGAAGTGGGTATGGAGGCGAGCACTTTCGCAGAGTATGAATCTTGGAACAATAACTCCTTGGTAAACTCCGAGGTGAATTTTCACCGATTCGATCTCCAGCTCCGCTGGTCTGATGAACGAGCACGTCAAGTCGGGCTTCCCAAGGACGCTATCATGGCCTTCAATATAAGTCAGTCCTCGGCAGAGACAACCTCGTATGCCGTCACTGATCAGCTATTCTCCAGTGGCCAGCTGGTATCATGGCCTATTCCAAGGACCGGCTTCAATGGAACTTTATATCCTTTTGTTGCACAGGTCCTTGGTACGAAGCAGACCCAAGATTACGACGCGGTATTTGAAAATATGGCGCAAAGAATGACGACTTTCATGCGTGATCAGTCGGACTCGACGCAGACTGGCCAACAGAAAGAATGGGCCCTCCATATACGGGTACGATGGGCGTATTTGATACTTCCCCTGCTCGTTGTCGTGGGAGCTTGTCTTGTTCTTCTGTTTGCAATCCTTGAGACGAACCATAGGAGACTAGAGCCCTGGAAGAGCGACGTCTTGGCTACTTTTACACACTCTGTAGATGCGGAAACTCAGAAGCAGTTAAGACTTGCTGAGTTGACGGGCCAAGCAAGGGAAACGGCAAAGAATACATTTGTTAGTTTGGTGGACACGGGGGAATTCGTCGAGTTAAAGGTTAAAAAAGACTAGATTGGTCGAAACGCAAAGCATAGACCAGGATCTGGAAATATCTATTTAGAGACAGAAATTGATACAATAATTGGCGAAAAACAAAAACCAAAGCTCTTGCTCCAGTCAGGCAATCAGAGTACCGAGTATTAGCTTTGCCCGCCCATAAACTCCTCGTCGCGGGGCATCGCCGCCTGCCCCACCACCGGAGGACTCCGCGGTGGACACCTATAACGGAACACCTACGAAATACGGCGGATTAGACAGGCTGATAGCGGAATATCACAAGGGCCCTCACATACTACTGCTCGTCTCCAACGTCTAGATAGTTGTACCATCCAGAGGCTTCAATTTGATCAACAATCGTTTAAGACTTTCCAAGCGAGGGGAAACTCCAGGTTCGAATCGGCAGACTGTACCAGGACTCTTTTCGCAACTTCTTTGGGACACATCTGGGCACTCCTCATCTTAGCCGGGCTGTAACCACCCCCTCATCTGCCACGCCAAAATGTCCTCAACCACTACCCCCGTGGTGGACATCCACACCCACATGTACCCCCCAGAGTACGTCAAGCTGCTAGAGTCGCGCTCCGAGATCCCCCTCATACGGCGCTTCGCCGGGGCCAAGGACCCGCGGTACATAATCCTGCCGGCCGAGGCCGAGTCGCTCGACAAGATTGCGCAGGGCGAGTCGGCCAACCTGCCGGGCCGGCCCGTGACCAGCCACTACTCGCTGCTCACGCAAAAGATTCACTTCATGGACACGCACAAGATTGACATTTCCGTCATTTCGCTCGCCAACCCGTGGCTCGACTTTGTCGCCTCGGACGAGGCTGGCAAGACGGCCGAGGACGTCAACCACGAGTTCGAGGCCATGTGCGGGGAGTACCCGGGCCGCCTCTTCTTTTTCGCGACTCTGCCACTCACGGCCCCGGAGGACGTGCTGTTGGCGCACGTTGATTTCGTCAAGGGGCTCAAGCACTGCCGCGGCGTGATTCTGGGAACCTCGGGGTTGGGCAAGGGCCTCGATGACCCGGCGCTGATTCCCGTGTTCAAGGCCATTGCGACAGCGGGCCTCGTCATTTTCTTGCACCCGCACTATGGACTGCCGAGCGAGGTCTGGGGTCCTCGTGCCACCGCCGAGTACGGTCACGTTCTCCCCCTGGCGCTGGGCTTCCCGCTCGAGACTACTATTGCCGTCGCACGCATGTACCTGGCCGGCGTGTTTGACCAAGTCCCAGATTTACGCATGCTGCTCGCTCACAGCGGCGGTACCCTTCCGTTCCTCGCGGGCCGTATCGAGAGCTGCATCGTACACGATGGCCACCTCGTGCGCGAGGGCAAGGTCACGCCAGAGCGTAGGACCGTGTGGCAGGTCCTCAAGGAGCAAATTTACCTTGACGCTGTCATTTACAATGAAGTCGGTCTCAAGGCGGCCATCGATGCGAGCGGTGTCGACCGGCTCATGTTTGGAACAGACCACCCGTTCTTCCCCCCATTGCAGAGCGATGAGCAGGGCGAGTGGGAGAGCATGACTTGGAATAAGAATGCGGTCGAAAAGGCACTGGGCAGCAATAATGAAGGAGTCAAGCAGGTCATGGGAGGCAATGCCGCCAAGATTTTGAGACTGACCGAGGATGCATAATCTTCTTGTCAAATATAATTCGATATTCAAGTCATCAAACATTCAAGGCTATATTCTTTGGGTCACTAGACTGCGCGCACTGCGTGTGTGTGCATCTGACCTGACTAGTACGACTATGGCGCTGCTCCTGTTCTGGTCCGACTCAATAACACCAAGTCCAGCTTGCAGTATTCGTAATGACTAAATAATTGTTCTGTATATTGGCGATGGTTTCATAAAATGTCAGCTTGAGGACCATTGATGATGTCAATTACCGTTATGCTCATATTGTATGCAAGTCCAGAACACGAATGCAAGTAAAGCCGCTCCACTTCTCCATGCATACGTGGCCCTCTTTTCTCCATAACGTTATTTTCAAGTTCTAAAAGAAGTAGAGGGAGAGAAAGGGAAAAACTGGACCTCATGGCATGCGAGAGAGAAGGATCGAGCCTCGCAAAGAAAGGAAAAAAGAGTGTTCTTGACCCTGAAAACCACCTGCAACGCGGTGCTCCACTCTGAGCAGGGGTCTGGCGGAAGACATGAAGCTGCCAAGAGCTCGCCATCAGCCCATAACCTCCAAGACTGTGACAACTTCGGGAATAAAAATATGGGACGGTGTGACCATGTGGTGTGTTTGCTTGCAATGAAATACGACTGCAGGTTTTGATTCACGACCTGCCACATGCCTTTATTTGGTTTCATGAAGACCTCCCCCAAGTTTGTTGTATAAACCGACTCGTCCAGCTTATTAGTGAGCATTGTGTATTTTAGAGTTGGCTAGTAGGGCGGGTGATCCACCAAGATTTTGGCAACTCCAAGCATAATCTATTTCTATGTTCCGACTCAAGAGCAAAGAACAACAACCAGCATCATCCTGATTCATGGAAACAGAAAAGACAAACAAGTCTGACTAGCCGCCAGCCACCATCTCAATGCTTATTGCTCAACCAGACTGACTCTTTTTTTGCTTGCGGCTCAAACGTCAGGATCCCTGTCGCGGGTCTGTGAAGATCTCGGCAAGTCCCAGACCCCTGTAATCACGGCGACTATTCCCAACTATTCCCCACCCACGAGACGGCAGCCGTAGCAGAAGATCGTCGCAGAAGTGACATGGCTCTCCCCGAGAGTGCTACCTCGTCGACTACATGACTCCTTGGTTAACCAGGCTCAAATGCCCTCCTTGTGTGGATCTGATGTTCCTCCAACGGTCTGACGCATCTGATAGGATAGGACGAGGACGGGAGGGACCTTGGCAGATCAACCCTGGGTACCATGCTCAAGAGACATGCTCAATTGGGATGCTGGGTGGGCTGTAAAATGGGACTGCATCGTATACCACCGAAGTGATTTAAACAATGCCCGTCCCCCCATGGGGATGCAGGAATGAAGTCGCCAGTTTTTGTTCTCTCTTCAACCCACTTTACTTTATCTTTATTTTCTGGGTACAGAAGGACTGGTTCCTCTTTTTTTTTCTTCGTAAGCTGGTCTATTTTGTGGAACCGCTATTCACTTCTTTTCATTCTTTGATCGTGCCGGGCACAGTTTATATTACGACCAGAACCTCTCTTTCGTCCTCTCCAGATCAGAAATTCAAAATGCCTTCATTTTTGAAAACTTGCTTCGTGGCTCCGGCATTTTTGGCCCTGGCTCACGCACAAGGTGTAATTCAACAGGCTCAGGGTGAAGCTGGACCAGCCAGTCTGCCGCTGCAAGGTGAGCAGAACAGTCCATTCACATAGGAAAAAGAAAACTGACCCAAGAGTTAGTCGACCTCACCAAGGCCGATGCCAACGTTATCAACTCGGTCGAAATCACCACCAATGTGGTCAACGAGTGCGGACGCACGCTGCTAGCCGGCAACATTGACGTGGGCGAAAACACCGAGACGCAGCTGGCCAATGGCACCGTTACCCAGGTCACCGCGGGCAGCAACGTGACGTTTACCATTGCTCAGCTCAATGACGACGGCGTGGGCCCCTATACCTGCGACCTCGACGAGGCCGGCAACGTCCAGGGCGCCACTGGCCAGAAGCAGCTCGCTGTCTCGGAGCAGGATGCCAAGGATGGTACCATTACCCTGGTGGCTACGCTACCTGCTGATTTGAAGTGTATTGGAGGTGAGGCTGCTTCCCGATCCTAGATGGGTATTAACCTAGAAGCTAACCTCAATTATCAATACAGCCTCTACTGGTGACGTCTGCACAATCCGGTGTTTTAACTCTGCAGCCGCTGGCCCGTTTGGTGGTTGTGTAGCTGGTAAGTCACTTATAATGTCATGTCTCTCCTTTTTTGGGTGATCTCATGATCAAGCATTGCCCAAATTGGTGCTCCAAGAGAGCAGGCTCAGACAAATCACTTGAAAGAGCTGCTTCAGACCCATTTATCTACCCTGATGGGCAATTGCTAACACATGTTGTCATTGTAGTGCAGCAGACCGACACCACTCCCAACGTCAACACACCCGAGAACATTTCCACTCTGCAGACAGTCTCGGGCATCACGGCCCAGGTCGCGCAAAACGAAAAGGACCTCGACGCCGCCAAGGCCGCCAACGTCGAGGCGCCCACCCAGGGAGACCAGGGCGTCGCCGCCGTCGACGCCCTGCTGTCCATTGACAGCGCCGCGGCCGCTACCGCCGGCGCTGCCGGTGCCGTGGCCACGGGGGCTGCCACTACCAATGGTACCGCCAACACTGGTAACACTGGTGGCAATGGAAAGAAGGGCAAGAAGAACAAGAACAACAACCGCCGCGGTTTCACCTTTTCCGCTTAGACACATCCCTTGTCCTATCCTTCGATACGTCTTCTGTCAGCCGATACGATTGGCATGATGTAAAACCTTGGGATGGTTGGTACTTGGAATGTCTCTTAGCTGGCCCGTCTTTTCCTACAAAATATCTATCTCTTTAACTTTGCGGTTTATTGCATTTGAGCGAGTGTACTATTGCTTTCCATTTTAATTTGTATATACCCCCATCGGATATAGAACAAATATAGACTCAGTGCCATATGCTTAGGTCATAACATGTCTTGGGTATGTTGATTGTATGCGTGACTATCAAGTCGGTCGGTTAAGAAGAAGCATACTCATTGTCTGGTGCAATGCTTTTTATAATGATATTTCACATGATACAGCGATATAATTGAAGAACTTGTAGTAGCTAAGGAATGTAAGTATAGCCGAAGCCATGAATTTCTTTTGGTCAGCGAATGTACTTCTAGTGATCTAAAGTTCTCTCTAGAAACCCAAATGCAGTGAAATCAGATGATAAACGCCCTCGCCATGCCAATACCATGCCAATCAAAAAGTCCTGCGGCCCAAAATGATATCCCGAAAACAACCGTCGCCATGCATCCGATGCGCCCTCTCCAAATTCAAACCATCGAGTCCAACGACTTATACGTATTCCTCACGGCCTTTTTAGAAACCAGAGAGCGGGTTGGGGTTGGGGATGACACCTCCAACAGGCTGCTGAACAGCCGGAGAAACACTAGTCCCCGAGACCTTGGCCAGGGCATTATACGCGGCGAGGGTATTGGGCGAGTTGAAGTTTTGGTTCACGACGCCCGTCATGCCGTTCTGGCAGTGGTTGCCGTTGGTCTGGGAGCAGTAGAACCAGATGGGCGTCTTGTCCTCGACGACGACCTGGAACACATTGGCGCTCTGGCCCTCTTGCACGGCAAAGTTGAAGCCGGAAAAGAAGCCCGTCTCGTGGCCCGTGGCCGCGTCCTTGAGGGGCTTGCACGGCTCGCCAAACGAGGACTGGGCCACCGAGTGGTTGCGCGGCGCAAAGTGCCACTCCACCACGTCGCCGATCTCGGCGACAATGTTGTTGGGCTCAAAGCTCAGAGCGCCGCGGCCGGCGGCCACGGTGTGAGTGACGCCGGTCAAGGGGACGGTGCGCGTCGGGGTCTTGGTGCCGGTGGTGGTGCTGGGGCCAGTAGGAGCGGCGACGGCAGCGGCGATGAGAAAGGCGGTGGTGAAAGTCTGAGCAAACATTTTGATTTTGTTTTTAAGTATTTTCCAAGGAAACCCAAAAAATAAGGAAATAGGAAATAAGATGAAAAGGTAAAAACAAAAAAAAGAGTTGAAAGTTTTGATTAGATTGTGAATGTTGTTGATGATGATAGAGAAGAGGAAAACATACTTGCTCGGAGTCATCTGGGACTTATATACAGACCTGTTTGTCCTACAAGACATTCCATATTTGCAGTGTTGGCGTCAGCCGCGAATATTTGGTGTTGTTGCTTTGCAATCACGTTTACTGCCTGGTATAGTCCCAAAATAGGTGCAGTGCAACAATCAAACTACCCCGGCTCGGTATGGTCAAGATCCGGGTGCTGAGCACTCATCACCCGACTCGGCCGGCTCAACTGACTGTCGCTGTCAGGAAAAGGAAAAACCAGCCCATCTGGGTAATTTGGCATATGGGCCTCCTCCGGATTTCCAGCCAGCCGGATTAGTGTTGGCTGCCGTTCATAGGGCTGTTTATAAACGACGAGCATCGGGATTGGCTGGAATGGCCAAGTCTTTGGTGCTTATGGCGTAAATTCGAGGCTATGCTGACGGGCTGGGGGAAGCAGCAGCAGGCCACCCGACATGCATGCATGCAAAAAACAACTGCCCTGTACCCCGACTAGAATTATGTTTAGAGCAACCGAACATGCACTGCAGCTAAATTAGCCGTTATTGCAGGTCAGCACAGCCTGCATGGGTCGGATCATGAGCAACCAAAACTTACCTTTCCCATTTGTGGGTAGGTCTTTGCTTGCCATGTCCACGAGCCAGGCCAAAATAGTTGGAATCCATTATCATGACCATAATTCGTCGACGCTCTGCGCCAGGCTTGGGATTGCGATGCATTCCAGCGTCGGGATCTGTCACCACAACCCGAATGCGACGTGACGTTGCAATAGCCTTTGATGCATTGCCAGTATTGTAAGGCAAGTAATCATATGTACATACTTCTCTCGATCCTAGTGCAGAGACATATCCCATTTAGATCCCCTTTTCAATGTGACCAGTAATGTAGCTCCAGCATGACTGCACTAGGTGCTCATCGATAACGACGCCAGTACTTCAAGCACGCCGACTGCCAAGAAGCCGCCAAACGACTCGGTGCAAGTTTCGCCTCAGCTCCAGAATACATCCGGGAATGATTGAAATGACACAAGCCTATTTCCATGTAAAGAATCAGTGATGATCGTCGAACAAGACCATTAGCTGTGCCATGTAGGACTAGAAGAAAGCTGACCTCAGAATTTGGCACGAACAGTTCCACGTCTACAATTTGATGCAACATGTCCAATCCAAGGATCGATTAGCGTCTCTCTTGTCTGTCAGGCTAGACGAGGATCATACAAAACACAGACGAACTTGGTAAATCATCGCGACTGACTCGTGGCTTCGACGTGGCCGTTATCGCCAAGCCTCTACAGTCAGCATGAGGTGAACCGTATACTAGCGTCCATGGCATTAAACAAACGTCGGATCCCAATCCAGGTTTCTAGGCTTCAAAGACCAACTCGGTGGAGGCTGGACCGGTCCTCCTGTCTCCCAGTCGAGAAAGCTGGGCCGTGGCCCTCGCCAGGGAGTCTGCACCTGTTGTACGAGGCTAGAGAGTGCGGCGTGTTGATGCACCGGGTTTTCCATTGGCCAGTAAAAATAGATTCAAGGACCATTACCAACTTGCTTCCTCAGGCGAGGCTGTCCGAGCAGACCGCGCCGACCCTTATTGTTTGTTGTTGTCGCTAACGCAAAAGATTACGCTCCGCTGGATCAGATAAACAAGACATAAGATAATAATAAAGTATGCCACCCCATTCTTCGAGGCAGCACATAATTTACTTCGCAGCATCGACAAAGAGAGTATTGATCAATAGTTTATTACCAGCTATCTGGTGAGAATGTTTCTATCTGCATAAGAAACGAGTCTACCAATGCCTGTATCGTTTCTCTCATGCCAGAGTCGTCATAAGCGACTAAAGATTACCATTCCGATTCTCAGAGTATGCAATTACCGGGGGAAAAAAACTCCTTATGCAGTGTACCATGCTCTCAAAGCGAGCCTCTTTCCTGCCTGAAACCAAACCATCCATACCTGTGTGACGCCATTACCTATTTGCAAACTTGCTGGCCCCAAAGCCTACATGAAAGAAGAAGCGAGTGTCTACTCCTCACAAGAAGAGGGCAACGGCAGCCACAGCCAACAGACCCAGGGCAGAAGAAGTTCCCTGAGTGGCACTGTTGGAAGAGGGAGCGCTGAGGGTCTCAGTGGCATCACCGCCAGCGGGAGTAGTGGAGGTCTGGGTGACAGAACCAGTAGTCGAGTGCTGAGAAGTGGCAGTCTCGGCAGTGGTAGAGACTCCAGAAGGAGCAGTGCCAGAGACAGTGCCAGTGGTAGCGGGAACGCCAGGAGTGGTGATGACAGAGGTCAAGGTACCAACAGAGACGCTAGTGGTGCTGTCCTCGCCCTGGCCATTGCCACCACCGTAGCTGCCATCCTCAGTAGTAGCAGTGGTGGTAGAGATCTCAGAGGAAGCAGTAGTCTCAGAAGTGGCAGTAGTCAGAGTGTAGGCAGTGTTGGTGGGGGTGACATTGTCGCCACTGGTGGTGCAGATAGAAGTGGAAGCACCGACACCCTCATCAGTGGGAGTGAGAGTGATGCTACCACTCATGGTGACAGTGGTTGTGGTGGTGCAGTCGCAGTCCTCATCGTAGACAGCCAAGACCTTGACAGCGTTGGGACCTCGGGCAACGGCAGACTAGGATGAGATGAACCATTAGCAAATTAAGTCTACATTAGATGGGAGAGCATGAAAGTGAACGAAAGAAGGTGTTGTTTGAATTTGGGCTGTCGCTGAAAGAAAAATGGTTGCGATGCGCCTGATGGTTGTGGAAGATGGAAATGGAAGTTGCTTACCAGAGCGCCAGTGGCGAAAATGCCGACGAGAAGAATGTTCTTGGTGAACTGCATCTTGGCGATCAAAGTTGACAAGTGACGATTGGGATGTGTGTGGGATGGGCGATTGATGCTTGATGGATGTGTGACCAACGGGGCGAAGGCTCGAAATGATGCTTCGGATCTCTGCTGATGTCAACAGTGGAGATGATTCTGGAAGAATGAAGTGAAATACGATGATTTGCTTTGCTTTGAAAAGAAACAAATAGAAGCTGTAGTAGTTCAAGAGTCCCAAAAGTTGCTTGAGTGTCTGCTTGTTTTGTGGTGGATGGGAAGGGGGAAAAGATTGGTGAGTGGCGGATTTGGGTCAAGAAATAGTAACAGACGGGGGGTGGGTGACGGCTGCGACTGATGGGAAACCGCCGGCGCTCGACCTCTATCCTTTTTATGCAGGAACGCGTTTGTCGATTACTGATTCAGAACAGCTGGCAGGCGTTGCTTCGGCAGATAAAGAAAAACGCCAGGACTGATACCAGCGGGCAGCGGGCAACGGCGCATCAAATTACAACCGGGCAACCAGGAATCAGACAACGGGGCAACCGTAGCGAGCTTTCGTAGATACCTGGATGGTTGATTTCAACTTGATGCCTTGGATCCAGTCTTGGTCGTCTTGAGTTTGGCTGACTCTCTCTGAAAGGTTTGGACCGGATCAATGCCCCCCGTCCTTGCACTCCTCTTGTAAGGGAACTTGCATGACGAGATCGATCACTTGCAGCCCAGCAACGAGATTCCACCAGCGATTCTCATTGTTATCCCCCTGCAGCGAGCCGAGATCACCGTTTGACTCCCTTTCCCATTATCTCGTTTCTGGCCGTTGTGACATGTCACACCATGTTGATTGAGTGATACCCGTTCCACCTGCAAAGGCCGACCCATAACATGACTTCATGCTTAAGCAACCGTGGACGCTCTTGAAATTCTCCACAAGTCTTGTAGAGGTTGTAGTTTAGTAAACAACTTTACATGTCTCGTAGTTGTGTAAATCACCCGAGAAGAGACAGCATTCCTAACTGTCCTCGATTCACAGTTCGGCGTCATGTCTTTAGGGCAATCAACCCAACTCTCCCCACCAGACAGACGCAGCTTGGGCAAACAGAGTATCACACACGCAAGTACCACAAACCACTCGGATAAATGATTGGATCGATTGCATTTGCCTTGAGTACTCAGAGAGGTCAAGCCACTTTGGTACAGTATCCGTGTCGCCTTCCAACCAGCCTGGACTCAAATCACTGCTGACAACTAGTATCACAGTATCACCACCCCAACCAAGGCAGCAACTGCCGTAGCACCGAAAAGAACCAAGCCGAGCTCGAACCTGCCTCCAGAAGAGCACGTTGAACCGTCATCCCCGCTAGTGCTGCCGTCGCTTCCACTCTTTACTTTTCTCTTGCAGACCTCGCTTCCCCCAGAAGTCGTTGCGGCATTCGTGGTTGTGGAAGTGGATGAAGACGTCTTGGACGAAGACGTCGTGGATGCAGCCGCCATCAACACCGTGACAGGCGTCATCGACTGAGACATCTCTGCTGAAGCCAGACTCACGACAGTACTAGTTGCCACAATACCAGAGCTCGTCACTGTACAGACCGCCGGTGATAGTTGACAATCGTATTCCAGCCCGACCAAAGGGCCAAGGTTCAGGTGCATTGAACTTGGGCCATAGGTAAGGGTCAGGCTGTTGAATTCACCATCGCATGAATAAGAGGTCGCCGAGACCTGGCTTTGACAGGCCAGCAGGTACTGCGTAGTTGTGGCATCCGAGGTGATGACTGATGCATAAATATGGTCGCCTGCGGGAGTTGAGCGCGATGGCAGGAGAAATGAGGCAACGCTGCTGGTTGTTTTTGTTGTAGCGGCTGCCGCCACAGTCACGAAGATCTGGGCCAGACCAGCCAAAGGCATGAAGCTAAATGCTGTCATTGTAAACATCATTAATTATGTTGTCGAGGCTCATAAACCTGTATCGTAGTCTGGTGAGGTCCACAGGTCTGGCATACAATCTCTGATGTGGCCAAGATTTGTATTCTAGGCTGCCTCACCGACTGTTGAGCTGATATTTGTTGTCGCAAACAAATCAAGGCAGGGGTTGTCGCAGTAGCTGCCCGATTCGTATGTGGCACCGCCAGCCATTTTCTCGGCATCGCTTGGCATAAACCTTACATCACGACACTCGTGAGGGCAGGGTTGATCACCAACAAAAGTCTTGGCGGAATTGAAGATTCTTGCAGCTTGCCTTTCTACAACAGCTAATCTTTGTTATATGGCGCAAAGCCCTTCTTGATCTCGGCTACAATCTCAGCAGCCTCTTGTGCACTCTTTGCCTCATAGTCTGTACGCTTTGCCGAATTATCCTTGAAGACATATAGCTGCAAGTCGCCGCATGTCAGTATTCAATACGCGGTAACCAAAAGAAGCGAATAAACATACCTTGAGAGTGCCCGGATGCTTGCGCGAGGTGCTGCAGTTGAGGATATTGCTGAAATGTACGCTCGTGGTTTTCCCACTTTCTCGTGTGGGCTTGCCTCCCGAAGATGGTTGTATATACACGTACTCGCCATCGATCGTCAGGAGACGCTCATTGCCAACGAAACGCATAGTCTGTTTCTTCCAAACGACAAACTTCTTCAGACTAACGTCACTGCTGCCTACTTCGTCCAGCTTCATTGCCTCTTGAGCCAGAGGATGAGGTGCGCCCTTGTCTTTCTTCTTCTTTTGTGCAGCAAGGGCATTGTCCCATATGTGCTGCTTCGGTGAAGAGCCAATGGGCGAGCCGGTGATGGTGAGTGGGCCATCCGTTGCAAAACGTCTGCGATGTAGTTCCAAGTCTGTTACATTACCAATCGATGATACTGCCCGGTCGACATAGACTACAGAACCCGAGACTGGAAGTTTGAGGACGTGCGTGTTCTTGTCAAGTTGCCGCCTCTTGCAAACCATATCGAGGACTTCGGCAAGATATGTATCCGTTGTGACTTCCAGTGTCAGCATCTGCCCTGGCGCCACATCTGCAGACATGATATGGATCTTGAGAAGTTTCTTTTGTCCTCTGCTTGCTGGAACTGGTGCGGGCTCAGGTGCCGCGGGCCTATCAGCATGTGCCGTCTCAATGCGGAACATTGTATTGGTGATTGGGTTCGGTTTTGGACGGGTTGAAGCAGGAGGTGGTGGTAACTGAGAAGTAGGCTTAGGCGTAGCCTCCTCGTTCACAGCTTCGACGGCCACTTCTTCTTGGGCAAATTGTGGCGTCAACTTTTGGTTCTCCTCGAATGATTCTTGAGATGCTTGTACCAGACCAAAGTCGTCGTACATCTTGGAGGGGCCTCGTGATCTACCACCTCGATTATTTGCTGTGGTGAAAGAGTTGACCGGCTTCTTCCTCTCCAGAGGTGGAAAGTCATCGTCTACCTCATCTCCATCCACCATACGTAGCGTCCACCAATTAACGTTTTGTCTATCGTTCGGAATGGGGGGCTCGAGCTTTTCGTCGTGGTATCTCCAAAGACTTAGTCCAATGAGTTCTGCAACAGTGACTGGCCTGAAGCTGCCATCTGGGTCTTGTATATTCTTCCGAATGGGGACCTCAAAAGGTTTAGAGGACGTCTTTGAAAATGGAGCGTAAATACGGATGGATAGTGGATCTGGATCACCTTTTCCAGAAAGAGAAGCAAACTGTTCCAAAGGCATCTTGGGCTTGGTATTCTTGGCCTTGAGAGCATCACCCAAGAGACTTCTGGGCTGTATCATACTCAAGGGCCTGAGAGTACTCATGGGTCGAGGCGGCGGCAGGACCAGCGATATCGAGGGCTGTGGTTGTGTTGGGGGTTTCCGTACTGTAGATTGTCGCAGCAGCTGCTTTGGAGGAGTACCAACGACCTGCTGTCCCGGAGAAGCAGGCAAGACCGTGTTCTCTACATCGGCCAGAATCGATGCCGAGTCCACACTCTCAACGAAAGCTGACGAGGCATCAGATAGATCAGAGTCATCTTCTTCTTCTGCCAGCGGTTCGCTCCGTATCCTCTCAATCCCATGCGCCGGCTCTTCTGCAATTCGGGCTTGTAATCTGGCAGACCTAGCTGCCGCCCTCGCAGAGTCCTTGTGCTTACGATATCCGGAATTGTCAAACTCGTTATCTGAGGATACCTCACTACTAGTGACAGTGTCGCGACGAGCCCTCTCCTTGACCGTCTCGAGCGCGGACTGCGAACCCCTTCGAGCACCTGGAGCTTGCCTCTGCGGTGATACTACTGCCGTCTGTCGTAACTGCGAAGACTGGATTGGGGAAGACCCTGAGCGGTTTCTGAGTGGCATCTTTGCAAATCGTATCTGCTGCGCCGCCCTCTGATCCGACTCTTCATCACTTTCATCGCTTAGATCACTGCTGTCATCCTCTTCCATTTCGCGTTCTCGCCGCCTCTCCCTCCTCCGTCTCGTTGCGATTCCTGGCCCTGGAGTCTCTGTTCCACCGCCTGTGAGCATGCCGCCCTCCTCCACGTCATCTTCGAGGGTGAGGCCGAATCGAGGCGGGGCCTGAAAGTACTCCGAGGCAGTGGCTGTAGGTATCGGCGGGGAGTGGGTTCGCTTGATGAGGGCAGGATTGGTGCGCCATCCAGCAGCTTTGAAAGGTGCAGTATTGAGAAAGTTGTCATTCAAGGAAATCAGTCGCTCGCCGACGCCATCAGCAACCTCACCGAGGTAGCTGACGCGCAATTGGTAAGATACCAGACTAGAATTGGTCCGTGTCAGCGCAAGCACGTTCCAGTGCGGTTGGGCAACTTTACTCTTCCACCTGAATGAGAGACATGGTCAAGAACGAGTGTCAGCACAATGCGAACCGGCGCAAGCTGCGGTCAAGATCCTCCCTAAAGGGTGAGATTGCGCATTGGGGTTGATTGCGATTGCGCTCTCAATTGTCCAAGATCCCTTTGTGACAGTCCACAGTGAGATTAGGCTTGAGGGTCATTTATAGCACAACAGAGAAGAATACGGGATCGGTGATGATAAAGGGGTGTCGCTTCGGTTGAGTTGATGTGGGGTTGTTGTCGAAATGTGCACGCCGACAAGAAGGGACGGATGCAAAGAGTTGTTTGATCTAGGTCAAGTAATGTAGTGTTTGAAGGAGACCGAGGCAGCCTGGTCTGTAAGGACCTTGAGGTCGACATTGACAGCCAGTGTCGCACCAACCAGCCCGCCGCGCGCGGTCGCTAACCTTATCTCAGTTCATGGAGTGCGGGGCATCAATGATGGGTGCGGAATAGGGCCGCTCACATGTGCAGTACAGGTTGTGCTTGGTCTTGTGCAGAGTCAACCTTTCATACATTCTGTTGGGTGATTATTCTTTTGTATCTGCAATATTTCCTCTTGAAAAGAGTAGAAGAAGAAATATTCTGTGGCCATTTCATCCTTTGTCGACTAAATACTTCTAGATTTACGATATGGATACATTGAAGTATGATATTGCAATGGTGAGCAGGAACTGATGGTATCCATCTACCAGGTTGTTTATTAATGACATGTGAATGACTTTCATAAGTGAGCCTTTAATGACACAGAAACAACACTTGTCTCAAAGGTTTGCAACATAGCTTTCGTATGTTCTCTCATTCCCAGAGTCGTTGCTCACAAGATGGTGAGCTTTGCTATAAGAAGCGAACGATCAAAGGTTGGCAGTTGAACGTTATGCAATACGAGCAATGTTGACACTTGGAACTGTTTTTCTTCATTTATGTTTAAGTTAAAGATGATCTTTCCTAAAATATGACTGACGCCATTGAAGGTCCGAGAGTCTAGTACATGTTTCCTATTCTTTTTTATCCATGTAAGTGGTACCCTACAATGCCCATTTTCAGATGACAGTGCGGAACACTCAGTACAGGGTATCCCGTTGCGGTCCCACGCTAGTGTCGCGTACCTGATGTTTAGGTACATGAGCAATGATCTCAGCAGCTCTACCGACCTAGGCAGTCCAACCTTTTGCACCCAACACCCACGAAACTACAAACAGCTGCAAGAACACCCTGAATCAGCCATCTGCGATAATTATTCACCAAAGGAAGCACGAAACTTTTGATATGGCCTTGGTGGATTACTCCGACTCGGAGTCAGACTCTGAAAGCGTCGCGCAGCCAGTAGCAAAGCCTGCTCCAGCAGCAGCCCCGTCCAGCAGTACGACAGCCAAGAAGCCTATACAAAAGGTCGTCGACCGGTCGAATCCGCGAAAAATCGTCGTGAATCTCGGCGCCGCCACAGCGCAAGATGAGAGCAAGACAGAAATGGGCAATAACGAGCCACCTGCGAAGAGAGCTAAGACGGGTGGGGGTGTGTTTGGCGGCTTCGCCTCACTGCTTCCACCACCAAAGAACAGAGCGCAAAAGCCTGCACAGAGCAATGGCACGAGCGGTGGTGCTAGCAGCAGTACAAAACCTCCTCCGCGCGTCGGTGTCAATTTGAAGACTGGCGCCACCCCGGGATTCAGTAGGAGCACCGAAGATGATGACGAGACCGAGGGTGGTGCTGGCAAACAACCCTCGATACCCGATGGACAAAAGGCTGCGGAGGACATCACTCTCGTGGGCAAGCCTCTAATGTTCAAGCCTTTGTCTGTAGCAAGGAAACCCAAGAAGAGTGTAGCAGCCAAGATGGGAGCAGTGCCAAAGGCAGCGGCAGCAGCTCCTGCGAATCCATCACCGCAAACGGTAGAAGTCCAGTCTAGCGAAGAGCCGCCAATGAAGAAAAAGAAGGTCTCACTCTTCTCTATAACCGCTGAAAGCGACGAGATCCCAGATGTCGCACCTAGTAGCGGCGCATACGAGCCCATGTTCCCTGAAGAGTCGGGTACAGCTACAGACGACTTCGCAGCCTACGACGCGCAGTACTCCAGCTCATTTGCAGACCCCGGAAGCTCAGCACCTGCCGCACCAATAGCAACGACGATGCATGCCGACTCGCTGGAATCCATTGCCTCGGATATGAATCTAGATGCTACAGCTAGGCGGGCGCTCTTTGGACGTCGCGGCGTACCTGCGCCAACGCAATCGGCATCGAGAGTCATCAATTTCAATACGGACCAGGAATATGCGCACAACGAGGAGCTGCGCGCCTCTGGAGAGCAACAGATCTACAACCCTGTCCGGGCCATTGCGCCTGGCAAGCACAGCCTGCGACAGTTGGTCAACCAGGTGCACAATCAAAAGGATGCTTTGGAAGAGAGCTTCGCAAAAGCCAAGACCAATCAAAAAGAGGCAGGGCAACGATACGGCTGGCGTTAATAAATTTCTTTCAGAATATCGCCTCATAAAGACAAAACTTTCCAACTGTCCGGAGAGGCCATTTAAATAACAGTCTGAACGACGTATCGACGCCACTTCTTGGAGATTCCGGTGGTGCAGTAAGAGTGTGAAGGTGCTTATTGGTCCAGATTGTCTCCCAGCTCCATAGTAAACGTGATGTCGGTTGCAGCCTTGGCCGCACTGCCTCGCGGGGCAGATTCGTAGAAGACATAACCAGCCGATGAACACCGAGCGAACCATTCAATTCTGACATGCATCAATCTCTATGTATTTCTCAGGATTGAATCATTCACGATGGATCCGCTCAGCGTTACGGCGTCCGTTGTAGGGCTCATTGGCGCAGCAGCCAAGATATACGGCATGATCGAGTATATTTCGTCAGCCAAAGATGCCCCTACTACTCTTCGAGAAGCGGAGATTGAAGTGAAGCACATCGAGATTGCTTTGCGGTCACTCCAGCGATATCTCTGGCACCTTGGCCAGATCGATGCTCGACGAAGAGAATGCATCCAGTTGAATGATTTAATCATTGCTTTGAGTGATGCCATGCGTGTCTTTTATGACTTTGAGAACTTGTTGGTCTCGCTTGCAAGGCTGACGCGACTTCGGGTTGCCATATCGTGGTTCATGTATGCGAAACAAATTGACGAACATATTGTCAAAACACAACGTAACAAGTCCACACTGGTTTTCATGTTGAATATATTGCAATGGTTAGTAAAAACCGAATGCCAACTAGAGTGACATTAGAATTGACACAATAGACAGCCAGTCAGACATGGAGGCATCACAAAGCCAAGAGCGACTTCAGACTTTGGTTGAGCAAATACTTGCCGATAATAACGATCTCAGACAGAGGTTGAGCCAGATGCAAGATACATTCGATGCGCGGAGCACTTTCACCAAGGCAAATGCAGAAACGAACATGACCAGACCGTACGACGAGGAAGATAGAGAAGACAATCTATCGATCCTGACAGAAGCGTATCGACACACTGCAATGACCCAAAGTACACAGGCAGGCACACTAAATACTGCGCTTGAACGTATATTGGAGCAGTCCTGGGTCTACAAAAGAAATCGCAATGGCGAGTGCGATAGATCATTCATCCACTCCGACCAGCGCTCCCATGCTTGGTCCTGCTTCACAGGGTACAGCCTAGCGGATGTTTCTGTACTCTCCATGGTATCCATGCCTATCACACAAGTCGACATCAAAAGTGTTACCTCCTACAACTTTGACGTCGTGGAGAGTTACGATAGTGATGATACCCCCCAACCTGGCTTGTCTTATGCCGAGGACGGTAGCAAAGGAGAAGAAATCTCACCGAAAGGCGTGAACTCTCTTCCGGTGCCATCGAAAGTCCAAAAGGATGACCCTCAAGCGTCCACTTGGCCGCATGTGGACCGATCTGCTCAGTATCGCCATACCAACACAGAGGCGACGTCCGAGCCATGGTCTCGAAGTTTACAGATGCTTGAGCCCGATGCGGGAACTTTACCTTACACGAATGATGCTATTTTTAATGATTTCAAAAGAAATAATCAATGTCATGGCTGTAGCAAAGTGGGTGATTCATGAAGCAAATGTGAGAAATGGGCTTATAGCTAACAATAGCGGTGCAGACACTCGAGGCGGGAAAGGCATGGGAGCTACGTAAGTCACACAACACACGATGCTGTCAAGGCTTGGGACGCTGACATAATACGTGCTTTAGTCGGATATCGGTGGCATCTAGACTGCTATCGCTGTACTTATTGCAATGTGCTTTTCGATGCTCAAGCCGATATCTATCCTCTCCAGGATGGAAAGCTGATCTGCGACAAGTGCTTCTGCTGTTCAGAATGTGGCAACGGTACCAAGGACTTGGCTATTTTGGCAGGGGATCAGGCATTTTGTGCAGAGTGCTTTGCCGTGCTGCGTGCAAGTGCGTGATCAAGTCTCTTTGACCTACTAGAACCTCATGGGATAACTTGCATGGATTGCCATCAAATCCCCATGGCCAGGAAACTAGAAGAAGAAACTCACGCGGCAGAGTAACAGCAAGACGGAAGGACTGACTGCAGAAGTCTGATGCTTGACAGATGTCACTTTTCGGGCCGCGATGTGCCAGTCGTCCTTATATCAATTGAAATTCTTGCTGTGAAGCTTTCGGTCCCCGTTCCCCAAATACACGGCGCCAAATATCCATACTCTCCAAGTCACATATTTCGAATGCGTTCCTCTTGTAAGCCTGACAGAACAATGGGTAGAGTGTTATCCCAATAACTTTCCACTTATCGCCCGAAGGCCGCAACAAAAATGGATAGGCACAGCCTCGCAAAAGGACGATCTGATCCCCTTCCTTGCTGTGCCGGGGCACCATGGCCACACGAGTCATCCAGCAATGAACCTGTTCATCCTGACGAATATCGAGCCAGGGTGTGGCCGCGCCGAACGTCAATAATGGCATGATTTCGTCTCTCAAATGTACAGTACTGGCCACAGTAGTGGCGACCATGCCATCTTTCCGTGGCTCGTCATACCACTGTTTGAGGTTCTGCTTGGCCCACTCCTGCGCCTTTCGTAGCCGCTTTCGTTTGAAACGGCCGAGGTCACTGTATTGAACATAGCCTTCCCAGCCACCACCGCCCGGGGCAGGACGGCCTCCTCGAGCAGTCCCCTCAAGATATAGAAACGGCGTACAAGGCTCGTCCTCGATATTTCCCGACTCCAAGGTAGCTAAGGGGGTACCTCGAACGCATAGGGTGTTCTTTACCAGGCGAACGTCTCCAGTTTTGCAGTCAAAATCCATCATTCTACCGAAGTGATGCCAGTACTGCTTCTTGGTATAGCGATTGTGATACAACGACCTTTCAGTAGTTGAGTATAGTCGGCGCGCAAGCTCATGCAGGAATAAGCCAAGGAGGCGCGATTGCCATTCCGGGGAGCCGACTTTTGATGGTCGCAAGTCTCTTATCATTCCGAGGGCCCCGGGTTCCATGTAGTCATAAACAGAGGCATATTCCCCATTGTAGAGACGTTCTAGACCGCCTGGAAGAGGACCCCATGGAGTGTTTACCGTTCGCCAGTCCACAGTCCACGATGGGAGTTCAATATCCTGGTTGTCATTGATGAGAGACAGTATGTATAGCGATTGAGTCTTCCGAATGAAGTAGTATGTGATGTTCTGATATACTTGTGAGAAGCTCAAGGAATAGTCAATTTTGAGCAGCTTGCCCTTTTCGTCCATCTCTTGGTCCTTGGTATCTACCAGGCAGTCAGAAAATCCAAGGACTCCAAACAGGTGATCGCGCTTATCCGAAACCTGGAAATAGGGGGTGCAGAGCAGTATTCCAAGCAGAGGAGCTCGAGTTGGCTCAGCTGCGCTTACAGGTTTTTTTTGCATCCCCACAATGTATGGGAAGAAAGTCTGGACTGTAAGTGATGGGTTTCGCATGAGCTCGAGGTCGGCGGGCGAAGAGTACATGCGAGGTGAGAGATATACTTGAGGGGTCCTGGCCATGTGCATCAGGTTGTCCAGTTTCATGAGAACTTTCCAGCCTATCTCCAAGGGGCCGAATTGCATTACCATTTCCCGAGCAGCAGCAAACTCCTGTCTGATCCAAGCTCGTTTCAAGAGAGTTGGGCAGCAAATCCTCTGAAGGAAGTTAAGACATTGTGGATCCCTTGCGGTTCTCAACTGCTTGATGAGGATTTCTCCGCGTGATAAGACACGTTCATTTTCGTACGGTAAAGAAGCGAGTCTCAAAGCAGATATACTGGCCGTGTCTTGATCCTCATTCCATTGTGGGTTCTAGGCCAATACTCTACGGGCTTTTTTGTATATTGTGAGCATCCTGCCCACTTGACGCGACTTTTCGATGTTGTCGTGCTGATTTATGCACAAGGCGTCGATCCAGATATACCGCTTGGCGACGTGAGGCTCCGCTAGGGCTATGTGATTGAGGGCTTTCGCCAAATTCGATCTGATGGGCAACTCAATTCCATTGACGCAGATTGAATCTGACAAGGTTGGATCCCCCATTCATACGACAGTGCATCAAAGAGCACCTCGTCAAAGCCTTCGGGTTGACGCAGGCCCATGCCATCGAAACCAATAATATCTACGACATGAAGTCGATATGTTGGTGTTGTACTGACGTAGTCAGTACCCACCGCAGATCACCTGCTTGGGTATATAGTCGCTCTTCAGCACCTCTCTTTTGTAGACTAGAGATCAACTCAGACAACTTTCAATGCTTCCTCGATCATCTCGTCTTCAGTTCCCCCTTCACACATCGGCTCAGGTGAGAGTTGGGTCGAGACCGATTGCAGTTGGCGGATCAATCTGCAACAAGCGCGTTTCCCACGGCGAACATCTCGTAGGGTACAGTGCTTTGGCTGCCACTATTTCGTCTTGAAGAGTATAGAGAGGACTGTGGACAGGGTCTGTACCTTCCATCGAATTCGGTAGCTATTTGCGACCAGAAGTCGCTTTCAAACTTGATCTCGGACTTTTCTCAAGCTTCCAACCTTCTTTTGTTGTTGTTCATATCCACACGCATACCAAGAGAGAGAATCAGCAGCGCACTCGACCTTGCAAGGCAATGGTTCCTGATTTTGTGCTTGGTGATCCTGGGGATACCAGATATCTTTCTAGCTTTGTGGTTTGATTTCAAAGCGGTTCTGCATCCTCACCGCCAACTGTTGGGGAACTCTCAATCGAACTGAATGATTACAGGTTAGTGCTTATTGTCAAAATGTAGGAATAAGTGGAGCGCTTCTCCACACATATATCTATCTTTGACCATCCAACCTCTGTTGGATGTGAACAACTCAACTAATACAACAACCATTACCCATACCTATCATATCTTTTCACACTTATCATTGATCGAGTACCGAACTCCGATCCTCAGAACTGATTTCTAGTCTGAATATCAAAACCAAACCAACAGCGTAGCGCAAAAACACGAACCTAGATACTCACTGGGCACGGCCCAGCAGAAAATCGATTCCAGGAACTCGAAGGCGTGGTGACATGAATGTCAGAGAAGATCTAGCCACCGCTGCCAAGTTGCCAACGTTTTTGTTTCTATCCCTCATTTGGTACTAGACTCGCTTAATTGCCCAGAGTGGGCCGGTATTGATCAAGGGTAAAAATATATCGTAAAAATAAATATTCAAAAAGATTTATTAATTTATTTTCTGTTCCAGTAAATATAAACTAAAATTTTTAACCACTAAATATCATGCTTTGATTACATGTTATTTTCATCTTGCCATCAAACAGCGCATGCTCAAAGAGCGAATCGGCTCACTTGTTATATCTGTCGCCATTTCGGCCAGAGCCTTATTGGCTGACTTCAAAGTAAGAGTTCGACACAGAGCCTGAATCTCTTCCCATTCAATTAGTTGCCTTCATTGATCCATTTTTTTCTGCTTGTTGTTAGGTGCCCTTCTCCTTTGATGCGCCATAGTGTGGCTGGTTGTGTGGCAACCTTTTGGTGACACAACGGGAAGTGTTGGTAAAGTCTGTTTGTTCACACATTATTTTCGTAGATGTAGACCATCTTTAGTTTTACTCTTTATTTCAGATACTAGTCGTATTATCCTTCGCAAGTCCACCGTGATAGCTTGTGCGGGAATGAGAAGCTCCGTTATACAATGATACGAACTCCAATAATAATGACTCTATTCTTATCCCACAAATGCAACACAACACACAGGCTTCCTTGAAGGAATGCAAAATGGTCGGTAAGAGCATCTCTGCAGCCGGGCCCAGGGTATCATTGCAGAAGTGGGGGTCAACCCCCATGCCGCAGTGAGAGACTAGAAGAATCCGTCGCAGAAGCTTCAGTGCTGGATTGAGGGGATGAGGTTGTCGAATCCGCACTGTCAAATATGGTTGAAATAGTAGTCTCTGATGTTGTCCTAGGAGTAATCGGGGCAATGGTGGGTGAAGGTGTCAAGAGAGTGGCTGTAGAAGTAGTAGAAGACCGAGAAAATGGCGGAGAGACGCTAAAAGAAGGCGAACGACTATAGGGTGTGCGCCTGGTGGTGGACGCAAGAAAACTTGATGCTGTATCGGAGGCAAAAGCTGTGGTTTCAACCCCGGCCGTTATCGCCGTCACCATTGCTAGAATAAGTGAGGACTTCATGGGGTGCAGTAGAATATCAAGTCGATAGAGATGTAAAAGACCTGGTGATGGCTCTCGCTAATCACTAGACATTGGATTGAGGGATAACGATTTTCGATTACGTTCTCCAGTCTGGCTATTCATGTCGCGGTTAGTAGGTGCATAGGTATATGCCGGACGGTAACTCACAAGATTAGTTTAGCTACCATGCGCAAAAGCTTAACCGATATGCTTTTACTTCGCATGCTGACTTCGCAGAAATTCATTTCAATGTTGGCATCCTTACTTTGGATTACTTGTCTTTTCTTCAAGGTATTCCCGCAATTTCCTTCTAGTCGCAATGTTCAGAAACGTAGTAGTCTGGCGCATGATCCAGAATGTAGAGTGTACCTACATGTCTTAGTCAGCGAACTCCGTAATTAAGCGTTATAATCACACAAAAAGATTTAGCGGTAGTTATCCATATGATACTCGAGGACTTCTTTTCTTCTTATTTCCTTGGTGCATACAGCTCTGACGGTTTGAGTGAATGTGCTTAGATATATGGATTCTGTGTGCGAGATCATACTGAATGTTGACTGACGGCTCGGTACCGGCACGAGGAGCAGCTGGCCCGCAGCGAACAAAATCTTCAGAAACATCCTGCTCGAAGTGACCCCTGCTTCTTTGAATGAGCTTTCCCACTACAGCTGGACCCGTTACAGTTCGTCGCTTTGAGTTTTCCCTACGGCACGGCACGCATGTCAAAGACCAAACTCCCCTTTTCAGTCAACTACACAGTAGACAAGAGCGATGTAGTTTTCTTTAGACATAGGTAGCTTCCCAAGTTTCTGTTTATATTCAGTATACATTCAGTACATATTCAGTAACCATTTCTCTAGAAGGCTATGTAGCAGATCATTCCTCAAGAGCATCGTAAAATAAATCCTCATCTAGTAAACCCTGGTTCGTACTCCTCTTGCGTTCGATGGAATGAACCAGATTCTGAAAAGCTTGTGCTATGGTAGGATCCCGCGGACCGTATAGTTCCTGGATCTCCAGAGCCGTCTTCCCAGACGCATTACGCACGGCCGGGTCCAAGCCGCGTAAATCTTGTTTCGCCAAGATATTGATTGTCTCGAGGTCTGCGCCTTGAGCAGCCAAGTGCAGAATCGTCTCTTGTTGAAAATTCATATGAGTGTAATTTGCCTTGTATTTGAAAAGCAGTTCAATACACTCATGCGCGTTCTCTTCAACAGCGCAAAGAAGCGCCGTTTGATTTGAAGCCAAATGGACTTGCTCAATATCCGCACCTTCCTCAAGTAGAAACTTCATGATATCAAATCGATTGTTGTCCGCAGCAGTCGTTAATGGACTATCAATGCCGTTGAGATCCCCCCCAGCTTTCCATAATTTGCGAGCTGTGGCCACGTCGGTGTGATAGCATGCATAGCCGAATGCGCTCTGGCCATTATCGTTTTTCATTTTGACATCGGCGCCCGCTTCCAACAAGCAATCAATTAAGTGCGTATCTTCGCTAAGCCGCTTCCGGACAGCCAGGTGTAATACGGAGGTCTGAATGAAATCAGCAGGTGAATTTACAGCGGCACCGGCTTTCAGTAGCTCGCGAACACTCAAGCCGTCCTGCAACGCTGCAGCCCAATGAAGAGGCGTTCTTGAATACTCATCTCTACTCTCCAGTTGTTGCAGGACGCTACGGTCGGCCCCTTCAAGTACCAGTTTAAGGTCAATTGGGCACAACCCCAAAACCACTTTGGTGAGAAAGCTGAGGCCTATATCATCGATATACGCCGATATCGGCATTAGCTCCGTAATCCTGCGGGATATGTGCCGAGGTATTCGATTGCTCAAAATAAATTCGGTAGCTTTAGCTATTACCGGGATATTTCCCGTCCCTGCCATATAGGGATCTGCGCCGTTTCGAAGCAGGACCTCCACGAGGTTCACATGACGGTCAGAGACGGCATGTGCGAGAGCAATTTGCAACGGAGTGCCGCCACGACCGACTATTCGAGCGTTCACGCATGTCGGGTCCTCTCTGAGGCGTTGTTCAAGTAGTGGGACGTTTCCGTCCCTCGCGCACTGGTATATGCTGCCCGATTCCCACTGCAATTCGCGATATGTCTTCAAACTGAACGTGATGCCTCCGAAAGATCTCTTTATCAGTAGTTCGAGAGATCTCCGTATAAACCAGCCAGGAAAGAGGTAGATCATACGCAGGTGCATCTGACCCTGTCGCAGACACGACCGGTGGGAGCATTTTGGAGAAGTTGTCGGATATCCTATATACCTACAGAACAAGTCTCCGCAGATCTTCCCCAAGAGAGGAGGCATTGAGAATTTTATATCCGCCGGTTTTTGACTGTGACAGGAACACGGACAACCCCTCTGACAGCCCGGAGACTGGCTATACACTGAGAAAGCGTATGTCCTGGCCGAGCTTTGTTCATCGAGCATAGATTTGAGTGGGAAGCCAGAAGACTCTGCTTCCAATACCACGGACTGTGCTGCCTCGGTGTCTTGGTCAGCAGTGGTCGTGCGTTGTAATGTTATCCGAGTACTGTCAGAACAGTTGGCCTTGTCCTCTTCATTGCATTTGACGTGACCCTGTCTTGTCGAGCCTAATAACAACTGTGGGGTATCTTCGCCGCGGTGATTTGCAGCTTCTGGGAAATGCTGTGAGGGCAGTGTGCTATCCATCTCCGGCATCAGTCCCGTTGCACCAGTCTGAGATGATTGAACAAGTTCGGTTGTCAACATGACCTGCTCATGTATCATATTGAGTCTATCTTCAAAATGGGTAGAAGCACTTCTATGCTGTGCATGAAGTTGTGTTAAATCCGTTTTGACCGAATTCAGTTCGACATCTACCCTGCCAGTCATAATACTGATAAAGTATTAGCTTCCAAGAAGTGTATTCTAATTATGTGAGATGGGCGCGAAATGGACGTACACGTTATGAATAAGGAGAAGGTGGTTGATCTTGAGACGGCCATCTCGCAAGTGACCCTCAAGTTCTCCCACTTGCCGTGTCTTGTACAGAAGCCTAAGTTTCTGTCTCTGGCATGTCAAGAGCTTCAGATCTCTGATCAACACATCTAGCTTTCTTAGATGGCGCGCTATTATCTCAATATGCCCTTGGATAGCTGTCGACAGTTCATCGTTGGACAGCTTCAATCTCGCATCGGGATCTTGATAAACCTTTGCTAGGTGGTCTAGTATGACTTTGAGATCAGTGACCTCGTTGCTCAGAGCTAGGAGAAGTGAAGGACACTTCCTCCAAGTACGAACAGCATCGATGAGACCAGCAGATGTCCTGCAAGCAACATCTAAGACACCAATCACACTAGCTAAAACCGCGAAAGCCTCAGCCATTCTTTAACCGTGTAAGGAATGAGAATCAAATTGTGAAAGAATCAAATTGTGAGAGAATCAAATTGTGAGAGAATCAAATTGTGAGAGAATCAAATTGTGAGAGAATCAAATTGTGAGAGAATCAAATTGTGAGAGAATCAAATTGTGAGAGAATCAAATTGTGAGAGAATCAAATTGTGAGAAAATCAAATTGTGAGAAAATCAAACTGTGACACTTAACCAGGATGAAGGGACGGGAAGGGCTTAGGGACTGCGTTTCTCTTAAACTGCCCTTTACGGTATCCACAAAGTCTTATATCCCACCCAGCACTTTCGGTGTGTGCTCTCCAATTTTTCTATTCGTCTCTATTATTCTTGGTTGGGTACCAACCTCTCTATGAATGAGACTGGTACTCACAGTTGGTGTGAACCAATCATCCTGCTAGGAACTTTTCGACTACTTGAACTCATCCAATTGAATCACTTTTTTTTCTTATCTAAATTGGGGGTTCCTTGGTTTGGGTGCAAAGCTGGCAAGGCTACGTAGGTTGACATATGGAGCGCATATGGCATGTTCGGGGTTTGCCCCCGCCGTAATGCCCTGCAATGAAACCCAACTGGCAGCTGCAGGGATTCTCAAAATAAATGCTTCCTGATCATATTGCATTACTTTAGGAAGTTGTTTATGTTGTGTTGTGGCGTGTCGCAATGCATATGAAGGATAAGAATAGGTTTATAATTGTCGGAATATGTACAAATGAATTCATAAATGGTGAGCGAGGCTGGTGTAAAGAATAATCTGTTTCTTTTTTCTTTGCTACTTCAGTAAGTTCAACTGGAGTCACACTTCTCATACATTTGATAATTCTTTTTCACGCCCTGCAATGAGGCCGTGAGGGGCTGAAGATTTCTCGGCGGAGAAGCCTTGCATATTCGCGAAGCTACGACCAATCAAACCTCGCGAGCATGGATCCTTGACTATGCATCAAGTGCATTGGATCTCTTGAAAAGCATTGGCTAAAATAAGACCCCTCAAGTGAAAGCTCGAAGCAATGCAACCAAAAAATAATGGTGGGTTGAAATGAAACTGGTTCATCACAATAATTGAGCCGGTGAGATTGTGGCCTACGTTCTTGTGCCACCCACACTTTATTTGACCGGTGGCAGTAAAGGTCCACAACGAGGCTGCGAGTTGCGCGGATCCTCAGTCGATGCACTCACAAACTGCCAGGTGACAACATTCCCCGCAATCACTATCCCCTCTTCCCTACTTATTTCAAAGTCATATTCACCAGGATTCGTGCCTTGCCATCTCAAACTAAACACCAATGATAGTCGATTACCTGACGAAGTCGCCTCAGCTCGAAGATGATTTGTGACTTTTGTTACAAGAACATTTTGGTAGTTGTACTCGATGAGAGTTGCGACTACCATCACCCCGAACCAAAAGAATTTATAGCTTCTGCCTCGAAAGGCTGTACCTTTTGCAAAAGGTTGGCTGTCCATCTGACGGGGCAGAAGCAATCGTCCTCCGAGCAAGAGGAGCTCTCGGAAATTGAGTTTACTGAGCTCTGGCGCTCTAGAGCTAGCCCGGGCGAGGCTCTTTATTGATGGAACATGCGCAAAGAAGCTGGCATGAGCGAGCAGGGAGAGTGCATTTCAATCACATTTCGCTTACTACCTACAAAGGTCAAAGACAAGACGGCGACCAGTGAAAGTGATTATTTACCTGATGATATATTCTATCTCTATTCAGAAAGTGGTAAGTCCATGGTTTTAAAGATCCTGAGCAGTGAGCTCGGTTTCGATCAAGGAATGCTAAAGGAATCCTAGTTTTGCCTTTGCCCAGGAGCTCGGTGATAATACTGCATATGATTAGACGTGGCAAAAGGTTGATAAATGGCTTTCTACATGTGCAAAATACCATACCGACTGCCAAACATTGGTGTCTGCATCATCGTTCAGACCAAAGAGGCTCCTGGACCTGGGTTCCATAGTTTCATCGTGGCCGCCCGAGTTTGTTCGTCTCGACGTTGCTGAAGATGGTATTTCCTCCAATGTACAATACGTAACGTTAAGTCACCCATGGGGTGGTTCTTATTTCGCGCGCCTAGTAACGGCCAACGTGAAGGAATGGAGAACAGATGGGATCCCGTGGAGTAAAATATGCAGCAATAAAAACTTTGAGCACGCTCTAGAGGTCACTTGGCGTATTGGTATTCGATACATGTAAGTACTTACAACATTCTTTATTGTGTATATTTTCCCATTTCTTATTTATTCCATTGGAAACCGAAACCCTTGTAAATGATTTAGATATTTGATCAACCCAAGAAGCATCGTCAAGCTGAAGCCCAAACCCATTAAATGGATTGACTGACTATGCATTATTCAAGACAGTGATGGTAAGCCAGACTGGCAGGAGCAAGCACATCAAATGCATTCCATTTATCGGAATTCGTACTGTAACATCGCGGCTTTGAATTGCAAAAATGTTGGCGTCGAGTCGTTCTGTACCCGGGATGTCACCCCGACTATGAAAAGATGTCAGGTATTCCTTAGATTACTAGACTTAAAACTCCTTCTACAAGATGGGGAAAGCTCTTCCTTTATATAGCCACAGTGGTGGATCGTCCAGCCACCCGAATTCCAACACAGACCGTGACTGCCACCTTTACAGATCAGCATGGTAGAGCGAACAGATTCCTCGCAGGGAGAAGCTGGCGCGGCGTTCCTGGCGTCTTGTGGCAGCACGACCTTCTTGGAAGCCACCTATACACGCGTGGCTGGCTATTTCAAGAGCGTTTGCTCTCACCTCGCTTGTTGCATTGCGGCGAGAACCAAGTCTTCTGGGATTGCTTGACTACCAGAGGGTGCGAGTCCCTCCCGACTGGCCTTCCCCAACAGCTTGATGATGTGGCGCAGGTCGATCGAGGCTGGCGCCGCTGTCTTCGTGTGTCAGGGTTGTTTTGCAATAGAGTGAAGGGTAGAAGGCAGAGGGCAGTATAGGGGTGTATTGTGACGAAACTGAACTCTGACCTGCTAGAAGTAAGGGGCGGGAGCCCCTACTTATAGCCGGTCAACTGCTAATAACGCTAAAAGCAGGGCTGACTAGCCGGTCTCCTTTTAGCACCTGACATCGTGCGCCTGAAACTAAAGCTGACAAGTGGAAGAATCTGTACGGCTTCTGGTCACAAGCTGCTCCATACAGGTGTACACTTGATGATTACGTCTGCGTACGCGCTACCGGTGCCAATAATAGCTTTCGACTGTCCCTTGCTGCTATCGCTGCCGTATGGCTTTTGTAAGCGTGATAGATCTCTACACACGACTGTTGCCGCCATACCGGTCCTGCACGTCTTTCACGAACGTGGCAGGTCGAAGGAACCCCCTGGATGACCAAAGTCACATTACCTGTGCGCACGCACCAATCATTTTCATCTTCATTTTCATGCCTTTCTCGTGGATTGAAAAGAGACCGCGAGGTAACACGAAATCCGTCTGTAATATTGAATAACTATTGCTAGCAAGTTGCAAGTTGCATACCTAATCTCACGTAATCCCTGTAGCCATGTGGTCGGTTCCGGCGAGATGGATCAATAAGCATGAATTCTATGGTAAGAGGCTTTCCATCATGCCCTATGGGTCAAGGGCCGGGTCTGATCTCACGTGTGAACCGATTGGGCTGGTGCCTGGATCAATCCCTTGTCCATCTGGGTCGACCTTGAATTTGATTACAGCGCTCGGTTGCATACTATGAGGGTATAGTCGCATCCATCCGCCCGAGCCTCAGTGAGCTCTACCAGTGTTCGTTCCCAATGCTATCAAGCCTGCATACATTCCTTTACAGCAAACTGGCATTAGCAAGAGAAGACCAGCCCCTCATACCAGGGACTATGATCTCCAAGCATATACCACACCGCCAGTGGCACCTTATCCCAATCTGTCTGCTCATCGTCGCCCTCCTAAATATAGTACACGATACATATCCCTCTCATGACCCAGCTGTCGTGCAGTTACACAACAATCTTGCCAAATTTGCAGCTAGAGGGCAGACCACTATAGAGCTATTCTCACCCTGGTCTGTAATTATTAGCTCGTCTGCTAGTGGTCGAGCTTTCTTGATCTTTGCATCCATCACTGGGTGGATGTTGAAAGTTGCTTCTTTTGTGAGGGCTATTGAAAACAAATAACAACGTATTGAGCAATGGCCTCGCGATCCTAGCACTATGCTCTTCACACCCCACGGTTGAACTCTTCGAAACCTTAGTAGTGGACAGATGTACGGATTTTTAAGCGATAATTGGCAGCCTCCAATCGACATGTCCAAAAAGGTGCAAGGCTCGTACTGTAGTACCATAATTTACCGTTTCCTCGATCTGAATGTTGACTAATTTCTTAAGACTTCATGGACCTCCAAGTTTCAGGCCTTGGTGGTCGACTTATGCAGTATTCAGGGGGGCGAGTGAAAAAGGGTAACTGCATGGAAAGATCCCCCCCATCGGGAGACCACCCAAAAGTTGGAAGTGCCTGCTTCATGGACCAATACAAAAAGGGTTCTGGAAGAAGCTGATGAAAGTGCAGTTTGCGGCTGAGATCAACATGCATTAGCACCCCTGCTGCTAAGGGGCCATTGTTGACATTAGCATAATCTGGGAAGCAAATCTGGGTACTGGGACGCGTAGGTACATTCCCTCTCAGAAGCTCAATCTTGATTTCTGATCACTTTCAGCGTTAGATGATGATCTCGCATCTGGTGATTGTAGTAACAGGACTTGTATGCACCGCTGTTGTTAATCATGTTCTCTAGACCGCCACCCTACAGATTCCGATCTAGCGACAGCAAGACAGACTCACCTTACATCTCCTATCTGTCTACCCTTTGGTCGCCTGTCCTTTCACTTGATTGATTCGCGCGCTTCGCTTGAGCTCACTGCTAACACAAACATTGTTTATGGTCATGCCAGCGCACAAGCGAGAGAATGTTGGAGAGGATCGCCCACGATTCCACCGATCCATGCGGGGATGGAACCTCAGCCCTACCATACATAGTCAGGGCTTGAACGTGGCCATCAGGTGTCGAGATCATGCATGGGACTTTTGTAGAGATGAGGGAAATTGAAATAGGATTCACTAAACTCGGCCCAGTGCCATGGGAAATCCCTGAGATTGGTGCATCGGAAGCCAAGCGCGTCTAGTTGACCATACAAAGCTCAGAGGTGGAGCAGTTGACGGATATTCCCGTCCAAATATGTAGCAGGCATCGTACCTTAGACAAGCGCAAGACAGATCGTAGCTCGATCGTCTCCTATCTAGGCGCAGTGGGTGCAGAAAGTGGTTTGGGAGATGCCAGACTTTTCGAGCTGCCAGGTGTGTTCTCGAGGATAAAAAAGCTCTTTGTATATGGCATATTTTGTTTCCTATAGTTTTTTTAAAAAAAAAAATAAAAATAAATTCTCCTAGTATTTCTCTCTCCCTTCGTCTGTTCTTGAATAATTTGCATTTGTATCATTGAAGTAGAGAAGAGGACTGCCATAGCACAGCTGTGCTGCCAAGGAAAACCCCGAAGGCTTAAAGAGGCCTGTGGCGGAATATCCGAGACTAAATAACCTTTCTCGACGCTTGCCTCTATGGGAATAACCACCCGGGTACCACCCCCC